CTTGAATTTAAACTGAAAACAAAGCCCTTTCCAAGAAACACCAAGATAATGTTTATCTTAAGTGATGGCCTTCATACCAATGTTTTGACTTACATTAACAAAATGTAAAACGCTAAAACACATTTCAATCCCTAACCTATCCACTAAACACATATTTGTCACAAAAACCGAATTAAGTTCTCACTCACTTCTTTATAGGAGTTGGCAGAGGATGTTACATTGTCGGAAAAACAATCTTTGAGTTTCCACAGCAAAGTTGAGGCCTCCTTTTTGTTTGGACCGACCCATGGGAAGGGTCTAGAGCTGAACTTCACTTCCTCTTCGCCCAGTCCTTCCATTCTTCATCCCAAAACTGTCCTTCTCATCATATGCGTTCCTCTTCTCTCATGCTGTAATTGAACACGCAAATATAAAAAGGCACAGGCACAGCTGATAAATCAATAGGAATTTCACACGGGTTGCCCTCAGGGGACTTTCACTGCAGCTACGAGCCAATGTAGTCTTTACGTAAACAATGCAAGATTTCCAAGCAAAACACACAGTATAGTTAACCATCAAAGGGTGACGATAGTTCGAACAGATGCATAATTATCTTTCTAGAGTTGGCGTTGGTAACGTTAAATACTTGCTATAACTTAAGTCGCTGTGCTTTTAACAACATATGGTAAGGAACATATGCTAACAAGAAGCATCGACCATACATTGACGCCAAATTTCAGGATAACTCAATTATGTATTTGCTCATAAGTGAGTAAATTGGCAGTCGCAGAAATCTAAATGACTTAAATACTGTTGTTTTCTACCTGGTGTCGTTACATTAGCCCCTCTGGTCCCTTTCCCTCCGTGTTTCCCTCACGAGCTGGATCCATCCATGCTCACGAGCCGTGTGTTCTTCTTGTAATCTGCACACTGCCGTAAATGAGACGCAGCTGCCGAAAATGCATTCCACCATTTCACCAGAAGCTTCAAAAACTGTTTAAACTATAAATAAATACATTAAAGAAATATGTAAAAAATGAGGTGCAATTATTTACTTTGATACCATTTATAATAGTCTTATTATATGGTCTTGGAAAATATGTAATAAACCATACTTTACTTTATCTATCCCAGTGACGTGGGGATTTTTCTATAATCATTATGCATATGCAAAAAATAAATAGAAAAATACAGTAACAATAAATGTAGCTGCTAAGTGCCAGAACACATAATAAAACACAAATTTATCAACACATTTTGGTTAAATGTACGTGTAAATTGCGTTTTGTGGGCTAGAGCAACGCATAATAGTTACCACACAGTGAATTAGCCTCCGCCGTGTCTTTAAACTCTATTTTTTAATCATCATTTAATGTCAATGTAAATTTGATGTCGCCAATAGCGCCCCCTAGTGTTCGGACGAGCCCGCTGACACGGCTCTGACTGACGGGACAGCGCAGCAGGTTCACCATCATCCTCTTTGTGGCGATTGATTTCTTTCTACTCTTAGTTTTAACTGAAGCCTTTCCATTTCCCTAACACCGTGCACATGACAGTGTGAAGATGGCAAATTGAAGAGCACGCGCTGAAAGTTAATCCTTTACACACAAAACCCGGCTTTTGTTCATATTTATTTCAAGTTCGAGCGTGAATTTCATATTGCGTGGACGTTTTTGACAAATGTGAGTGCATGGGGTGTGTAGCGACTCCACTCGTCTCAGTATCACACCCTGACAGACTGTAACTGATAAACTAAATTCCAATGGCTTCTGTTGTTGAAAGTAAATGGTGACATATAGACAATGGGGGTTTGTTTAATTGGAGATCTATAATCCTCTTAAAACGTCAGGCACTCTGTCTATTTATCAAAGTCACTGGTCCTTTGAACTATAATATATACACACCATATGAGGGGAGAACAACTTTTACACTGAACAGAAAACATGCTTTAGACTTAGGGCATTCCCATATTCAACTAGAAATAGTTGAATATGGGAAAGTAGAAATAAGCACAACAAGTGAACAACAACTATGAAAGTGCAACTCTGTCACTTCAAATTCTCTTCGCCTCAGAAATAGACTGCTATACAACATTGACTATCTATAAGTGGGTCATGTTGTTACCATGGAACAGGGTTGGTATGTACAGTGAGTGTGGTCATATGATAGAGGTTATTTGTTACTGCCAAAATCTCATCACATGTATCATTATTGAATTATGCAAGCACGGATGAGCCTCTTGTATAGAAAAAAAACAGGAAGAATAATAACCTATTCAATGCAAATGAATTGTAGATTGATAGACATTGAAAGTGTGAATTCTATTTTATATATTTTGTGTTTGATAGGTACACAAATCAGTTGCTTTGCTCCAACAAATTTCTCCTGGAGACAAGCGTACTATGTGGATTCATTTTGCTGGGCAGCAGTTCAGGAGCAATCAGAGAACACCCCACTATGGCTACATAAGGTACAGTCATGAATGAAACAATGAAACAAAAATGATGACTGCATGTCTTCAAATAAATTATTCCCAGTTTCTATTCTATTCTTTGTAGTTCTTCCCGTACATCCTGCTCCTCTTTGCCGTCCTACTGTACATCCCTGCTCTGTTTTGGAGGTTCACAGCTGCTCCACACCTTTCTTCAGACCTCACTTTCATCATGGAGGAGCTGGACCGTTTTTATAACCGTTCAATTCGTCTGGCCAAGAATCTGGCTTCTTTAGACAGCAAGGATGGGAATGAGGACTCACAAAGGTAGGCTGTAGTCATTTTGATACATGTATGTAATCTACATAAACATGTCTTTTGTATAGATCAAATAATAAATAAAAAATAGAAAATAGAATGCTGTATGAAAAAACTCTTATAGATGCATTTATACTTGAGCATCAGAGCCAGGAATCAATCAGGACTACGTAAGGTCTAAATCAAATACCTAAAATAAAAGGTATTTTTCAAACTTTGACATTAACCGCTTCAAATCCCACATTTAAACTGGTACAAGATCAAACACACTAAAGGTCTTTACTTCTTTCATAAATCTTATTGAAATATTTATCACTTTCAATGTACAGTGAAATATATATCACTTTTAAGTATGCCTGCGTGCGAAAGCCAGATCATGTCAGACCTCTGAAGCTGTGCAGGGCAGGGCCTGGATAGAACTGTGATGGGAGACCTCTGGGAACACGGTGGGGCGGCTGCAGCTGTAAAGTACCAACCTGCTGTTGTGTCCTTGGGCAAGATACTTCTCCTACATTACCTATAAGGAGTCTGATGTGTGCATGAATGGATGGTGGTGGTCAGAGGGGCCAATGGCACATTCAGGTCACCTCGCTTGTGCCAGTGTGCCCCAGGGCAGTTGTGCCTACAATAGTAGTTTATCACCACCGCATATGGAGTGAGAGAATAATGACATGTTGAGCATCTTTGAGTGTCCAAAAAAGCGCTATATTAAACCGATGCATTATCATTACTCAGGAGTTTCAACCGTTTTTGTGTAACGCAACAATTGCAAAATTATGCTATCACCCCCAAATTCTCTTGCATAGAATTAGGGGGTGATAGCATAATTTTGCAAGGATGCAAAATTACTCTAAAGTACACATTTTTCTTCCCTGTTTAAGCTAGTTCATTCTACAGTTTACCAGGTTAGATTTTTACTTGTGACACAATGAGAAAGTTTCGCAGCAGCAGGCAAATCTTCTGGCGCTGCTGTTGTGAGACTACTGCTGCTCTGTCCCATTGTGACAGGCTATTTATTTAACGACAAAAAAACACACCCATTATGGTCAAATGATTGTCTCTCCAAAGATCCCAGATGTTCATCCCATTACCTGACACTTTGTTTAAACATGCTGCTAAAGGCTTTTCTACTGGTTTATTAGGCACACATATAGCTGACGACAGAAATATCCACTTACTAAAGCATACTTTCCATTATGGTAACCCAAACCAGTGACATACATTCACCTATGACACCCTTAACCACAGGGAACTTTGACATCTATGACAACACAGTTAGCTTAAAGACAATGCATTAAATATTCATAATAATGATAAAATAACTAACAATTCTAATGTCATTGCCCTAATTGGGAATCACGGCCTTAAAATGCTACTGTTATACCAAAGTGAAAAGCCTGAAATGTGGATCTGGTGTGATGTTAATTCATACAACCTAATCTAATTTGTGATTTCACTCTGCATTTCTCCAGCTGATGTAACCTCTTGAGAATGACTTGTTTTCTTTATTTGATCACAGTGCTTTGGACCTGGCAGAGGGCTGCTTCAAATACCCATTAGTTGAGCATTACCTCAAGACCAAGCGCCTCTCTCGCAGCCTCGTGGTCAGATACTTGGCCTGCCGCGGTCTCACTCTGCTGATCCTGCTGTTCGCCTGCGTGTACCTCGCTACTACATCCTGCTGGCCTCCCTCACAGACGAGTTCCCCTGCGACCTGAGAAAAGGCGTGCTTCAGAACGACAGCTCCGTGCCAGTGGCGGTGCAGTGCAAGCTGGTGGCAGTGGGGGTGTTCAGGCTCCTCAGCTACATCAACCTGGTGGTCTACGTTCTCCTGGTTCCTCTGGTGGTCTACGCCTCCGTCGGACCAGCGCGGCAGAGTTCGAGCTTCCTGCGGCCTTACGACATGCTCCCGGGGTTTGGCTCTTTGGGAGAGGTCACCCCGGTTTACAATGACCTCAGCATGTATCTTCTGTTTCTACAGGAGAATCTGAGCCAACTGAAGTCGTACAAGTGCCTGCAGGTGGGTTTGGCTTAATCCACAGGGAAATACTTGAACCTGATTCAAGGGATGACATCTGCACAAGCGAATGATGTAACTTTGTAGCACTTGTTTAGTACATTAAGTGACAAAATAATGAGGGTGATGCATTATTGCGGAACATATAACAATAAACTTAAACCTAACTAATGTTAATCTCATATATAGGGCAGGATAATAAGTAGATAAAGTGACATTCAGTGGACATTCTGAAATTGCAGTATTGCACATTGCACATGATTACAGTATGAGCTTTATATGAGCTGCTATAAAGCCAGAAAGAAGACTAGGTATTTTAATTCCTGGTAAGTAATTATAGAGTTGATGATGTTGCCACCTATGCATCACATCTATAGTTGTGTACAACAGAATCCCCCACTAGGACCAACCACCCCTCCGTAAATAATAGCATGATGAAACACATATGAAGAAAGTTACTATCTAAAATCCTTAAGGCATATTATTTTATAGCTCAACTGTTATTCTACAAATGTGGTAGTTCTAAAATGTTATTACTTCACTTTTAGATGACACTTGTAATGTTACTTGGAGAACCTACAGTAGTTTAGTTTGAGGTGCTTGAGTAGCCTCTGCTGAACATTTGAGTGATTTTGTGCCATATGGAGATGGATAGACTTGGTCAGAGCAGATCGATGACCTCTATGTGGTCAGGATCTACAGTAAACTGCTCCTGACTCAGATGGATGTGTTTTATTCATGAAAGCACTAACTCTCTCTGTAAACTTGTTGTAAATTTTGTTACAGGTTCTAGAGTTGTTACAAGACTCGAGTGAGGAGGGTTTTGACGCCATGTGCCTTTTGCAAACTCTGGGTCAAGTGAAGACAGATGTGGTGGACTGCAAAAAGGGGACGTGTGTCGTAAAGAATGAAGTGAAAGATGAAAAGACAGTAGAAGAACAATAAATGTGAGTGGATATGTAGATACAATTCTTTATTTGCAGTCTATAGAACTGTTAATTACTAATATATCTGTTTTTCAGATGACGATGAGATGCTGAAACAAGAATGATCCATGATTGTGCATAAATGGAGGCCTGTTATAACAAATATTTTTTGTATTTTCTATTTTTTTTCTATCTATGTAAAATATGTTTTCTCATTTTAATGAAGATGAGTTTCATAACCTTCAAATATTCAAACACCTGAAAGAAAAATGTGATGGTTCATTTATTGAACTCAACATCATATAATACTGTTTTTGAAAAGGCCATATTTCAAAGAGGACAGAAGCATGGCTGTTCATTGCATAGTTTAAAATGTACACTGCCTCAGTCCTATTAAGTGTCAATGCAATGTTCCAGTAACTAACCCAACAATTCCTTTCATGTCTAACTACCTCAAATATGATATATTATTACTAATAAAGGCGAATAAAATAAATAGTCGTCACTGGGTTGTTTGAGTTTTACTACCGGTAAAAAACACATGAACAAACCTCTTGTATAATATGAATAATTATAATAACATTACTGCATGTGATTGCGCACTGGAGGCGGGACTATAGACACACCTGGCACGGATTGGCTGAACCTGACCAGCCATGTTATACGTGATTGGATAATCCGCGATAATCGCAGGGTTGAGGGACCAATAATACGTGAGCTCTGCTGCTCGTTTGTATTTGTACGAAACACTTCGGTGGATCAGCGACTTTAGCTCAAGGATACTTTTATTTTTCTGGATTAAACACGTTTATTTTATGCAAGTATACGGTGGCTCTTTGCTATGTTATTCTGAATAACCATTGACCATAATATTTTAATCTAAAACTCCGTAGACGCCAGATGCTAAATAGCTGGTTGTTAGCTTCAGGTTAGCTAAAGTTAATGTGCAACTAAACAATGATTTTATATGAGACTATTACGTGTGTTTGTTGGTGTGCCTCTTATTTGACTTGGATTAGATATTGGCCGAATTTAGCAAAATATTAATATTTATTGTACATTTATCCATGCATTTTTAAAATATCATTGTTGGTGTATTCGTTTAGCTAGCATCGTGTACATCTGGATTGGGTTTGAAACTTTGCCTGAAAAGTATAATTCATGAATATTCCAGGCATAGAGATGGTGGAGCCAACGCACAAGTTTGCGTCGATGGAAGATGAGCTTTGCTTCTGGAAGGAGCAGGCAGAGAAACAACATCAAAGGTACAAGGCTTCTGAAGCGTCATTTGCATAACTCCTTATTGATATGTATTGCAAATGTGGTGTTAGGGCTGAAGAGGTGCAAGAGGAGCTGCAGGAGTTTCAGCAGATGAGTCGAGACTATGAGGCTGAGCTGGAGTCCGAGCTGAAGCAGTGTGAAGGGAGAAACAAAGATCTCCTCCTGGACAACAACAGACTGCGCATGGAGCTGGACAATGTGAAGGTGCTGCTCTAAAACTAGACTAGATCCCCCTCGCCCTGTGGAATGTGCTCCACTGCTCCTGGAGTTGCTAACTTGTTTATCAGACTGCAGATGTCTTATAAAGGTCTCTATTCATAGTCTTACCACAAATATTGTTTTTAAACTCTTGAGTCTTCATTTTAAAATAACAAGACAAGATAAGAGGTCTTTTATTTGTCCTAGGGTGGGAAAGTTTCAGTGTCATCGTTGCGCATTCATTACAGGACTGTAGGTCTGAAGGGCTGTAACAAGTTAATCAATTGATCGTCACTAATCTATTTTACTTAAATGGTTGTCAACTAATTTAGTGTTTGATTAATCACTTAACACAGCCTTAAACATGCTGAGAAGAGGTTTTATGACTGCAGAATGAAATGAAAATGCGTTAAAGTATTTCCAATCAACTCAATTAGTAACACATTATCTCTTTTAGCTTTGTTTTGGTCAAAGATATAAAAACAAATACCATATTCAGCTACCTCTTGGATTATTTAAAATGATAAAAACTCTCAAAGTCTCTCAATCTTAAAATGCAGAGATTTTAAGATTTTTCCCCAAAATAGTATTTGGGAGATGGTAGCCCATATATTGCCTTAAAATTAAGTTAATTTATAAAAAAAAAAAAAACGCAACAACTGCATTGATTTTACTGGGATGAACGATTATGCTGTGTTTAATTCCACAATGCTTAAAGGCTGTTCAGTACAGTGCATACATAACATAAACAACATATCATTCTCATACCCTTTAGTAAGACACCAGTTCACATTTACAGTTGTCTGAACTTTCTGTTTTTGTATTAACAGGAGAAATTTGAGAACCACCACTCTGAAGCTTCGAGGCACATTTCTACACTGGAAGAGAATCTGCTGGAAACTACAACTATGAGAGATCATCTACAGAAATACATCAGGGAACTTGAGCAGTCCAATGATGATCTAGAAAGGACCAAAAGGTTTGTGATTAGAAAAAACCATAATAGGTCTACTTTTATAACAAAAACATTTATTGTTTTTACTTTTCCACTTCAGGGCAACTATTATGTCGCTTGAGGACTTTGAGCAGAGAATGAACCAAGTAATAGAGCGCAATGCCTTCCTTGAAAGTGAGCTGGACGAGAAAGAAAACCTGCTGGAGTCAGTTCAGAGACTTAAGGATGAAGCTCGAGGTACAAACAGGGCAGTCATTTTCATGTACATTTGAATCTATTGTGTGTTTATATTAATGACATTACTCTCCTGTCACAGACCTTCGTCAGGAGTTTAGCAGTTCGACAGGTAGAGAGACGGCCGTCGAGCAGCTTAGGCAAAGACTCAGACCTGCAGGGCCCCTCTACTATTAACCCTTCCCTCCCCACAACACCAGCTAAACCGATTAGCACATTCGACACGCCCCCTATCTCCAGCATCCGCCGAGGTGAGCATGAGCTGCTGCTGTGGTAATCATAATCCAAGGAACCCTGTAATGTAATGCGTGGGGGTAATCTTACAGTGGGCTACATGTACTTTTGTGGTTGTAACTTGTAACTTTTGAAGGTGATGGACTTACGGGCACTCCCCTGACAACTTCTACTCGAATATCTGCACTAAATATTGTTGGCGAACTATTGAGAAAAGTTGGGGTAAGAAAGTTTGTGGCAAGATTGTGAACATTACCCTTCTTTGATTTAAAACAAATGCGTTCTGCATGAACAGAATTTGGAGTCTAAGTTGGCATCTTGTCGAGACTTTGTGTATGACACGTCGGTCAGCCGACCAGCTCTCCTCGCTTCCAGCCCTGGTTTTGGAGTAGGCTCTGATGTCCAAGTGAGCAGCTCCCCTCCGCAGTATGACAGGTATGTGCTGTGTTCCTTGTGAAGCATGCTCATTTGGATTTGCTTTAAACTTCATGGCTGTTTTCTCTCTGATTTTAGTGTAGTGAAGCACCTAGAGTTTGGTCCAGCTCCTCCTCGAGGACTCTCCCATGGCACTCAGTCTCCACAGGGAGGAGTGAAGATCTTGCTATGAGACAACTACCTCTACAATAAACTGTCCTCCTGATCTTCTGACCTACTCTACAAAAATGTGCAGTTATTAGATGGCTTATTTCTGTCGACACTGTGTGTCCCCTTGGACTGATCTGCTCCACATAATCAGTGCTGCTGCCTGTGGCTCATTTCACAAAGACTGCAGCTTTGGTTTGGCTTCATGGTAAGTTCTGTTGAGTGCCCTGCTATGTGGGGCTTTTGAATTTTCTAAGAACAAAACCATGTATTTTTAAAATGTTTCCTAAACACATTATACTTAAACCAAATCAAAGTTTACCAGTAAATCTACATTGAACTGCTGAAACATGGGAGCATTTGTCCTAGTATTCTGTGGCAAATGTAAAGGTAGTTAAATATTCCCTCACATCATTCATTAAAATGCATCTCTGCAGTTTCTATTATACCAGTAAATTATAGTATAGTTATTATAGTTGACCTAATATCATTAAAAAACATTTCACTCCCTTTTTATTAATCATAGTTTAACCAAAGTCATAGTTGTCCCAAAATATAGTACCTATCATTCCACCCACTTAAGGTTTATGGCCTACGTCTGGATAACTGCCTAACAAACGGCTGGACTGAAGAGGAGTCATGTCTGTGTTGTGTGTAATATTTTTGTTTTTACTGTGTCTAGATCAATACAAAACTGAATGTGTGTCTATACCAAGCAATAACTGATTTGATTGATAAGCACAGCTGTTTGTTTACAATGTTATGTACTGTTTTTCTTTTTTTTCTTTTTTTTGAGAGAGAGAGAACACTTTTTCATCTAAATGTGAAATGGTGAAACGTTGTCTCCATTACTGCCAGTGCTCTATCTTTCCTGAAGCTTTTAATTTCTGCCTGAGGGACTTGAAAGTATCATGTCCCTGCTCTTTGCTGTTCTTAAATGGAACTGGGCTCACTGTAAATGTAATCTCTGACCACTGTGTACTGGCGGCTTTCTAAAGTGCCGTTGCAACTGCTTTATCAGACTATGTGCCTCAGCCCAACGTTTCACCTGCAACCTCTTACTTTTGGAATAGTTACTGAACAAATAAAGACAAATTGAATCTGTAACAAACTGATATCTTTATTTTCAGTGCAGGTGCTTCAAAAGTAATAAAGTGTCATGTAAACATCATTTGAATATAGAAAATACATTGTTTGAGGAGGGGAGCTCGTTTACCTGTACAGTTACCTGACAAGGAGACAATGAGGCAAGCTGGAAATATTCAGTGGAAAGTGGCATGATCGATCGATTTTAGGCATCCCCATACCTTGTCTGGCTTAAAATATGTGGAAATATCTAAATACAGTCGGCAGCACAAAATAGTGTTTTCTAACGTAATAGTGACGCTCTGGAGGAGCCTTCTGCGCTGGGAGCGGTGGTTGGCTGTGGCTGTGGGGGTCGGACTCTTGGACCTGGTGGGGGCCCGGGGCCTCGGTTTTGGGTCTCCTCTGGGTCCTGTGTCGTCCCCTTTGGCTATGGGCGGCTCTCTGCTCCTGGCGCTGACGGCTCCTTGGATGGCGTTTCTTCAGCCGGTTGCATCTGAACCCTGCCAAGTCTCTTATCGTCGTTTTATTGTTTTATCGGTGCGTGTGTGTGTGCGCGTGTGTGTGTGTGTGTGTGTGTGTGGGGGGGGGGTGTTTGCTTGTGGTCTGGGGAGGGTCTGTTGGGCGGTCGGGGGGAGGGCATGGGCAGGATTGTTTTTTAGCCAAACTGTAAAGCACTTTGTGTTGCATCTGTTGTATGAAAAAGCGCTTTATAAATAAACTTTGATTGATTGATTGATTGAAAAATAATTTTTAAGGCAAATCAGTGAAAATTAGACTTCTGGGGGAGCTTACACAGCTGATATTAAGGATTTTAGATAGTGGTGGGAAAAGGTGCAACATACACAACTGTAAATTGTATATTTAAAAAATGATTTCAGGCAATGATGCTCAGTGATGGGCATGAAGTCCATTATTCTGTGGACTTTCCATTGAAATCGCTTTGGGAGTCTGTCTCCTCCTCTGAGGCGTCATCGATCACCCGCCGCCCACCTCCAATCCGACGAGGAGCGCTGCCATAGGAAGGCTCAATTCCACGCCTAGAACACCACAAATACAAAAACGCACATAGACAAACATGGAGAGAAAAAGTGAGAGTGAAGAAAGCATGAGTGAGATGTTTGTTTGCTGAAAACCACTGAGTTTATACTGAAAGAAGAATCCAGTGGAAAATGTGCCTTGGTTGAGGTTAAGCACGTGGTTATCGTTATAACTCATTAGTATCCTGGTTTAGGGCAATGAGTTTGGTTTATGGCAGTTAAACCAAGCACTGAGATAAAGATGGCCCCTGCTGACAATTAGAGAATTTTTTTTATGAGTGAGCCATTTTTGTCTCAGTTAATGTGATAGAAATGGGAAATGATGATGAGCAGCTCTGGGTTGGCTTATTCTAGTAGTACCTGCGGTGTTACTCCTTGGGTTCAGGGTTGCCTCTGTAATACACACGAACATGAATGTTTTCTATGCGGACAACAAGGCAAATGTAGTATCAACATGACTCAAGCCTCCGACTGGGCCTTTTAGTCATGTGTGTGCTCGCTCAACATTTGCCTTTTGTAATTGGACGATTGTGGTCAATGGTAGCTTCTCACCTGAGTTTGTTCTTGAGAGTGGTGACCTCACGGCTCATGCTGTCGTTGGCTTCAGTCGCCTCGTCCAGCTCTCGCTGCAGTTTTCTGCGTGAAGCCGTTGCACGCTGAGACTCCTCTTCTGACTCCTCGAGCTGACGCTTCAGCTGCTTCATCCGCACATTCGCCTTATCAGCCTGATGACAAAAGACAAAAGTATTACTCTCAGCACTTTGAGGTTATACAAACACAACAATACTCTGAATTACCTGGTCTTTGTACTGCTCTGCCTGTTTCCTCTCATCTTCCACCTGCATTATCAGGTCCTTCATCTTCTTGTCCTTCTGACGTATGCTCTTTGCATTGGCCTGCTTGTCTCTGATGAAAACACACAATTCAAATTAAATAAGCTAAAAAGCAGACATTTGTGCCTTGGTCTGCAATATAGTTATAATAAATATAACACCCATGCATCATGTTTATGTAATTTCCCTTTCAACATAGACAGATTTTGTAATTGATGTCACCAAATCAGATTTGCATGGACCTCATAGTAGATGAATGTATTTGATGATTCTGCTGCTCACCTGCTCTCCTGCTCCAGCTGCTCCTCCAGCTGAACCACTTTCGCTTCCAAAGCCGTGATGGAAGACTTGAACTTGGACTTGACCTGGTTTTCCATCTCTTGCAGTTTGGCCTTCAGCTCCTTGTTCTGTCGCTCCATCAGCTGCCTGGCGCTCTCGTTCTTCTGAGACGTGCTGCGCTCCGTCTGCAGCTCAATGTTCAGCTGATCCACCTGTAGGCAGCATTACAGCATTAGTCTTTTAGGTTTTAGAATCGTCTAAAAATCACTTTGAAGTAAAGTTTGATTGACCTGTTGAGTGCTCTTGCGCAGCCTGTCATTGAGGAGTTCCATGTTGCCCTGCTCCTCCTCCAACTCCTCCTCCAACTGAGAAATCTTGGCCTCAAGACGTCGCTTCTCATCCGCCAAGGCCGACCTGGAAAAAGTAAACCGACCAAACAAGTTATTTTTGTATTGCCAAAAATCATGACAGCTGTCGTCTCAGAGGATGTTAGAGAATTGCCAAACAGATTAGAGAATATTCATATAAATCCTATGTTGTCAACATAAAATAGGTACTGATCTGGTTGAACTCACTTTCCAGAAGAATTGCTGGCCAGTTCATCTGACAACTCGTCTCTTTCTGCCTCTGCTTGTTTACGAGCTCTTTCTGCGGCGGCCAGATCCTAACATATGATAAAAATGTCACACAAAAAAAGACACAATGTTTAATCACAGTATTTTCTTTAACATTTATTACATGTTCATATATTATCTTTTTTTGGGCAAGTGATTTATGAAATATGTCTTTATGGTAAAAAGTAAATTTCTCCATATAATATATTTTTTATGAATTGAAACCCCAAAGGTGGGTGATTTATAAGACAGAACCTTGTACTTGATAGACAACATTTATTTCTATTTACTTATTTGAATTATTTCTCCAGTATAACGCTCACCTCCTGCATTTGGAAGAGCTCGGCCTCCAGACCTTTGGCCTTTTTCTCGCTCTCCTTAGCTGTGATCAGCACCTCCTCGCGGGCGGCACGGGCATCCTCCAGCTCCCTCTGATAATCTTTCATCTGCGCCTGGAGTCCACACATTTCATTTCAATTTAATTTGCCTGTTATGTTATGTTATATTTTACAAATTACTGTAATTATAAAGCTTTTGAAAATAATTTTACAAAATGTGCTAGTTACTTACTTAAGTACTTAAATCTAACTCATACAGTTTAAACAAACAGTGTATATAAATTAGTATAATTCTGAATAAAAATGCATTCTCTGTGATATTTTAATGTGATTAATTTCCTTCAGTTGTGAAGCCTTGTTTCTCCTGATGTGCATGATCTCGAGTCTCAAGTTAGTTTCAAAATGAGTTGACCTTGAATGCTTGCAAAAAGGATGAGTTGTGGTTATTGAAGAGCATGCAGCCTTAGTGTTTGCACCTGGAGCTTGCGGAGCTGCTTGATGGCCTCGTCGCGGCCCTTGTTGGAGGTCTCGATCTGAGCCTCCAGGTCCTTCATGTCGGTCTCCAGCTTCTTCTTGGCAGCCGCGGCGCTCGTTCTCTGTTTGCGCTCGTCCTCCAGCTCCGTCTCCAGCTCCCGCACCTGCGCTCAACAAATGCAACATTAAATACATCAATAATACATCAACAAATGTGTTCATTCCTCTAATGGAGCTGTGGTAAACAATGTGACATTTATCTAACCAGGATATACCCACTGGGATTTCAGAATCTCTTCTTCCAGACGTAATGATACAGGGGTGATCGTACATATTTTTAATGGAAGAGAAAACCGATGCAGACATGGGGAGAGCATGCAAATTCCACACAGATTGGGATTCAAAACCCAGGACCTTTTTGTTAACCACTCAGCTGTGTTTGTATTTGGGGATATGACAGGTTACTTTGATATTACACTTACTCTCTCAAATAAGATACAATAAAAAAAAGTTAACAATTGCTTGAAACAAAATTTATTTATCTAAGTTTTTGCGTAATGTCTGTAGTAGTTTAAGTCAGGTGCCTTTTTGACTTATAACAAATACATTTCACTTAAGGTTCTATTGCATTTGACTCAACGTAAAAATATAACAAAATCAAGATGAATACTACTGATTAACCACTCGGTGTGTGTCATATAAAGTCGTCTGGGTGCTTTATGCTGTATTCACCTGTTTGATGAGCTGCCTCTTCTTCTCTTCTCCCATCTCGTCACGTCCCTGGAGGTCCCTCTCGAACTGTGCCTTGAGCGCCTGCATGTTCACCTCCAGCCGCAGCTTGGCATCCTCTGCTGCCTGCAGCTCGTCCTCCAGCTCCTCCAGCTGAGTCTTCATCTCCTCCACCTGAGCGTCCAGGCCACGCTTCGACTTCTCCAGCTCGTGCACCTGGTTCAGACCAGAGAAGGCACATAAGGCTGAGTCTCCAGTGACTAATAACAAACAGGAAAGTTGTCTGAAGCTGTGGGCGACTACCCCCAGAGCCTGCGTTTGCGGAGGACCCGTCTTAAGGATTGTTGGTGTTGTTTCTAACAGATGGCCTGTCTTCACCCACACAAACACGTGTACCCTTATACTGGGTACATAGACCTCTGCATGTATTTGAAGGGTTGATTCACTTGTCTCCCTCAGGTAATTATTGACAAATGAGATGCATTTCAAATAATTATGGAGATTCTAAATAACTAAAGACATATTTTATATTCAGCGGTGGCAATTGAAGTATTAAGTATTTTTACTTAAAGACCTTATGACGGGTTTTTAAAAAAAAAATAGTGGATATCAAAATTGCATGACAATGTCAATTTGAAAGAGATTCCGGCAACAAAAATCCTATATTTTATAAAAAGAACGTGTTTTTCATGAATTTAAGTTGTCTATGCTCTAACCTGTGTGTGACGTCACAGCGGGTTACGCCCATGCATTGAAAACCATGGATCTATGCCACAGGACTGCCTTTTCTCTCTTCTCTCCCCTGATGCCCAACACAATACTGCACTCTACAGGTGACAATTGCTCACTACACATAAATTGCCGTTTTGAGTGTGAAAAAGTGTCCGAGGTGGGATTTAAACCGACACAACCACTGGACTATCTCAGTGACAATGAAATGATACATTCTAGTATTTATCTTAGACTTGCTGTACACGGCCTTGTCATCTTGAATATTCGCGAAAAAAGAACGAATACCAAATTGTAAACAACTTACAGCATTGAAACGTACCCGTTCTGACGTCACCAAGGGCTGTGAAGTTTTTTCGTCTCTAAGGGCGTTGCTATGGGGTTATTTCGATTTGGGGGGATCAGACAAAAAAAACAACAACTGATTTTGAAACTTCTCTTCTAACTGTATTAAAACTGTATTTCTAAATAAATCAAACGTCATAAGGTCTTTAAGTACTGGTCTGGTAAGTATTTCTCTCTGGTATAAATACTTAAACTAATGTTCTTACTTCTCACTTTGAACCCACAATCTGTACTTTCTTTATTTTACAATTTGAAAATAATGCAGATGGCAACATGACATTAAAATGCTTTTAAATCAATCCATTGTGGTTAGCCATGCTTCTGATAACTTTTAGCAGGTCATTTATGTAGTATTTGCTGGAGGTCATTTTCTCTCATTATCTCACTTACGCTCTTGCCCACGTCGTCCTTGGAGCTGATCAGATCCTCCATTCTCCATCCTCAGGGCCTTGTTGACGCGCTCCAGCTCCTCGCGTGAGTCCTGCGCCTCCTCCAGGGCGCGGCCCAGAGACAGTGCTTTGGTCTCCTTCTCCCGCGCCTCGGCCTCTGCACGGTCTCTCTCCTCCGCAAACTTACTGGAGATGCTCTTCTCCTCAGCCAGCATCTGCAAATCAAGGTTTATACAATCAATCGACCAAAATATTTGTTTCAAAACCTGTACAAACACAATATCACAGAACAAAATAACTAACACAGAACGTTTTTTGAGAAAAGGTTGGATGAAGGTTGAATGGTTTTGTAAAGCACTTTGAGTTGCCTTGTGTATGAACTGTGCTATACAAATAAACTTGTCATAACTTTCTAAAAGAAAATCTTAATGTATTCTAATGTTTTAAGTATGTCTGTATACAACTAGTGTATGCTGGTGTTCATGTAGATTTATTTTGTTTATTTGCTTTTGCTTTTCATTTTTATTTTCCACTGTGAAAATAAGTGCATCTGTAGATATCATAAGAAACAAACTACTCCTTGTAAACTCACCTGATCAAATTTCTTCTGCTTCTTCTCGAGGTTGGACACAATCTGTCTCTGATTGTCCAGGTCCATGAGCGTGTCCTCCAGCTCCTGTTGCAGCCGGTTTTTGGTTTTCTCCATTTTGTCATAGGCTGAGGCCTTTTCTTCAAACTGAGTGTTCGCCGCCTCCAGGTCTCTCTGCAGACGCTTCTTTCCCTCCTCCAAGAACTCGATGTTACCGCACATTTCATCAAGCTTCTTCTTTGCATCCGACAACTGGACACAAACAAAGGAATTAGGCAAGACATTCAGCCACATTACTCATAATGAGTCTGGTGTGTGAGTGAAAGGTTGGTGCTGGTAGGAGCGGGTGATGGCACATATGGGTTGCCTACACTTAGTATGCCCCAGGGCAGCTGTGGCAGTAGTAGTTTAACACCACTGTGTACGTAGTGAATAGATAATGCAAAGTGTCTCATGAAAAGCACTAATTAAAACAAAAGCACTAATGTTATTATCATTATCTGTTTGTGTGCTGTGACTAAATATAGAAAACAGAATGTATGCTAATCTGTATGTTGTGGCTTTCTGTGATGGTGAAACTCTCTCTGGGCTCTGAAAGATGAGAGACCTGCTGATATGAGGAATGATTGACAAAGTGAGGAACGATGCTGAACAAATGCAAACTATTTAAAAAGAACAGACTCTTGTTATTCTTAAGCAAAAATCCTTAACAAAAAGTTTGTGTTTAATTGCAAAACTATACATCTCTCAATTACACGGACTGATGAGGTGTGGATAGGCGAAAATATTATAATTTCTGAACAGTCAAGTCTAAAAAAAGTTACGTAAGTTTATTATGAGAGAAACCCAGGATAATATGTTTAAAACCTAAATTTAGCTCATTTTGAAATATTGCTTCTTGAGTGATACTTTTTTTTTTGCTGACAGCGTACAATAACAACATGGTTTTGTGTGGCTGACAGACCTGAATATTGAGTGTGGACACGTGGGTGTCTCTCCACGTTCCTCTTTGCCTCCATCTCCTCCTCCAGCTGTCTCCTGTAAATGGTCTTGTCGTCCTCCACTTGCCGTAACTTTGTTGACAACTGAAGCTTCTGTCTCGTCTCTTCAGCCAGAAGCTCCTACGGGATGAAGGGAGAGCAAATTCAAAGATTATATGGGAGGTAAATAAAGGTTCTTTTGCCCCTGAAGCTATTTGAAAACATGAACACCGACAATATTGAGCCTTTATACAACTCATTTAAAACATACAAATAAAAAAAAAACGTTTAAATCTACTCAATGCATGAATGAGTGAAAAATGATGAATGGATATGTACAACTCAGATCCAGTACAGTACAGTGGTGTAAACTCTGGCAGCAATTAGGATTCTGATCCCTTAGTTGAGGAATTGTTAATTTGATTAATCAGTTAGTTATTCCATCCATCCATCCATTTTCTGCCCTTTAATCCATTTCTGGGTCAGGGGGGTGGCAGTCAGAGATGCCACCCAAGTCTCATAGCACCAGCCCCTCACTGACCCTCTGCAGGTGGTGAGTCCACAGGAGGAAAGTTAGTTAGTTATTTGGATATCAAAATGCCTGTGAATATGAGATTTTTAAATAGATTTGACCAAAACAAAGCTAAAGCTATCTGCAACATCTCGATTGTATTTAATCTTTATAGCAACACATTGTTTTGACCATTAGACCCTATAGTATCATCTAAGTTATTAGTATTTTCAATAACGATATATCAAAACCAGTTACTCCCCTTGGCATCACCACCACCAGTACTATCTGCTGATGGAGAATAGTTAGACCAATGGTGAGGAGCCTCAGCTGTCAATCAAGTATTTCACTCAGGAAGCTGAGGGGGCGGGTCTAATCGCTTGCCTTCGTCTTTCCATCTTCACATTTTGAAAAGTAACTGACCTTGACTTTAATATATATTTCAATACAAAACGGAGTTAACAACTATTTCAATAATGTATTAGTTGGGGTAGTTACATCCGTAAAGTGAACATTGGAAGATTTTAAACTGCAAGATACAGGATATTTACGCATGTGTGGTTGTGATAGATCTATGAGTTCAGTGAGTTGTGACATGAATGATAGATAAGATAAGAGGTAAAGATCATTGAGGACGATCAAAGGTCCCATTTGGGGAGAATCCGCTGCTGGTACCTGTGTGTCTTGGAGCTGGGAGGAAACGCTAGTGACATTCTTTGCTTAGTTTAATGTTCTTGCTCTCTGCTTCATTCAGTAGGCTGTCACGCTCTCCAGTTCAGCCTAAAACATAAACAATTACAATACAAGCCCGACTTATATCATTTCAAGACACATTTGAACTTGAATTACTGTTGTTTTGGCACATCTGTCCCCCAGCTCTGCCTTCTGCTTCTCGCTGTCGCTGAAGCGTGTCTGCAAATCTACCACTTGGTTTTCAAGCTTCTTCCGTTTGTTTTCTCCGTCCTGCTTGGCCTGGCACAGTGAGCGCACCTCCATCGTCAACTCCGAGGTTTCCTTTTCCAAAGCCTGCTTCGCCTTTCTCTAGGTTTGACTTCACCTGAGCAAAAGAGGCAACCATATCTAAGATTTATATTTATCAGTAGTTAAAAGCAAACCGCGCTGCCTTTGTGAAGGAAGTGTGTAAATGAGGGCAATGTACCCATGGAGATAATCATATCACAAAACTAACTTTCAAACTCAATACACAATACCAATTTCATACCACAGCAATTATCTATAATAATTATCGGATTATTATGATTATCATAAATAGTTTAGTATTTGATTAAAATTGTACTGACCTGAGCTCCTGCTGCGTGGCCGTGGTGTCCAGGGTGTCCTCCAGCTCAGACTTCAGGGCCTCCAGCTCCTCCCCAGGGCTCCAGCTCCTCCCCCAGGTCCTCTCTTGATCTTTTCGGCTTTGTTCCTCGCAGCTCGCTCTGAGTCCAGGTCCTCCTGAAGGTCCGAGATGTGTCCCTCCAGCTCACGGATCTTCTTCAGAGCATTGTTCTTTTGCGCCGTTTCATCCTCTAGCCTAGCAGGAAGGTAATGCAAAATACAACAATAAAATGAATGGAAGTCCCATCTAAGCAGAAGATGTTGGTGCCTGTACATTTGGTTCTAGTGTAGGGTTTAAGGCTGAATATGTGAAAGCACCAAACTATTGAATCCTGGTCTACTAGCCACTTAGTTAACTCACCAATTCAGCTTGCAGAACATTAGTAATGTCGATGGTAAAATAATAATACAAAAAATAGGACATTCAAAACACAGAGCTTTAATGGTAAAAATAATAATATGTATTTATCTGCACTAATATAATGGCAGAAGGATTACATAAGTTTGGACTGCAGTTTTGGAACATCCTGAGGACTATTGCATTTGATTCCTAATGACCAGTAAGTCTGAAAGTGCCCTGGAGTTTTTCCACATATCCAGAATAAAACGTGTTGTAGAATAAGGTTAGTAGACACTAGTGCGGCTTGTGAACAAATGTGGTGTTTACCGGGCCAGGGCGTTCTGTAGCTCCTCCTCCTTCTTGGCGAGTTGGGCTTTGAGATCGGCGATCTGAGCCTGCAGTTCTGCGATCTGCTCCTGCATATCGTTAGATTCAGCCTCCAGCTTCCTCTTGGCTTTGTCCAACTCCTGACGACCTTTCTCCTCCTTCTTCAAGCGAACTAAAAGCAAACAAAAGCACTTGAAACAATATCGCAGAGATTTCATTCATGTATTTGGGAAGGGGAAAAGACACAATTTCCCACAAGACATAAGATAGATAACAGAAGAGGAGAACATTTTGACATTTTATTCCAGCTCAAATTATAGTCACAATTACAGCAGCAGAAGAACCTAATATGGGCGTTTTGATATAGTTGATAATTTGAAAAGTGGCTTAAAGATCGGACTAACTAAAGAAAAGCAACAAAAATCCCCCTGACGCTGTGATTTAAATGGCTAGAAGGTTTTTTTCTTATCTCCAAAACCTGATCTTGTTCCATCCGTGTTATTTAGTGTACTGGTGGTAGCTGTATGTTTCTCCAACACCTTACCTTCCAGTTCTGAGATCATTGACTCGTGTTTGTTCTTGAGTTTCGTGAGGTTCTTTGACTTTTCTTCTTCCTCTGCCAGGTTTGCACTGAAATCTGCGATCCGTTCTTCCATTAACTTTCTCTCCTACCAAACATCAACAACAATGTTATGTAACTATTACATTTATACAATTACATATTTGGTTTTAAAAAGACTTCATGGGGTTATTTTACCTTCTGAAGCTTGTTATTCTGGTCTTCCATGACTAAAACATCGTCCTCAAGTTTCTTAATCTTTCCTTCACACGTGACTTTTTCCAATTGTAGTTTTTGTCGAGCGTCTTCCTCCTCTTCTAAATGCTCCTCCAACTCCTACAATTAAGATTAATCACATGAGAGGTAAGTCTTGTAACTGACGCTTTGGTTGCCATGGCAACTCAGATCATTTTTTCCACCGTTTAAGTTTGCTTCTCAAAGAAGAAATGGAGAAGTATTTTAAAGTATGCTGTTATAAAGAGATGTTTTTGCAGCTTGGAAAGAGTATTATTAAATGACTTGGATCGTACGTGCGCTCTGATTGGCTGACTTGAAGTCTGATATTTTCCCATCTCGGACCGTTACTATGACAATTGGTCCGCAGCGCATATCACATTTGTATGGAAGCCCGTTTCCGCCATGTAAAAAAAAAAAAAAAGCCTACAGAAAGTCAAAATTTTGACTTTAAAAGTCAAAATTTCGACTTTAAAAGTCAAAATTTCGACTTTTAAAAGGAGTTTTCAACCTCAAAATTTCGACTTTAAAAGTCAAAAATTACGACTTTAAAAGTCAAAATTTCGACTTTAAAAGTCAAAATTATGAGTTTTCAACTGCGCATGTGCAGTTGAAAACATTTAATAATCTCTTTCCAAGCTGCAAAAACATCTCTTTATAACAGCATACTTTAAAATACTTCTCCATTTCTTCTTTGAGAAGCAAACTTAAACGGTGGAAAAAATGATCTGAGTTGCCATGGCAACCAAAGCGTCAGTTACAAGACTTACCTCTCATGTGATTAATCTTAATTGTAGGAGTTGGAGGAGCATTTAGAAGAGGAGGAAGACGCTCGACAAAAACTACAATTGGAAAAAGTCACGTGTGAAGGAAAGATTAAGAAACTTGAGGACGATGTTTTAGTCATGGAAGACCAGAATAACAAGCTTCAGAAGGTAAAATAACCCCATGAAGTCTTTTTAAAACCAAATATGTAATTGTATAAATGTAATAGTTACATAACATTGTTGTTGATGTTTGGTAGGAGAGAAAGTTAATGGAAGAACGGATCGCAGATTTCAGTGCAAACCTGGCAGAGGAAGAAGAAAAGTCAAAGAACCTCACGAAACTCAAGAACAAACACGAGTCAATGATCTCAGAACTGGAAGGTAAGGTGTTGGAGAAACATACAGCTACCACCAGTACACTAAATAACACGGATGGAACAAGATCAGGTTTTGGAGATAAGAAAAAAACCTTCTAGCCATTTAAATCACAGCGTCAGGGGGATTTTTGTTGCTTTTCTTTAGTTAGTCCGATCTTTAAGCCACTTTTCAAATTATCAACTATATCAAAACGCCCATATTAGGTTCTTCTGCTGCTGTAATTGTGACATAATTTGAGCTGGAATAAAATGTCAAAATGTTCTCCTCTTCTGTTATCTATCTTATGTCTTGTGGGAAATTGTGTCTTTTCCCCTTCCCAAATACATGAATGAAATCTCTGCGATATTGTTTCAAGTGCTTTTGTTTGCTTTTAGTTCGCTTGAAGAAGGAGGAGAAAGGTCGTCAGGAGTTGGACAAAGCCAAGAGGAAGCTGGAGGCTGAATCTAACGATAATGCAGGAGCAGATCGCAGAACTGCAGGCTCAGATCGCCGATCTCAAAGCCCAACTCGCCAAGAAGGAGGAGGAGCTACAGAAACGCCCTGGCCCGGTAAACACCACATTTGTTCACAAGCCGCACTAGTGTCTACTAACCTTATTCTACAACACGTTTTATTCTGGATATGTGGAAAAACTCCAGGGCACTTTCAGACTTACTGGTCATTAGGAATCAAATGCAATAGTCCTCAGGATGTTCCAAAACTGCAGTCCAAACTTATGTAATCCTTCTGCCATTATATTAGTGCAGATAAATACATATTATTATTTTTACCATTAAAGCTCTGTGTTTTGAATGTCCTATTTTTTGTATTATTATTTTACCATCGACATTACTAATGTTCTGCAAGCTGAATTGGTGATTTAACTAAGTGGCTAGTAGACCAGGATTCAATAGTTTGGTGCTTTCACATATTCAGCCTTAAACCCTACACTAGAACCAAATGTACAGGCACCAACATCTTCTGCTTAGATGGGACTTCCATTCATTTTATTGTTGTATTTTGCATTACCTTCCTGCTAGGCTAGAGGATGAAACGGCGCAAAAGAACAATGCTCTGAAGAAGATCCGTGAGCTGGAGGGACACATCTCGGACCTTCAGGAGGACCTGGACTCAGAGCGAGCTGCGAGGAACAAAGCCGAAAAGATCAAGAGAGACCTGGGGGAGGAGCTGGAGGCCCTGAAGTCTGAGCTGGAGGACACCCTGGACACCACGGCCACGCAGCAGGAGCTCAGGTCAGTCAGTACATATGGATGCATGTAGTTCCCCCCCCCCCTCCACCCCCCCCCCCCCCCCTTTGTGGGGGGTTGTCAAATATCTGCCTTTGGGATCAGAGCGAAGCGAGAGCAGGAGGTGACTCTGCTCAAGAGAGCCATTGAGGAGGAGAACCGCACCCATGAGGCCCAGGTCCAGGAGATGAGACAGAAGCACACGCAGGTGGTGGAGGAGCTCACGGACCAGTTCGAGCAGGCCAAACGAGTGAGCAAATCTATGTGTCTTAGTGTTGTCCAAAGTATGAAAAATCTAATTTTAATCAATACTAAAACTATTATGAATAATCATAATAATAGATAATTATTATAGATAATTGCTGTGGTATTGAAATTGGTATTGTGTATTGAGTTTGAAAGTTAGTTTTGTGATATGATTATCTCCATGGGTACATTGCCCTCATTTACACACTTCCTTCACAAAGGCAGCGCGGTTTGCTTTTAACTACTGATAAATATAAATCTTAGATATGGTTGCCTCTTTGCTCAGGTGAAGTCAAACCTAGAGAAGGCGAAGCAGGCTTTGGAAAAGGAAACCTCGGAGTTGACGATGGAGGTGCGCTCACTGTGCCAGGCCAAGCAGGACGGAGAAAACAAACGGAAGAAGCTTGAAAACCAAGTGGTAGATTTGCAGACACGCTTCAGCGACAGCGAGAAGCAGAAGGCAGAGCTGGGGGACAGATGTGCCAAAACAACAGTAATTCAAGTTCAAATGTGTCTTGAAATGATATAAGTCGGGCTTGTATTGTAATTGTTTATGTTTTAGGCTGAACTGGAGAGCGTGACCAGCCTACTGAATGAAGCAGAGAGCAAGAACATTAAACTAAGCAAAGATGTCACTAGCGTTTCCTCCCAGCTCCAAGACACACAGGTACCAGCAGCGGATTCTCCCCAAATGGGACCTTTGATCGTCCTCAATGATCTTTACCTCTTATCTTATCTATCATTCATGTCACAACTCACTGAACTCATAGATCTATCACAACCACACATGCGTAAATATCCTGTATCTTGCAGTTTAAAATCTTCCAATGTTCACTTTACGGATGTAACTACCACAACTAATACATTATTGAAATAGTTGTTAACTCCGTTTTGTATTGAAATATATATTAAAGTCAAGGTCAGTTACTTTTCAAAATGTGAAGATGGAAAGACGAAGGCAAGCGATTAGACCCGCCCCCTCAGCTTCCTGAGTGAAATACTTGATTGACAGCTGAGGCTCCTCACCATTGGTCTAACTATTCTCCATCAGCAGATAGTACTGGTGGTGGTGATGCCAAGGGGAGTAACTGGTTTTGATATATCGTTATTGAAAATACTAATAACTTAGATGATACTATAGGGTCTAATGGTCAAAACAATGTGTTGCTATAAAGATTAAATACAATCGAGATGTTGCAGATAGCTTTAGCTTTGTTTTGGTCAAATCTATTTAAAAATCTCATATTCACAGGCATTTTGATATCCAAATAACTAACTAACTTTCCTCCTGTGGACTCACCACCTGCAGAGGGTCAGTGAGGGGCTGGTGCTATGAGACTTGGGTGGCATCTCTGACTGCCACCCCCCTGACCCAGAAATGGATTAAAGGGCAGAAAATGGATGGATGGATGGAATAACTAACTGATTAATCAAATTAACAATTCCTCAACTAAGGGATCAGAATCCTAATTGCTGCCAGAGTTTACACCACTGTACTGTACTGGATCTGAGTTGTACATATCCATCATCATTTTCACTCATTCATGCATTGAGTAGATTTAAACGTTTTTTTTTTATTTGTATGTTTTAAATGAGTTGTATCAAGAGCCGACAAAATTGTCGGTGTTCATGTTTTCAAATAGCTTCAGGGGCAAAAAGCAACCTTTATTTAACCTCCCATATTAATCTTTGAATTTGCTCCCCCCTTCATTCCCGTAGGAGCTTCTGGCTGAAGAGAAACGAGACAGAAGCTTCAGTTGTCAACAAAGTTACGGCAAGTGGAGGACGACAAGACCCATTTTTACAAGGAGGCACTGGAGGAGGAGATAGAGGCAAAGAGGAACGTGAGAAAGACACGTGTCCACACTCAATATTCAGGTCTGTCAGCCACAACAGAAACCATGTTTTTATTGTACGCTGTCAGCAAAAAAAGTATCACTCAAGAAGCAATATTTCAAAATGAGCTAAAATTAGGTTTTAAACATATTATCCTGGGTTTCTCTCATAATAAAACTTACGTAACTTTTTTTAGACTTGACTGTTCAGAAATTATAATATTTTCGCCTATCCACACCTCATCAGTCCGTGTAATTGAGAGATGTATAGTTTTGCAATTAAACACAAACTTTTTGTTAAGGATTTTTGCTTAAGAATAACAAGAGTCTGTTCTTTTTAAATAGTTTGCATTTGTTCAGCATCGTTCCTCACTTTGTCAATCATTCCTCATATCAGCAGGTCTCTCATCTTTCAGAGCCCAGAGAGAGTTTCACCATCACAAGAAAGCCACAACATACAGATTAGCATACATTCTGTTTTCTATATTTAGTCACAGCACACAAACAGATAATGATAATAACATTAGTGCTTTTGTTTTAATTAGTGCTTTTCATGAGACACTTTGCATTATCTATTCACTACGTACACAGTGGTGGTTAAACTACTACTGCCACAGCTGCCCTGGGGCATACTAAGTGAGGCAACCCATATGTGCCATCACCCGCTCCTACCAGCACCAACCTTTCACTCACACACCAGACTCATTATGAGTAATGTGGCTGAATGTCTTGCCTAATTCCTTTGTTTGTGTCCAGTTGTCGGATGCAAAGAAGAAGCTTGATGAAATGTGCGGTAACATCGAGTTCTTGGAGGAGGGAAAGAAGCGTCTGCAGAGAGACCTGGAGGCGGCGAACACTCAGTTTGAAGAAAAGGCCTCAGCCTATGACAAAATGGAGAAAACCAAAAACCGGCTGCAACAGGAGCTGGAGGACACGCTCATGGACCTGGACAATCAGAGACAGATTGTGTCCAACCTCGAGAAGAAGCAGAAGAAATTTGATCAGGTGAGTTTACAAGGAGTAGTTTGTTTCTTATGATATCTACAGATGCACTTATTTTCACAGTGGAAAATAAAAATGAAAAGCAAAAGCAAATAAACAAAATAAATCTACATGAACACCAGCATACACTAGTTGTATACAGACATACTTAAAACATTAGAATACATTAAGATTTTCTTTTAGAAAGTTATGACAAGTTTATTTGTATAGCACAGTTCATACACAAGGCAACTCAAAGTGCTTTACAAAACCATTCAACCTTCATCCAACCTTTTCTCAAAAAACGTTCTGTGTTAGTTATTTTGTTCTGTGATATTGTGTTTGTACAGGTTTTGAAACAAATATTTTGGTCGATTGATTGTATAAACCTTGATTTGCAGATGCTGGCTGAGGAGAAGAGCATCTCCAGTAAGTTTGCGGAGGAGAGAGACCGTGCAGAGGCCGAGGCGCGGGAGAAGGAGACCAAAGCACTGTCTCTGGGCCGCGCCCTGGAGGAGGCGCAGGACTCACGCGAGGAGCTGGAGCGCGTCAACAAGGCCCTGAGGATGGAGATGGAGGATCTGATACAAGGACACGTGGGCAAGAGCGTAAGTGAGATAATGAGAGAAAATGACCTCCAGCAAATAAACATGTAAATGTAAGACTGCTAAAAGGTTATCATGCTAACCACAATGGATTGATTTAAAAGCATGCTTTATTTATGTTGCCATCTGCAATTATTTTCAAATTGTAAAATAAAGAAAGTACCATTTTATCAAAATTGAGAAGTAAGAACATGTAGTTTAAGTATTTATAAGGTTTCTTACCAGACCAGTAATCAGACCTGTATGACGGGTTTTTTTATGTTAGAAATACAGTTTTTAATACCATTTTATATTCGAAAGGTTTCAAAATCAGTTGTTGTTTTTTTTGTCTGATCCCCCCATCGAAATAGCATAGCAACGCCCTTAGAGACGAAAAAACTTCACAGCCCTTGGTGACGTCAGAACGGGTACGTTTCAATGCTGTAAGTTGTTTACAATTTGGTATTCGTTCTTTTTTCGCGAATATTCAAGATGACAAGGCCGTGTACAGCAAGTCTAAGATAAATACTAGAATGTATCATTTCATTGTCACTGAGATAGTCCAGTGGTTGTGTCGGTTTAAATCCCACCTCGGACACTTTTTCACACTCAAAACGGCAATTTATGTGTAGTGAGCAATTGTCACCTGTAGAGTGCAGTATTGTGTTGGGCATCAGGGGAGAGAAGAGAGAAAAGGCAGTCCTGTGGCATAGATCCATGGTTTTCAATGCATGGGCGTAACCCGCTGTGACGTCACACACAGGTTAGAGCATAGACAACTTAAATTCATGAAAAACACGTTCTTTTTATAAAATATAGGATTTTTGTTGCCGGAATCTCTTTCAAATTGACATTGTCATGCAATTTTGATATCCACTATTTTTTTTTTAAAAACCCGTCATAAGGTCTTTAAGTAAAAATACTTAATACTTCAATTGCCACCGCTGAATATAAAATATGTCTTTAGTTATTTAGAATCTCCATAATTATTTGAAATGCATCTCATTTGTCAATAATTACCTGAGGGAGACAAGTGAATCAACCCTTCAAATACATGCAGAGGTCTATGTACCCAGTATAAGGGTACACGTGTTTGTGTGGGTGAAGACAGGCCATCTGTTAGAAACAACACCAACAATCCTTAAGACGGGTCCTCCGCAAACGCAGGCTCTGGGGGTAGTCGCCCACAGCTTCAGACAACTTTCCTGTTTGTTATTAGTCACTGGAGACTCAGCCTTATGTGCCTTCTCTGGTCTGAACCAGGTGCACGAGCTGGAGAAGTCGAAGCGTGGCCTGGACGCTCAGGTGGAGGAGATGAAGACTCAGCTGGAGGAGCTGGAGGACGAGCTGCAGGCAGCAGAGGATGCCAAGCTGCGGCTGGAGGTGAACATGCAGGCGCTCAAGGCACAGTTCGAGAGGGACCTCCAGGGACGTGACGAGATGGGAGAAGAGAAGAAGAGGCAGCTCATCAAACAGGTGAATACAGCATAAAGCACCCAGACGACTTTATATGACACACACCGAGTGGTTAATCAGTAGTATTCATCTTGATTTTGTTATATTTTTACGTTGAGTCAAATGCAATAGAACCTTAAGTGAAATGTATTTGTTATAAGTCAAAAAGGCACCTGACTTAAACTACTACAGACATTACGCAAAAACTTAGATAAATAAATTTTGTTTCAAGCAATTGTTAACTTTTTTTATTGTATCTTATTTGAGAGAGTAAGTGTAATATCAAAGTAACCTGTCATATCCCCAAATACAAACACAGCTGAGTGGTTAACAAAAAGGTCCTGGGTTTTGAATCCCAATCTGTGTGGAATTTGCATGCTCTCCCCATGTCTGCATCGGTTTTCTCTTCCATTAAAAATATGTACGATCACCCCTGTATCATTACGTCTGAAGAAGAAGAGATTCTGAAATCCCAGTGGGTATATCCTGGTTAGATAAATGTCACATTGTTTACCACAGCTCCATTAGAGGAATGAACACATTTGTTGATGTATTATTGATGTATTTAATGTTGCATTTGTTGAGCGCAGGTGCGGGAGCTGGAGACGGAGCTGGAGGACGAGCGCAAACAGAGAACGAGCGCCGCGGCTGCCAAGAAGAAGCTGGAGACCGACATGAAGGACCTGGAGGCTCAGATCGAGACCTCCAACAAGGGCCGCGACGAGGCCATCAAGCAGCTCCGCAAGCTCCAGGTGCAAACACTAAGGCTGCATGCTCTTCAATAACCACAACTCATCCTTTTTGCAAGCATTCAAGGTCAACTCATTTTGAAACTAACTTGAGACTCGAGATCATGCACATCAGGAGAAACAAGGCTTCACAACTGAAGGAAATTAATCACATTAAAATATCACAGAGAATGCATTTTTATTCAGAATTATACTAATTTATATACACTGTTTGTTTAAACTGTATGAGTTAGATTTAAGTACTTAAGTAAGTAACTAGCACATTTTGTAAAATTATTTTCAAAAGCTTTATAATTACAGTAATTTGTAAAATATAACATAACATAACAGGCAAATTAAATTGAAATGAAATGTGTGGACTCCAGGCGCAGATGAAAGATTATCAGAGGGAGCTGGAGGATGCCCGTGCCGCCCGCGAGGAGGTGCTGATCACAGCTAAGGAGAGCGAGAAAAAGGCCAAAGGTCTGGAGGCCGAGCTCTTCCAAATGCAGGAGGTGAGCGTTATACTGGAGAAATAATTCAAATAAGTAAATAGAAATAAATGTTGTCTATCAAGTACAAGGTTCTGTCTTATAAATCACCCACCTTTGGGGTTTCAATTCATAAAAAATATATTATATGGAGAAATTTACTTTTTACCATAAAGACATATTTCATAAATCACTTGCCCAAAAAAAGATAATATATGAACATGTAATAAATGTTAAAGAAAATACTGTGATTAAACATTGTGTCTTTTTTTGTGTGACATTTTTATCATATGTTAGGATCTGGCCGCCGCAGAAAGAGCTCGTAAACAAGCAGAGGCAGAAAGAGACGAGTTGTCAGATGAACTGGCCAGCAATTCTTCTGGAAAGTGAGTTCAACCAGATCAGTACCTATTTTATGTTGACAACATAGGATTTATATGAATATTCTCTAATCTGTTTGGCAATTCTCTAACATCCTCTGAGACGACAGCTGTCATGATTTTTGGCAATACAAAAATAACTTGTTTGGTCGGTTTACTTTTTCCAGGTCGGCCTTGGCGGATGAGAAGCGACGTCTTGAGGCCAAGATTTCTCAGTTGGAGGAGGAGTTGGAGGAGGAGCAGGGCAACATGGAACTCCTCAATGACAGGCTGCGCAAGAGCACTCAACAGGTCAATCAAACTTTACTTCAAAGTGATTTTTAGACGATTCTAAAACCTAAAAGACTAATGCTGTAATGCTGCCTACAGGTGGATCAGCTGAACATTGAGCTGCAGACGGAGCGCAGCACGTCTCAGAAGAACGAGAGCGCCAGGCAGCTGATGGAGCGACAGAACAAGGAGCTGAAGGCCAAACTGCAAGAGATGGAAAACCAGGTCAAGTCCAAGTTCAAGTCTTCCATCACGGCTTTGGAAGCGAAAGTGGTTCAGCTGGAGGAGCAGCTGGAGCAGGAGAGCAGGTGAGCAGCAGAATCATCAAATACATTCATCTACTATGAGGTCCATGCAAATCTGATTTGGTGACATCAATTACAAAATCTGTCTATGTTGAAAGGGAAATTACATAAACATGATGCATGGGTGTTATATTTATTATAAACTATATTGCAGACCAAGGCACAAATGTCTGCTTTTTAGCTTATTTAATTTGAATTGTGTGTTTTCATCAGAGACAAGCAGGCCAATGCAAAGAGCATACGTCAGAAGGACAAGAAGATGAAGGACCTGATAATGCAGGTGGAAGATGAGAGGAAACAGGCAGAGCAGTACAAAGACCAGGTAATTCAGAGTATTGTTGTGTTTGTATAACCTCAAAGTGCTGAGAGTAATACTTTTGTCTTTTGTCATCAGGCTGATAAGGCGAATGTGCGGATGAAGCAGCTGAAGCGTCAGCTCGAGGAGTCAGAAGAGGAGTCTCAGCGTGCAACGGCTTCACGCAGAAAACTGCAGCGAGAGCTGGACGAGGCGACTGAAGCCAACGACAGCATGAGCCGTGAGGTCACCACTCTCAAGAACAAACTCAGGTGAGAAGCTACCATTGACCACAATCGTCCAATTACAAAAGGCAAATGTTGAGCGAGCACACACATGACTAAAAGGCCCAGTCGGAGGCTTGAGTCATGTTGATACTACATTTGCCTTGTTGTCCGCATAGAAAACATTCATGTTCGTGTGTATTACAGAGGCAACCCTGAACCCAAGGAGTAACACCGCAGGTACTACTAGAATAAGCCAACCCAGAGCTGCTCATCATCATTTCCCATTTCTATCACATTAACTGAGACAAAAATGGCTCACTCATAAAAAAAATTCTCTAATTGTCAGCAGGGGCCATCTTTATCTCAGTGCTTGGTTTAACTGCCATAAACCAAACTCATTGCCCTAAACCAGGATACTAATGAGTTATAACGATAACCACGTGCTTAACCTCAACCAAGGCACATTTTCCACTGGATTCTTCTTTCAGTATAAACTCAGTGGTTTTCAGCAAACAAACATCTCACTCATGCTTTCTTCACTCTCACTTTTTCTCTCCATGTTTGTCTATGTGCGTTTTTGTATTTGTGGTGTTCTAGGCGTGGAATTGAGCCTTCCTATGGCAGCGCTCCTCGTCGGATTGGAGGTGGGCGGCGGGTGATCGATGACGCCTCAGAGGAGGAGACAGACTCCCAAAGCGATTTCAATGGAAAGTCCACAGAATAATGGACTTCATGCCCATCACTGAGCATCATTGCCTGAAATCATTTTTTAAATATACAATTTACAGTTGTGTATGTTGCACCTTTTCCCACCACTATCTAAAATCCTTAATATCAGCTGTGTAAGCTCCCCCAGAAGTCTAATTTTCACTGATTTGCCTTAAAAATTATTTTTCAATCAATCAATCAATCAAAGTTTATTTATAAAGCGCTTTTTCATACAACAGATGCAACACAAAGTGCTTTACAGTTTGGCTAAAAAACAATCCTGCCCATGCCCTCCCCCCGACCGCCCAACAGACCCTCCCCAGACCACAAGCAAACACCCCCCCCCCACACACACACACACACACACACACGCGCACACACACACGCACCGATAAAACAATAAAACGACGATAAGAGACTTGGCAGGGTTCAGATGCAACCGGCTGAAGAAACGCCATCCAAGGAGCCGTCAGCGCCAGGAGCAGAGAGCCGCCCATAGCCAAAGGGGACGACACAGGACCCAGAGGAGACCCAAAACCGAGGCCCCGGGCCCCCACCAGGTCCAAGAGTCCGACCCCCACAGCCACAGCCAACCACCGCTCCCAGCGCAGAAGGCTCCTCCAGAGCGTCACTATTACGTCACTATTAATGTTAGAAAACACACTTAAGTAAATCTGATTTATTTGATCGTCCTGTTGCCTGTGACTGCTGTTACTGTATCTGCGCAGCACTGTCGAGGGTTGTCCCTCTTGTGCTGCCGACTGTGTTCAAGGACATATTTAGCCATTTGTCACTTTAGATATTTCCACATATTTTAAGCCAGACAAGGTATGGGGATGCCTAAAATAGATCGATCATGCCACTTTCCACTGAATATTCACAGCTTGCCTCATTGTCTCCTTGTCAGGTAACTGTACAGGTAAACGAGCTCCCCTCCTCAAACAATGTATTTTCTATATTCAAATGATGTTTACATGACACTTTATTACTTTTGAAGCACCTGCACTGAAAATAAAGATATCAGTTTGTTACAGATTCAATTTGTCTTTATTTGTTCAGTAACTATTCCAAAAGTAAGAGGTTGCAGGTGAAACGTTGGGCTGAGGCACATAGTCTGATAAAGCAGTTGCAACGGCACTTTAGAAAGCCGCCAGTACACAGTGGTCAGAGATTACATTTACAGTGAGCCCAGTTCCATTTAAGAACAGCAAAGAGCAGGGACATGATACTTTCAAGTCCCTCAGGCAGAAATTAAAAGCTTCAGGAAAGATAGAGCACTGGCAGTAATGGAGACAACGTTTCACCATTTCACATTTAGATGAAAAAGTGTTCTCTCTCTCTCAAAAAAAGAAAAAAAAGAAAAACAGTACATAACATTGTAAACAAACAGCTGTGCTTATCAATCAAATCAGTTATTGCTTGGTATAGACACACATTCAGTTTTGTATTGATCTAGACACAGTAAAAACAAAAATATTACACACAACACAGACATGACTCCTCTTCAGTCAGCCGTTTGTTAGGCAGTTATCCAGACGTAGGCCATAAACCTTAAGTGGGTGGAATGATAGGTACTATATTTTGGGACAACTATGACTTTGGTTAAACTATGATTAATAAAAAAGGGAGTGAAATGTTTTTTTAATGATATTAGGTCAACTATAATAACTATACTATAATTTACTGGTATAATAGAAACTGCAGAGATGCATTTTAATGAATGATGTGAGGGAATATTTAACTACCTTTACATTTGCCACAGAATACTAGGACAAATGCTCCCATGTTTCAGCAGTTCAATGTAGATTTACTGGTAAACTTTGATTTGGTTTAAGTATAATGTGTTTAGGAAACATTTTAAAAATACATGGTTTTGTTCTTAGAAAATTCAAAAGCCCCACATAGCAGGGCACTCAACAGAACTTACCATGAAGCCAAACCAAAGCTGCAGTCTTTGTGAAATGAGCCACAGGCAGCAGCACTGATTATGTGGAGCAGATCAGTCCAAGGGGACACACAGTGTCGACAGAAATAAGCCATCTAATAACTGCACATTTTTGTAGAGTAGGTCAGAAGATCAGGAGGACAGTTTATTGTAGAGGTAGTTGTCTCATAGCAAGATCTTCACTCCTCCCTGTGGAGACTGAGTGCCATGGGAGAGTCCTCGAGGAGGAGCTGGACCAAACTCTAGGTGCTTCACTACACTAAAATCAGAGAGAAAACAGCCATGAAGTTAAAGCAAATCCAAATGAGCATGCTTCACAAGGAACACAGCACATACCTGTCATACTGCGGAGGGGAGCTGCTCACTTGGACATCAGAGCCTACTCCAAAACCAGGGCTGGAAGCGAGGAGAGCTGGTCGGCTGACCGACGTGTCATACACAAAGTCTCGACAAGATGCCAACTTAGACTCCAAATTCTGTTCATGCAGAACGCATTTGTTTTAAATCAAAGAAGGGTAATGTTCACAATCTTGCCACAAACTTTCTTACCCCAACTTTTCTCAATAGTTCGCCAACAATATTTAGTGCAGATATTCGAGTAGAAGTTGTCAGGGGAGTGCCCGTAAGTCCATCACCTTCAAAAGTTACAAGTTACAACCACAAAAGTACATGTAGCCCACTGTAAGATTACCCCCACGCATTACATTACAGGGTTCCTTGGATTATGATTACCACAGCAGCAGCTCATGCTCACCTCGGCGGATGCTGGAGATAGGGGGCGTGTCGAATGTGCTAATCGGTTTAGCTGGTGTTGTGGGGAGGGAAGGGTTAATAGTAGAGGGGCCCTGCAGGTCTGAGTCTTTGCCTAAGCTGCTCGACGGCCGTCTCTCTACCTGTCGAACTGCTAACTCCTGACGAAGGTCTGTGACAGGAGAGTAATGTCATTAATATAAACACACAATAGATTCAAATGTACATGAAAATGACTGCCCTGTTTGTACCTCGAGCTTCATCCTTAAGTCTCTGAACTGACTCCAGCAGGTTTTCTTTCTCGTCCAGCTCACTTTCAAGGAAGGCATTGCGCTCTATTACTTGGTTCATTCTCTGCTCAAAGTCCTCAAGCGACATAATAGTTGCCCTGAAGTGGAAAAGTAAAAACAATAAATGTTTTTGTTATAAAAGTAGACCTATTATGGTTTTTTCTAATCACAAACCTTTTGGTCCTTTCTAGATCATCATTGGACTGCTCAAGTTCCCTGATGTATTTCTGTAGATGATCTCTCATAGTTGTAGTTTCCAGCAGATTCTCTTCCAGTGTAGAAATGTGCCTCGAAGCTTCAGAGTGGTGGTTCTCAAATTTCTCCTGTTAATACAAAAACAGAAAGTTCAGACAACTGTAAATGTGAACTGGTGTCTTACTAAAGGGTATGAGAATGATATGTTGTTTATGTTATGTATGCACTGTACTGAACAGCCTTTAAGCATTGTGGAATTAAACACAGCATAATCGTTCATCCCAGTAAAATCAATGCAGTTGTTGCGTTTTTTTTTTTTTTATAAATTAACTTAATTTTAAGGCAATATATGGGCTACCATCTCCCAAATACTATTTTGGGGAAAAATCTTAAAATCTCTGCATTTTAAGATTGAGAGACTTTGAGAGTTTTTATCATTTTAAATAATCCAAGAGGTAGCTGAATATGGTATTTGTTTTTATATCTTTGACCAAAACAAAGCTAAAAGAGATAATGTGTTACTAATTGAGTTGATTGGAAATACTTTAACGCATTTTCATTTCATTCTGCAGTCATAAAACCTCTTCTCAGCATGTTTAAGGCTGTGTTAAGTGATTAATCAAACACTAAATTAGTTGACAACCATTTAAGTAAAATAGATTAGTGACGATCAATTGATTAACTTGTTACAGCCCTTCAGACCTACAGTCCTGTAATGAATGCGCAACGATGACACTGAAACTTTCCCACCCTAGGACAAATAAAAGACCTCTTATCTTGTCTTGTTATTTTAAAATGAAGACTCAAGAGTTTAAAAACAATATTTGTGGTAAGACTATGAATAGAGACCTTTATAAGACATCTGCAGTCTGATAAACAAGTTAGCAACTCCAGGAGCAGTGGAGCACATTCCACAGGGCGAGGGGGATCTAGTCTAGTTTTAGAGCAGCACCTTCACATTGTCCAGCTCCATGCGCAGTCTGTTGTTGTCCAGGAGGAGATCTTTGTTTCTCCCTTCACACTGCTTCAGCTCGGACTCCAGCTCAGCCTCATAGTCTCGACTCATCTGCTGAAACTCCTGCAGCTCCTCTTGCACCTCTTCAGCCCTAACACCACATTTGCAATACATATCAATAAGGAGTTATGCAAATGACGCTTCAGAAGCCTTGTACCTTTGATGTTGTTTCTCTGCCTGCTCCTTCCAGAAGCAAAGCTCATCTTCCATCGACGCAAACTTGTGCGTTGGCTCCACCATCTCTATGCCTGGAATATTCATGAATTATACTTTTCAGGCAAAGTTTCAAACCCAATCCAGATGTACACGATGCTAGCTAAACGAATACACCAACAATGATATTTTAAAAATGCATGGATAAATGTACAATAAATATTAATATTTTGCTAAATTCGGCCAATATCTAATCCAAGTCAAAATAAGAGGCACACCAACAAACACACGTAATAGTCTCATATAAAATCATTGTTTAGTTGCACATTAACTTTAGCTAACCTGAAGCTAACAACCAGCTATTTAGCATCTGGCGTCTACGGAGTTTTAGATTAAAATATTATGGTCAATGGTTATTCAGAATAACATAGCAAAGAGCCACCGTATACTTGCATAAAATAAACGTGTTTAATCCAGAAAAATAAAAGTATCCTTGAGCTAAAGTCGCTGATCCACCGAAGTGTTTCGTACAAATACAAACGAGCAGCAGAGCTCACGTATTATTGGTCCCTCAACCCTGCGATTATCGCGGATTATCCAATCACGTATAACATGGCTGGTCAGGTTCAGCCAATCCGTGCCAGGTGTGTCTATAGTCCCGCCTCCAGTGCGCAATCACATGCAGTAATGTTATTATAATTATTCATATTATACAAGAGGTTTGTTCATGTGTTTTTTACCGGTAGTAAAACTCAAACAACCCAGTGACGACTATTTATTTTATTCGCCTTTATTAGTAATAATATATCATATTTGAGGTAGTTAGACATGAAAGGAATTGTTGGGTTAGTTACTGGAACATTGCATTGACACTTAATAGGACTGAGGCAGTGTACATTTTAAACTATGCAATGAACAGCCATGCTTCTGTCCTCTTTGAAATATGGCCTTTTCAAAAACAGTATTATATGATGTTGAGTTCAATAAATGAACCATCACATTTTTCTTTCAGGTGTTTGAATATTTGAAGGTTATGAAACTCATCTTCATTAAAATGAGAAAACATATTTTACATAGATAGAAAAAAAATAGAAAATACAAAAAATATTTGTTATAACAGGCCTCCATTTATGCACAATCATGGATCATTCTTGTTTCAGCATCTCATCGTCATCTGAAAAAACAGATATATTAGTAATTAACAGTTCTATAGACTGCAAATAAAGAATTGTATCTACATATCCACTCACATTTATTGTTCTTCTACTGTCTTTTCATCTTTCACTTCATTCTTTACGACACACGTCCCCTTTTTGCAGTCCACCACATCTGTCTTCACTTGACCCAGAGTTTGCAAAAGGCACATGGCGTCAAAACCCTCCTCACTCGAGTCTTGTAACAACTCTAGAACCTGTAACAAAATTTACAACAAGTTTACAGAGAGAGTTAGTGCTTTCATGAATAAAACACATCCATCTGAGTCAGGAGCAGTTTACTGTAGATCCTGACCACATAGAGGTCATCGATCTGCTCTGACCAAGTCTATCCATCTCCATATGGCACAAAATCACTCAAATGTTCAGCAGAGGCTACTCAAGCACCTCAAACTAAACTACTGTAGGTTCTCCAAGTAACATTACAAGTGTCATCTAAAAGTGAAGTAATAACATTTTAGAACTACCACATTTGTAGAATAACAGTTGAGCTATAAAATAATATGCCTTAAGGATTTTAGATAGTAACTTTCTTCATATGTGTTTCATCATGCTATTATTTACGGAGGGGTGGTTGGTCCTAGTGGGGGATTCTGTTGTACACAACTATAGATGTGATGCATAGGTGGCAACATCATCAACTCTATAATTACTTACCAGGAATTAAAATACCTAGTCTTCTTTCTGGCTTTATAGCAGCTCATATAAAGCTCATACTGTAATCATGTGCAATGTGCAATACTGCAATTTCAGAATGTCCACTGAATGTCACTTTATCTACTTATTATCCTGCCCTATATATGAGATTAACATTAGTTAGGTTTAAGTTTATTGTTATATGTTCCGCAATAATGCATCACCCTCATTATTTTGTCACTTAATGTACTAAACAAGTGCTACAAAGTTACATCATTCGCTTGTGCAGATGTCATCCCTTGAATCAGGTTCAAGTATTTCCCTGTGGATTAAGCCAAACCCACCTGCAGGCACTTGTACGACTTCAGTTGGCTCAGATTCTCCTGTAGAAACAGAAGATACATGCTGAGGTCATTGTAAACCGGGGTGACCTCTCCCAAAGAGCCAAACCCCGGGAGCATGTCGTAAGGCCGCAGGAAGCTCGAACTCTGCCGCGCTGGTCCGACGGAGGCGTAGACCACCAGAGGAACCAGGAGAACGTAGACCACCAGGTTGATGTAGCTGAGGAGCCTGAACACCCCCACTGCCACCAGCTTGCACTGCACCGCCACTGGCACGGAGCTGTCGTTCTGAAGCACGCCTTTTCTCAGGTCGCAGGGGAACTCGTCTGTGAGGGAGGCCAGCAGGATGTAGTAGCCGAGGTACACGCAGGCGAACAGCAGGATCAGCAGAGTGAGACCGCGGCAGGCCAAGTATCTGACCACGAGGCTGCGAGAGAGGCGCTTGGTCTTGAGGTAATGCTCAACTAATGGGTATTTGAAGCAGCCCTCTGCCAGGTCCAAAGCACTGTGATCAAATAAAGAAAACAAGTCATTCTCAAGAGGTTACATCAGCTGGAGAAATGCAGAGTGAAATCACAAATTAGATTAGGTTGTATGAATTAACATCACACCAGATCCACATTTCAGGCTTTTCACTTTGGTATAACAGTAGCATTTTAAGGCCGTGATTCCCAATTAGGGCAATGACATTAGAATTGTTAGTTATTTTATCATTATTATGAATATTTAATGCATTGTCTTTAAGCTAACTGTGTTGTCATAGATGTCAAAGTTCCCTGTGGTTAAGGGTGTCATAGGTGAATGTATGTCACTGGTTTGGGTTACCATAATGGAAAGTATGCTTTAGTAAGTGGATATTTCTGTCGTCAGCTATATGTGTGCCTAATAAACCAGTAGAAAAGCCTTTAGCAGCATGTTTAAACAAAGTGTCAGGTAATGGGATGAACATCTGGGATCTTTGGAGAGACAATCATTTGACCATAATGGGTGTGTTTTTTTGTCGTTAAATAAATAGCCTGTCACAATGGGACAGAGCAGCAGTAGTCTCACAACAGCAGCGCCAGAAGATTTGCCTGCTGCTGCGAAACTTTCTCATTGTGTCACAAGTAAAAATCTAACCTGGTAAACTGTAGAATGAACTAGCTTAAACAGGGAAGAAAAATGTGTACTTTAGAGTAATTTTGCATCCTTGCAAAATTATGCTATCACCCCCTAATTCTATGCAAGAGAATTTGGGGGTGATAGCATAATTTTGCAATTGTTGCGTTACACAAAAACGGTTGAAACTCCTGAGTAATGATAATGCATCGGTTTAATATAGCGCTTTTTTGGACACTCAAAGATGCTCAACATGTCATTATTCTCTCACTCCATATGCGGTGGTGATAAACTACTATTGTAGGCACAACTGCCCTGGGGCACACTGGCACAAGCGAGGTGACCTGAATGTGCCATTGGCCCCTCTGACCACCACCATCCATTCATGCACACATCAGACTCCTTATAGGTAATGTAGGAGAAGTATCTTGCCCAAGGACACAACAGCAGGTTGGTACTTTACAGCTGCAGCCGCCCCACCGTGTTCCCAGAGGTCTCCCATCACAGTTCTATCCAGGCCCTGCCCTGCACAGCTTCAGAGGTCTGACATGATCTGGCTTTCGCACGCAGGCATACTTAAAAGTGATATATATTTCACTGTACATTGAAAGTGATAAATATTTCAATAAGATTTATGAAAGAAGTAAAGACCTTTAGTGTGTTTGATCTTGTACCAGTTTAAATGTGGGATTTGAAGCGGTTAATGTCAAAGTTTGAAAAATACCTTTTATTTTAGGTATTTGATTTAGACCTTACGTAGTCCTGATTGATTCCTGGCTCTGATGCTCAAGTATAAATGCATCTATAAGAGTTTTTTCATACAGCATTCTATTTTCTATTTTTTATTTATTATTTGATCTATACAAAAGACATGTTTATGTAGATTACATACATGTATCAAAATGACTACAGCCTACCTTTGTGAGTCCTCATTCCCATCCTTGCTGTCTAAAGAAGCCAGATTCTTGGCCAGACGAATTGAACGGTTATAAAAACGGTCCAGCTCCTCCATGATGAAAGTGAGGTCTGAAGAAAGGTGTGGAGCAGCTGTGAACCTCCAAAACAGAGCAGGGATGTACAGTAGGACGGCAAAGAGGAGCAGGATGTACGGGAAGAACTACAAAGAATAGAATAGAAACTGGGAATAATTTATTTGAAGACATGCAGTCATCATTTTTGTTTCATTGTTTCATTCATGACTGTACCTTATGTAGCCATAGTGGGGTGTTCTCTGATTGCTCCTGAACTGCTGCCCAGCAAAATGAATCCACATAGTACGCTTGTCTCCAGGAGAAATTTGTTGGAGCAAAGCAACTGATTTGTGTACCTATCAAACACAAAATATATAAAATAGAATTCACACTTTCAATGTCTATCAATCTACAATTCATTTGCATTGAATAGGTTATTATTCTTCCTGTTTTTTTTCTATACAAGAGGCTCATCCGTGCTTGCATAATTCAATAATGATACATGTGATGAGATTTTGGCAGTAACAAATAACCTCTATCATATGACCACACTCACTGTACATACCAACCCTGTTCCATGGTAACAACATGACCCACTTATAGATAGTCAATGTTGTATAGCAGTCTATTTCTGAGGCGAAGAGAATTTGAAGTGACAGAGTTGCACTTTCATAGTTGTTGTTCACTTGTTGTGCTTATTTCTACTTTCCCATATTCAACTATTTCTAGTTGAATATGGGAATGCCCTAAGTCTAAAGCATGTTTTCTGTTCAGTGTAAAAGTTGTTCTCCCCTCATATGGTGTGTATATATTATAGTTCAAAGGACCAGTGACTTTGATAAATAGACAGAGTGCCTGACGTTTTAAGAGGATTATAGATCTCCAATTAAACAAACCCCCATTGTCTATATGTCACCATTTACTTTCAACAACAGAAGCCATTGGAATTTAGTTTATCAGTTACAGTCTGTCAGGGTGTGATACTGAGACGAGTGGAGTCGCTACACACCCCATGCACTCACATTTGTCAAAAACGTCCACGCAATATGAAATTCCACGCTCGACACTTGAATCGAATTGAATGAATTAAATATTTCTAGTATTTCTGTATAAACCATATATAAACACAACTCACCCACGGACACCTCCTGAGCAAAGGCGAGGGAGATCAGAAACAAAGGCAGCCCCACGGACAGAAACGTGACTATTTTATCCACAGCGAGCTCCAGGCGCACACCTTTGTATTTATTACTCTGTCCCTCTGTCGGATCTTTCAGTAAGAAGTCACTGAAGACATATTCAGTGGCGACGTGCGCGATCGCCATGATAAACCTGAACAAAAGCCGGGTTTTGTGTGTAAAGGATTAACTTTCAGCGCGTGCTCTTCAATTTGCCATCTTCACACTGTCATGTGCACGGTGTTAGGGAAATGGAAAGGCTTCAGTTAAAACTAAGAGTAGAAAGAAATCAATCGCCACAAAGAGGATGATGGTGAACCTGCTGCGCTGTCCCGTCAGTCAGAGCCGTGTCAGCGGGCTCGTCCGAACACTAGGGGGCGCTATTGGCGACATCAAATTTACATTGACATTAAATGATGATTAAAAAATAGAGTTTAAAGACACGGCGGAGGCTAATTCACTGTGTGGTAACTATTATGCGTTGCTCTAGCCCACAAAACGCAATTTACACGTACATTTAACCAAAATGTGTTGATAAATTTGTGTTTTATTATGTGTTCTGGCACTTAGCAGCTACATTTATTGTTACTGTATTTTTCTATTTATTTTTTGCATATGCATAATGATTATAGAAAAATCCCCACGTCACTGGGATAGATAAAGTAAAGTATGGTTTATTACATATTTTCCAAGACCATATAATAAGACTATTATAAATGGTATCAAAGTAAATAATTGCACCTCATTTTTTACATATTTCTTTAATGTATTTATTTATAGTTTAAACCAGCCGTTCCCAAACTCAGTAACACCGAGGCCCCCTTAAAAATCTGACGGGTCTGCGTGGCCCCCCAAAATAATAAACAAGAAGACAACATTAAGAATAGGCTCTTCTGGTTATTTTATTTTGGGGAAATAGCCTCTGCTACAAACATTGTAATACAAAAATGATTACAGTGGATTATTCAAGTCAAATAATGAACACAAATATTTTAATATTACAAACAAAACATTATAAATTTAACATTAAATAATTATATTATTTTTTTATGACCTCCCGCGGCCCCCCTGCAGTACCCTCGCGGCCCACCAGGGGGCCGCGGACCCCACTTTGGGAGACACTGGTTTAAACAGTTTTTGAAGCTTCTGGTGAAATGGTGGAATGCATTTTCGGCAGCTGCGTCTCATTTACGGCAGTGTGCAGATTACAAGAAGAACACACGGCTCGTGAGCATGGATGGATCCAGCTCGTGAGGGAAACACGGAGGGAAAGGGACCAGAGGGGCTAATGTAACGACACCAGGTAGAAAACAACAGTATTTAAGTCATTTAGATTTCTGCGACTGCCAATTTACTCACTTATGAGCAAATACATAATTGAGTTATCCTGAAATTTGGCGTCAATGTATGGTCGATGCTTCTTGTTAGCATATGTTCCTTACCATATGTTGTTAAAAGCACAGCGACTTAAGTTATAGCAAGTATTTAACGTTACCAACGCCAACTCTAGAAAGATAATTATGCATCTGTTCGAACTATCGTCACCCTTTGATGGTTAACTATACTGTGTGTTTTGCTTGGAAATCTTGCATTGTTTACGTAAAGACTACATTGGCTCGTAGCTGCAGTGAAAGTCCCCTGAGGGCAACCCGTGTGAAATTCCTATTGATTTATCAGCTGTGCCTGTGCCTTTTTATATTTGCGTGTTCAATTACAGCATGAGAGAAGAGGAACGCATATGATGAGAAGGACAGTTTTGGGATGAAGAATGGAAGGACTGGGCGAAGAGGAAGTGAAGTTCAGCTCTAGACCCTTCCCATGGGTCGGTCCAAACAAAAAGGAGGCCTCAACTTTGCTGTGGAAACTCAAAGATTGTTTTTCCGACAATGTAACATCCTCTGCCAACTCCTATAAAGAAGTGAGTGAGAACTTAATTCGGTTTTTGTGACAAATATGTGTTTAGTGGATAGGTTAGGGATTGAAATGTGTTTTAGCGTTTTACATTTTGTTAATGTAAGTCAAAACATTGGTATGAAGGCCATCACTTAAGATAAACATTATCTTGGTGTTTCTTGGAAAGGGCTTTGTTTTCAGTTTAAATTCAAGGCTGAAGTCTTATCTTTTACAGGGTTTCATGGAGGACAGAAAGCCTGTGCTGGGCCTGAATGATGTCCCCCCTCCTCCTGTTCCTCTGCATCACAATACATCTTCACCGCCTTCCCAGCGTTTCTCTCTCGCCCCTCTCCCCATTCCAACACCTATCATGTCTTCACCTCATCAGATACATCCACCACTGTCCCAGCAGAAACGGGGGTCTAAGGCCAAAGTAAGCTCTTGCTTCTATTGCGAACACTGCAACTCTGGTGGCTATAACACTTTAGGTGAAGCTGTGGCTGGTGTTGGCAGTAGCATCGACGATTCCCTCTCCTTTTACATGGCTTCAAGCTCTTTGAGTACACCCAGTGCAACCAGCAGTTTTCACAGCTCTGGACCTCGTTCAATGGCATCTGTTCAGTATAAACCAAACTCATCCTGTGAAATTCTTAATGACTCTTTAGCTTCATGGAGTGGTCATAGTTACTCTTCTCAGCTTCCCTCCTCTGTTGCTACCTCACAGCCTGTATCATCGTATCCCTACATGTCTGACTGTTCAACAATGCTCCTCTCTCACCAAATATCTCCTCTGTCGGGCAACCAAGAAAACAAAGTTTCCTCTTTGGCTCCTCCGAACTCCCCTCTTCCCTGTTCATGTGCACCTTTGCATGGCTCTTGTTTGGCTTCTTCTGGCTACTACTCCTGTGGTGTCGACTGTAACCCTTTGACCAGAAGAGCCCAAAGAAGCACAAATCTGAGAGAACAAACCACCACCACTGTATCCACTACCACTACCTCCTCACACTTTCGCTCTCTCCCTATGCACCTTAATGTAGAACGCACGGTTGGTGTGACGGGTGCACACCACTGCCAAGAGTGTTTGTTAAAGGTTTGTACATTTCCATATGTTTCTCGAAAGTAATAATGAACAATTTATTCTCTCGGTTAACAGTAATCGCATAATGTTTCTTGTACAGTGGTTTTTTCTATTAATAATATATTGACATAGTTTGTTAACATGGGACACCATGGCATTCTAAAGCCATATACATTACAATCATCTACATTAATGATTTCTGAACCAAAAAGGCATTTAAGTAGTTAATTAGTAGTTTATGAATCTGCAATAACAAATATTCTGTACATTTGGTTCAATATAAACATTACATATTTGTTCCACTAAGAAAACAATCAAGATCGTTGTTTAAAAGTAGTAGTTGAAAAAACCCCTTTGACTCATGATGTCTTTGCCCCTTGGCTGAACTGAGCTTCACACCCGTGATCAAGATGATATTCTAAACACTAATGTATATTTTCGATCATCAATTTGTCATTTAAAATAAGGCGGAAATGACAGTTGACTCATCAATTTAAACGGTAGAGGTCATGTGTTGAGCTGTAATTAAAAATGATTTAGTCATAAAAATTAAAGGTGTGCAGTTCATGTCTGATGCCGTTTTCTTTTTTCATTATAGCCTCACATAGGGTGTCAACCTGACAGAATGTGGCCCAATGTCCCTCCTCCCCAGACCGCTCCCATTCCCATTTGTAATGGCTGTAGTACATCTGACGGAAAATATGTACAAAAATATGGTCAGTTTTGTTGTTTATAATATTTGTTAAGCACTTCTGTGGGCTCATGTTTCTCATCTTGTTCTTGTAGTATCTCCTGAAATTAGTGGTCCTGAGAATATTCCTCCTGTCGGGGTTTTCTGGGATATTGAAAACTGTAGTGTTCCCAGTGGACGCTCTGCTGCTGCTGTGGTCGAGCGAATTCGCAGCCGCTTTTTCAAGGGTCATCGCGAAGCAGAATTCATCTGTGTGTGTGACATTAGCAAAGAGAGTAAATCTGTCATCCAAGAGCTCAACAACTGCCAGGTACTGTGAATACAGTTCATAAATGAAAATATGATTTGTTATTGTTTTTATCATTTAACTTTGCAGGTCACAGTTGCACATATCAATGCCACAGCCAAAAATGCTGCAGACGACAAGCTCCGTCAAAGTTTGCGTCGTTTTGCCGAGACCCACACTGCTCCTGCTACAGTTGTGTTGATTTCCTGTGAGTCGCCTGTAGACTATTATCAGTACATGGCATTTTCTTTTGCTGACATTTTCTTTTCTTTAGCTGATGTGAACTTTGCTAGTGAGCTTAGCGACCTGCGGCATCGCCATGGCTTTCAGGTGATCCTCGCCCATAACCACGCCTCGCCAGCTCTTCTGCAGCACGCCAACTGCCACGTGTCCTTTCAGGAGATTACTGCTAATTTGCCCGCACGAATGGTGAATGAAAAGGTATGTAGTACTGAATTTCAAATCAGTATTTCAACAAGGGGAAAAAATCAACAAATGAGCTGTTGATTTATTTTTAAAGAAAACTGCAGTTTTGATTGTTTTGAAATTAAAATCATACAAACCAGACAGAGTTTTCCCTCCTTCAGCCCACTTCCAGCCTCCTCTATGTGCGCAACCTTCCCATCGCCCGTGACAAGAGTCAACTCAGAGATGTGAAACAGAGGCTTCGCCGGTTGTCCTCTAACTGTGGTGGCAAGGTGCTAGGGGTGTCCTACGGTACAGCTATACTGCGTTTTTGCAGTCCTGCCGTAGCTGCTCGTGCGCGTAAACGAATGGAGAATGAAGATGTGTTTGGTTGTCGCATCAGTGTTTCCTTCTCACCCTGGTCCGCAGAGGAGCCCAGGCCCAGTTTTCAGACTTACCTCCAGCAAGTTTTTCATGCTCTGCCCCAGCCCTTCCCAATCTCCAACTCGACGTTTGCCCCACAATTTCCCTCTTTACCTTTTCTACCCATGGATAAAGCCAGGTTATCCAGGAGGTCGCGCTTCCGTGCTGCCCAACCAGAGCGGCCCTGGCGCCCTAGAAGAGGGCGCAGTGGGCCTCCCCATGGTGCTCCATTCAAAGCTTTTCAGGTCAGGACACCCGCTCGTGCCGGCTCCTCCTTCAGCTTCATTGTGCTTCGCTAGGGTGCTGTTGTCCTGTCTGACTAAATCCTGCTTAACTAACTTCATCGCCTGCATGTCCTCTTTGCCTGTGCTTGCATGTAGTGTCAGTGTTTAGTAGTTGTATCTCAATGCCCCTTGTGTGTATTCATTGTCATGATATTGAGCTCCAGGTTTATTAAGGACGCATATTGTCAGTAAATAAATAAAAATAAAAAATGTAATCATCAATTAACACATGACGTCAAATGAGGCCCAATACCAGTTTTCTTTTTTCATGCAGTGACTGGTAATGTTACCATAAAGTACTTCTTATAGGATTGTTTGAATCAATTGTAATTTAAAAATAATTTAATCAACAAATTAAGATTGTATGTATGTCAATTGTTGTTTTTCAAAAACAGTTGATGTAAAATTAGGTCAATCACATTTATTTTTTCTATCTTCATTTATTCAGCAGTGGGTAAATGAGGTTTTGACCAGATAGTTTTTGCTCATTTGCAGTCTTGTGCTTGACCAGTCTCCAAGTGACCTTATCGGACCCAAAGTCTGCCTTTGCATTTGTCAGCACTGAATTATTATGTTTTTGACTGCTGCATGGTGTGGTGTTTGATCAGAAGTGAAGAGCTTCTGCCTGATTTAAACGTTTATCAGGCTGGATGTGGTTGCCAGGCGATACTTTCCCTCATTCTGCTGTGGTGTGACCTGCAGAGAGCTATTGCATGCTGCATGTGCCATTGTTTCATGAAACTTTAACCACCACTATCTTAACAAGCATATTAATATGTTGTGTTTTTAATTTCAGGAGGGTAGCTATGTAGATGCAAAGCCTCATGTCTTTCCGGACAAACGAACACGTGCCCTGTCCTCTTCACCTCGCCGCGATCAGACAGTACTCCTGGATCAAGTGCCCAAGTCCCCCCTCGCTGGGGAATCTATGTTCAGAAGGAGGTATTGATCAAAATGTTACACAAGAGTGTGCTTTTGAAAATGTACCAATAAATGTTGTTGTGCAGAAGAGATGGCTCAAGTCCTCGAAGCACAAAGGAGTTCCCTATTGAAGGAGAGAGGACTTTGGGAGAGTTTCAGATCAGTACACCCTCTGCCTTCAGCAAACTAAACCTACAGAGAAGCTTCACTCCCCTTGTGCCTTCACAGGGCTCTTCAAGGTGAGGCATAAGAAAGTTTAGTAACAATAAAAGTGGTGATTCTTACCCCCGGTCTTCTTTTTGAAAGGAGTGCATCTCCCTGTTTGTCCAGCCGCTCTTCACCCGTGCGTGCTCCTCCTCGTAGTCCTGAATCTTCTCCTGAGCCATTCTCTGATGGCGCCGAGGTCCAAGCGGCAAACCTGGATTACAGAATGTCCCGCAAAGATCTCCTGCAAATTCTTCACAACACATTCTCAAGATACGGACAGGTTTGTGTATATGTTTACATTACTATAGAGATTTTTAATCTCTTGTCTATCAATGCCTTACTTTCCATTTCAGGTGAAGTCTGTAGAGTTGAGCCCTCACACAGACTACCAGCTGAAGGCAACAGTCCAAATGGTATCTTTACAGGAGGCTATCAGTGCAGTTGGTGGTCTGCACCGCAATAAAATTGGGGGCAAACGTATACAAGTGTCTTTGGTCACTGGAGGTAGCAACAAATCTGTGTCCATGCTGAGGTAAGGGCACTGAATACTGATGCTCACAGTATTACATTTTTCTTTGGGAAAATTCAACCTCATCATCCCTTTTGTGCAGCAGTGAGATAGTTAGTATCCTCCAGGACGCACCTGCCAACTGCCTTCCACTTTTCAAATTTACGGAGATCTATGAAAAAAAGTAAAGGGTTTTATTACCTGTTGGCATGTTCCCTGTTCTTCCTGTGTGTTTTTAATTGTTGTCCTCTTCAGATATTCCCGAAAGCTCATGGTTGGGGATCTGTACAGACTGCCTGAAGTGGTTGCTGTGCGAGAACAGGGAGGAACGCGACTCGTTTGTCTTTTACCATGCAGCCAAGTCCGTCAGAGTCCACTGGGGTCCTCTCTGTCTCAGGAAGGGTCATCCTCGGCGAGTGGAAGCCCTGTTGTGTTTGAAGAACTGGAGTATCATGACCCTGTGTGCAGACAACACTTTTCACAGCAAGACTTCAGGTTAGGCTAATATCACTTGTAGGGGTGTGACGTTATATCGATATATCGCGATACTTTCTCCCGCGATTCGATTATCAATATGCATTCGCCAAGTATTGATATCGATTTAGAAAAATATATATATATTTGTTACAATTATTTTTTTTATTTTTTTATCAATACCCAATATATGGCTACATTACGCATCTCCCTTCCATTTATCATGAAATGAAGTGTATTTCTTTTATTTATGCCATAAATTGGCATATTGTATATTTCTGACCAATATATCGATAATTGTTATTGTGATATCGTTATCGTGAGCTGTATATCGTATCGTGAGGTACCCTTAGGTTCCCACCCCTAATCACTTGGTGTTAAATCATTGTATAATATGTTGAGTATTTAACTTGGTGTTTAACTTTCTATAGTGAGGCTGATTTTGATCCTGACACCTACACATTGCCATTTGTGGGGATGTCTGTGAGCGCTTTGACCTCTGATGTCCACACTTTGTTGCATTCACATGAGGGAACTCTTCCACTGCTCAGGTAATGTCATGTCAGCTCGTGGCTTTTATCGTGTTGGTTGAAAAGTTCAACATTTATTGTGCTTGTTCTTAAATAGATTAGAGGAACAGTGAATGTATATTTTATGTGTGAAGTTGAGGAGCTACAAAACAAACACATCTTGATTGGTTTGTATTGTAGCTTTCCAGACTGCTACGCCAACCAATTCAGCCCTCTGCAGTTGGGAAATGAGACACTAGAGGGCGGTGTTCCTCTGGAGCATCTCATATCCTGTGTTCCCAGTATCACAATCGTCACAGCTCAAAATGGCTTCAAGATCATCAAGTGGATTCACAATAAGCCTCCAGCCCCAAACAGTGGTATGAATAGTCGTTTTTTTTTTTTTTTTAATTGTAACTTCAAAACTCTGCTTTTTTGTAATCCACTGTCCCTGCAGAGCCGTGGATACAGCGCTGTAAGAGTCCAGTGGGTAACCCTCAGCTCATTCAATTCAGTCGTGAAATAATTGACCTATTAAAGAGCCAGGCGTCCTGCATTATGCCAATGAGCAAATTCATCCCCTTGTACCATCATCACTTTGCCAAACAATGTCGGGTCTCAGACTATGGCTACTCCAAACTGTTGGAGCTGCTTGAGGCTGTGCCACATGTGCTTCAGGTACATTTCCTGCTGAATTTCTTATGCAAATATCAACCATCACTACATGTTTATGATTGTAATGGTTCTTAGATTTTGGGCATGGGAACAAAAAGGCTGCTGACATTAACACATCGGGCTCAAGTGAAACGCTTCACCCAAGATTTGCTCAAACTTCTCAAATTCCAAGCCAGTAAACAAGTTACAATACAGGACTTCATGCAAGCATACCACTGGTTTGACTCTACAATGATAGAGCTTTTTGACTTTTCTTGGGATTAGTGCGGCTAATGGTATATTGGGGTGTTCTAGGTGCTTCTCCAGAGACTGGCGGGTGATTGACTATGGTGTGTGTGATTTGATGGATCTTCTAAATGAGATTCCGGACACAACAATCACCATCACACACCAGGACCACGACACAATCATCTCTGTCCCCAAGAGAGGTACAAATTACAAACCCCAATTAAGAAAGTATTGTACTTTTCTTTCAATCACGTTTTTTACTATTTCTGTAGAACGTACATCTGATGAGATGGACCGCACCAAACAGTTTGGGAAGGAGGTGGTGGATCTGCTTCGCCATCAGCCTCACTGCAGGATGCTCTTCAGTAAATTCATTCCGACTTACCACCATCATTTTGGGCGTCAGTGCAAGCTCAGCTACTACGGCTTTACAAAACTCTTGGAGCTTTTTGAAGCCATTCCTGATATACTCATAGTCAGTAATTTTTATACATTCACTTTCCTAATCGTATTACTTTTTAACCTAATCTGATTGTTGATCAGGTGCTGGAGTGTGGAGAGGAAAAAGTGCTGTCTCTAACAGAAGTGGAGCAGATCAAGGCTCTGGCAGCACAACTCGTCAAACTACTCAGAGCCCAAAAGGACTCCAGTCTCCCTGTGAGTCAGCTGCAGACTGAATATAGCAAGACATTTGGCTATGGGCTCCGTCTGCTGGACTATGATGTGAGCTCCCTGCCTGCACTGCTTGCAAAGCTCTGCCATGTTGTCAAGGTAACGCACATTTTTATATAGATAGATCTCAATATGATTAAGTATTTCTTTTTAATGGCTATCATTTTTAGGTGGTGGATGGGAGTGGAGGCCATGAGGTCCAGCTGATCAACAGGAAGTCCCTGCGGTCACTAACTTCCCAGATCCTTGTTCTGCTGATGTCTCAAGAAGAAGAGGAGGTCTCCAGGGGTTTGGAAGTGGATCAAGTCGGCACTCTATACATGAGCATGTTCGCAGCACCTCTGAACCCATGTGAATATGGATTCCTCTCTCTTAATGAGCTCCTAAAGAGCCTCCCTTATCTGGTTGAGGTCAGTTTCTTACATTTTGTATATACTGATTTGAGATTCAACATAGTAATCTGCTTAATTCTGTTGGCACATCAGTTGTACTCTGAAGGTGAGGACAGCAGCTCAATGAGACTGAGGCTCACCAGGCTTTACCAGACTGCCCGTAATGTCCGCGCACTGCTCCAAACCTACCATTACAACCAGATCTTCCAGTCAGAGTTTCCTGGAGCCTATCAGAAATTCACTGGCTCCAGCATTGAGCCACGCTCATTCGGATTCAATAACATTGATGAGCTGCTCAATGCAATCCCACAGGTAGAAAAAAATATTCAAAACCAATACAAAAAAATTGTTTTAAATCATGTGTTGCCTGAAAACATTTATTTTATGATTCTTTAGGTGGTCTGGATCAAAGGGCACGGTCACAAGCGGATTATCGTTTTGAAAAACGATATGAAAGGTAGTAATGACAGTAGTGTACAACGTGACGAAAAGCATGAAATGAATTGAACTGAACTCTGTGCAGCGAGAGTGGGCGCATCCGGCCCCAGCAGTCCACAGCCCAGCAACTGCACAGAAAGTCCAAGGGAGAGTCCAGTCAGCAGTGAGATTTCAGACTCTTATGGTTCAGGTATTGTCGCCCACACTTTTTGATCAGCGTCATAGTAATTGGTTTGGAAAGTGTCTTTTTTTTGTTTTTTGTTGCCAGAAAGATATGGGCACTCAAAGCTGATTTCGATTTTCTTGTTTTTAAACATTAGCTGTTCTGTTTTTTGACTGTTGAATCCAGCAGAATGTATTTATCAAAGAATAATATTCCTGAACCCTTACCGTATTCCTGATGTGACAGGTGTTGCTGAGCTGCTGTCTGGGGTCTCTCCTGTGGACCTCCTATGTGGGCCGGCCCCCTCCTGCCTCCCCTCCCCTCAACTGCACCCTGACCCTGTGCTTCGGTTGGACCTGATTAATTTTGAGAAGCAACACACCACTGGTACAAAGTCTAAATTGTTGTTAACATTAATAAAACACTAATAAATTGGCTTTTTTCCCCCTTTTTTATAGAGGTATCAGCTGAAACTTCAGGTGAGAGGACCTCTACTCAAACTAGGCGAGAATCCACAACGGACCCAGACCCCGCACCACAGCAGCGCTCTTCAATGGGAGCGAACAGCCCCAGGAGAGCGTCTCGTAGCAGGTTCAAGCTCGCAGCTAATTTCAGCTTCACTACAGGACTCTGAGTCCTCACACCAGCAGATCTGTTAAAGAGACGCAGGTAAAACCTAGTTCTGTGTCAAACACTATACTCAAATAATGCCCTAAAGTATTGGCAAAGTGTTCAGAACAGGTTTGGTCTATTTTTATCAAGCTCCTTTCCCAATGATTTTCAGGTGTTTTATTTTTTGCAGATTTTCTGCAATTGTTAAATTGGCCTCAACCTTTCAATGTGGATTGAACCATTTTGCATTACAATGACAAAGGTGTCATATTCAGTAAGTTGTCACTGTAATTAGACAGTCATTTAATTGGTTTTCAAGAGCAAGGAATGGTTTCCAAAATCATCAGTTTAAAATAGTTTGAGACGATTTCAAGTTAAATATATTTAACAAATGGAGTCTGGACCTGACAACTTAGTTGATTCGATCTGTTCTGTTTATTTCATTTGTGAGGTAAACTTACTAAGACAAGGGGAAAAGGATCTGTTTAAATCTGTTAGTCTTTTGAAGCTAAGCTAATATCTAATAAGTGATTGTGTGTTAGTTGACTTTTCTCTGCTTCATTCTTTCATCTGTTAAAGCCCCAAGATGTGTGTTCTATTAAGGAGTAACTATAGTTTATAAAAGGTTTTACTTGATATTTCCTGAACAGTCAAACACTGGTGCCAAATACTCAAAACTCATGAGAATTCTTAGTATTGAAACATAATGGTCATAAGCAGTTTCAAAACTCTGCTACAAAGATCTCTCAAGTGAAGTCTTGCAGTCTTCAGCAACAGCCAACAGAAACTTCTTTTAGCCTTTGTGGTCTGGTCTAGGGGAGACACTGGAGAATATGGTGTGAAATATGCTGTGACTGCATATCAGAGCTTATCCAGAGTGTTCACCCTGACAGGGACGTGGTGTTTTTGCTCCAGGAGATGATGCTCTCGCTGTTGCTTTGTCACTTCAAGGTTTAAGTGAACCTTGTCACTAGGAGACTCATCCTTCAGATGATGGGTTGATGGCAGCGGAGGATGCTCCTGGTCCAGTTTTTACTTATCAAAAGGGTGAATAGGTGTTGGTTTTCGGAGGGGAGCAGCAGGGAGGAAGGCTGGCCGTGTGAGTCTGTGAGGACTGATGGTTATGCCCCAGTTTTACTGCTGTGGTGCTCTGGGCTCTGCCTGGCGTTTACAATGGCTTGTATCTGCCATGGCACTGAAGGAGATGCCCTGTACCTCCCTGTCCCTCACATGTAGATTTTACCTCCGCATTACTTTGTCTTTATTGTAACACTGTTGGCTGTTGAGATTGAGCTGGACCCTGGCACCACACATTGGCACAATCATGTTTTTAGACAATGGCATGAAGTCCATTTAGCCGGTTTCTATGTAGACATCTGTTGTTTCTTTTTGTGAGACCCGTTTGTAAGTTTAGGGCGCTTTAGGTCTGATTCACTTAGGTGTAATCAAGGTTTTCAAATGGTCTGCAGGTGCTTTACTGACGGTATGGAAACCTTTTTTAATTTTGCTATTTTGTCACATCTCATTCTAAAGATCTTGCTCAAAAGTTCATTTATTAAACATTTAGTGGAACAAAAATTTGAAAAACGGTGACAACTGACTTAATTTGATTCTTTCCGGGCATATCAGTGATACATTAATGCATTGATTTAAATATGCACTCTGCATATTTCTATAAAATTCTATGTTTATTGTAGAGGATTGAAGGTCTCCACTTGATTCGCTGTCACATCATGTTTACTATTTTAAACATTTCACAACTGCACTGTTGTTTTTTTGTGCTATTAATGTGAAAACTTCTTAAATACCTAAAAGCTTATACCCCCTTATGTTAAGTATTACTGATGTGCAAATCCTCCTGGCTACTGTAACAGTTGAACAGTGTTAAAGGGGACCAAGAAGAGTAATTTAATAAACTTCTAAAGCATTCATTGTCTGTTTTACTTGTGATACACAATAACTTGATGCCTTCTTGAAATATGCTCTTTATTTAAACATGTATGTACAGGTATTTCAGCTTATTCTCTGCATATAGTTAAACAATCACGCTCAAAGTCACTACTACTACAGAAAGCTACTTTAGAAGAAACGACTGCCTCCACATTAGCTACTGGTCTCAAATACACTCAAACACTGTAGGCATTTACAAGAGGTGCAATCAATTCAGTATATCAATAAAAATGCAGATAAATATAATTTCAATGTAATTGTTTGGACCAGTCTGTTGTTGGTTGTGAAGATATTTTTTAAACGACTTGTAGATAATTTGTTTCTAGGAAGGCAGGGCGATGTGTGCTATTCATCGCACATAACTTTCATTATATTCTGTACAAAACAAGTAGATCTGTTCATGTGTTGCCTAAATCTTGCAGCCCGTTTGGTTTATGGTGGGAGTTGGCTACTATCATATACTGTACAGTAATTCATCTGTATAATGGATACAATAATGTAGAATATTCTGATGTATTGAAAGTTTATAAATTGGTCAAATTAGGCTTGTGCTTGTATCCACGTGCATCCAGGGTGTTTGTACCACATGTGCAAAGTTACCCCTGCATGTGGCTGAGCACTGATACTGAAGGTGTTCTGTAGAGGGCTGTAGTCTTGGGTACAGGTCCCGTTACATGATGGCACACTGCGTCGCTCCGCAGCAGTCCTTGATGATGGCTGCTCCTGACTTGGTGATGGACGGTTTGTTTGGTGGCGGTTCTGGGATGATTCTCTTCGGCTTTGTGGAATCCTCTGACAATAATCAAAAGTGAGCTCATGTAAACGCATTTGATTTGTTATCTAAGTTCACTTACTCTGTGCTGCTTTGAGTGTGTTCTCTAGTGGCATCAGCTTCAGTCTCAGAAAGTCTGCCATTTCCTTGTCCTCCTCTTGCTCTCTGGGGAGACAGGACCCAAGTTCAGCTGTGAGTACTTTAGTACTAGCTATTGCAGAGTGCAGTGTGGTACATGTTTGTCAACACAATTGGCCTAACTGCAATGAATAAACATAAACCAACCCAGATTGGAACTTCATACAGAAAAATGTCTCGGATCAGTTGTCACAGCATTCACATGATCTATACTTTGGAAAAAAAGATGTATTCAATAGATCTCTAGAAGTTATTCCAATTTCATGTTCACTTATAAAGTGGAAAATCACTGACATCTACTTATGATGTAATATCGAACTCACTTTTACCATAATGGTGTAAAAAGATCCATACCATTAAACACTAACATCTGGCACGTATTTGGCACATTTTGATGCTCTTCTGAAAGACCTGGAGATGTGCAGCTGAGCATCTGTATGTTTTATGTTCGTTTATGCTCCTGCATGTTCGACATGTCCACTGATTGGACAATTATAGCTAAATTAAATTATGCAGATGATAATAAAAAACTGCCATGACTACATTTAATGTCAGTGGAAATTTACCCTGACAACTAGACTCAGAGGAGGAAAACTGTTGCTTAGAAACAAAGTTTTCTCTTCAGCCTGCATCTTGGTCTTTTATCAGATCTATCGTGTGGTTTATCTGAGTCACACTGTATGTTTATCAGCAGGAGCAGCGGGGAACCAAGCCAGTTTCAGTCACACATCCTTGCCTCCATCACAATCTCTGCTCTAATGAGGGACTGTTTTCTTTTCCAAATAACTGCTGCTTGTTGTTTATCAAACCTTAGCCGCTCCACCTCTGCGTCGTCCACCAGGAAGTCTCTCTTCTGGACCAGTTGGTGAATCTTAAGGATCAGCTCCTCTTCTCGCTGCCGATGCATCTTAGTCTTGTCTTTCTCTGAGAGATGTGGGATGAAGAAGTAATGAAAGCAAATGATTAGTTACATATCATAAAAAGTGAAGAATAATAGATCAGTTGAGTAAAAAACTAATCTTGTTTGAAAGCCACTCCATTAAGACAAAAACAATAATCTTCTGTCTCTAGATGATGATGATGTGAGTTCATTGGGATCACATTGCTCAGGTCTAATCAAGAATCTAGAGGAGATTCTGACCGACAGTCGAATCTCGGATTCAAGAGCCGTATGGTTTTTGAAGTGGCTGTGGAACACAGCACAGCTCTTCACGGGCACGAGTTTGGCTAACTTTGGAGCTACAAAAGCTTTGGCGTTTGACAATTTACCCTGCGGTGTACTTTAAGGGGATTGCAGTATTTGTTTTGTTTCATTTTTTACTGGGCAATGTCTTACAATTGCTAAAGTATGGTTTGTCATTTTAATATGCTTGTTCTATGAACTTAATGGGGGGTTGGCTCAGTTGGTAGAGCACTGGCCTTTGGGCCTGAAGGTCGTGGGTTCAAGCCCACCATTAGACCTAATTCACGACTTCCACTGATGACTACTGTCGTTGTGTCCTTGGGCAAGACACTTAACCCCACTTTGCCTGAAGCCCCCGCTGAAAGATCAAGGCTCCTGTGGACTCATCACTTGCAGGAGGATCAGGGAGGGTCTGGTGCTCTGTGAACTGGGTGCAGCTCTGACTGCCACCCCCCCAACCCAGAAATGGATTAAGGGGAAGAAAATGGATGGATTGACGTATTTTAAGGGACATCTGTTAAAGTAATATTTTCCTCTTTTATAGTTGAGTTTTTCTTTGCATTTGACCTTTATAGATGTAAGGCTGGGGTTTTTGTTGCCTTGTTTCTTAACTAGGACATAGATAACATGTAGAGACATTTATCTTCGAAGTTGTTAACGTTCATAGTTAAAATCCAGATATAGCTCAAACGTCCTTGCCCTCGACTCCTGCCGTCCTGTACAGTACAAACATTCATGCACCAGTGACAGGGGGCGGGTGAGAGCGCGTTACAATGTGATATATGTGACTGGTGACAACAACCACAGTGCTGCAAAAGCACACAATAATAAAACTGCCTTGTATGTTTGTAACTAGAGTGGTTACATGTTTGCATCTTTAATCACGCACAGCAAAAAGCAAAGTAAGATTAGGTTGATTTGAATATTCATTAAAGCCCCATCCCAACTGTCCTGGTGGGTCCCTTTTTACGTACTTGTCCGATACCTGCTTCTTGCCACTAATTTTGTAGCTTTGAAATGTTTACTTTTCTTTTTCTGCCTGACTTTTCTATTGGCCAACACCATGAATATCATCTCCACTTCTTGACACAAAATGAACCATAGTTGATATGTTCTGACAAAGATTTTGCTTCACTTGGATAGCCGCAGAATTAAGAAGAAGGTCCTTCATTAAGACGGTCCCACAATGAGGAAATTTCAGTTTGATGCATACACATACACACATCAAGGCAAGCAGCTAACATCACTTCCGCGCTTCTTATAGGCAAAGTGGGTTAAGTGTCTTGCCCAAGAACACAACGACAATGGAGAAGGTCTCGTGGTGGGCTCAAACCCACGTCCATGGGGCTCAAAGGCCAAGGCTCTACCGACTGAGCCACTGTCGCCAATAAGGGATAATATATCATTTATTTTCATTTATTTCTTTATTTCAAAACCTGCACAGAAGACACATTTGACAAATTTTATATAACTATAAATACAACTTTATATAGTTATCAGAAAAGATTTATCCAGACTTTAGCCAACGTTTAAACTATAGGCTCTTTGGAATGGTGTGATGTCACATGAACATATCCTAAGAACATGTTTTCAAAGCCAACTAATACACCTGGAGCTGTGGAAAACTATCCTGCACATAAATCGAGACAAAACCAAGAGTGTTGAGATCAATGGTGTGTGGTTTAGAGCAACAGTCTGTATAAATCTTTACTACAGCAGCCGGGTTTATGGGACTCCAGTGAGACACGTCTATTTATAGTCCCGCCACAGAGTTTGAAGGACATTTCCTTGGCTTAAATTGCACCTGTTCTTACCTGATACAGCCACAATCTGCCTCAGGTCCTGCTTCAAACTCATAATGTCTTTGCAAAGCTGTATGTCGTCTATCCTGGAAACATAAAACAAAGATGAACAAAACAAAAGCCCAAATTGAATTAAAGAACATATAATGCTATTAGCGTATGCCAGTTCTCATCCATGTTATCTGATTAGCAAAGATTGGAGGCTATCCCACACAATTGACCTCGGAAGACTCAGTAGAAAACGCTTGTGACACAATTCAAATTTCTGAATATTGTAATTTGAATTCATCGCTTTTGGAAAATGTCACATGTCAAAAAGTAGGCACAAACTACATGACACTGGTGGCTTTGTTTGGTCTTATACAGTAAATATTATGTCTGACAACTCCACATGAAGCAGCACTGGCATTCTCAAAGTGATCTGAAAGAATTGTTATTAAAAAAGGCTGTTAAGACAATTTTAGCCGTTGAGGAAGTTCATGTCAAAAAATAAATGTGGAAAACTTTAGTTTATGCATTTTGATGTGTGTTTTTAATTCACTTGTATTTGACCATTCACAGGACTAAGACTGGCCTTCAAAAATGAGCTCTTGATGTGTTTCAAACCGAAGAATCCTTGTTTAGACATTTGTGTTTTCGCACTTTGCGCTTTGTAACTGGTTCTATAAATATGGGTTGTTTGGGTGATTTACAGTATTGATATTTAAATCAGCAATTCACTTTGGTGATAGTGTTTAGTTTTTTACAATGTTATTATGCCATAGAAAGCTAAAATCCCACCTCATATCGACATTTCCAACCAATCATATCACTCCTTTTCATCTTTTTATTATAGCCCAATTACTTATGTTTTGAATACAATACAAAATCGACCTCGTAGACAAAGCTAACAATCAAGCATTAGAGTTTGGTCTTCAAAGATGGATCGATACTTCATCACATCAGCCTTTCTTCAGTCTCATAGGTGCAGAGGGAATGGCATGAGCACGAAACCCCGGAGATGAAAAACACACTTTAAATCAGTCCGTCACGCTCGCTCCGATTGCCCACAGCCCTGACATGTAACCTCCTGCTCCATTACACCCTTCACCCCCCCTCTCCTCCCTTCACCTCCCCTCCCCTCCCCTTCATCTCCTCTTCTTCATCTGGACAGCGATGCCAAATTTATTGATACAAAATAAAATAAAATAACTGTTTTCTCAGTGAATGTGCTTTGGTCCAGATGTGTAAAAGTGATGAGACCGTTTAGTTAACTAAGGATTTAACTCACAAAGACACTTGATGTGGAGGAGTAGCGGCTTCATTCCAAGCTCCTCACAAGGGACTTGGATCCTGCATGTGTAAGCTACTGTATATGCCCTTGGATCTCTGAAGCTGTACGTACAGCTTGGCTAGTACTGTGATGAGAGACCTCCTGAGAAAATCAGTTGCCACAGTGGGGCGGCTGCGGCTGTAAAGTGCCAAACTGCCGTTGTGTCCTCAGGCAAGACACTTCACCCACATTGCCTAGAATGAGTGGTGTGTGCGCGTGTGTGTGTGTGTGAATGGTTGGTGGTGGACAGAGGGGCCGATGGAACATACTAGTTGCCACACTTCTGTCAGTGTGCCTCAGGGCAGCTCTAGCTATAGTAGCAGTTTATCATGGAGTAAATGAATGATGACAAGTGAAGCGTCTTTGAGTGTCCAAAAAAGTGCAACTTTATCCCAGGAGTGTCGTGTCAAACCGGTTCCAGAAGTGGCTTGGCTTTTGTTTGTTGGCTGCAGGTTTTTGTTCCAACCTGAGCAGGAGCACACCAGACTCCTCTCATTTCCTCAAATCTTCAGATTAAAACTTGACTAAATTCTCATGGTACACTACAGCTACCAAATGAATTGTTAATAAGTATCTAGAATTAGTTTTAGACGACATCTTTACCTCAAATCTTAAAATTGTGCTAAGAAAATGAAAATCCCCTCAAAGAAAACATAATGTACACATATCAAAACATTGTAGTTTTGTAGCATGTAGTTTATCTGTCTGTCTCTGTCTCCGTTCTTCTTCTGCAGAGAGGCTCAGATGTAGTTGGTGATAGATCAGAGCGGATGACTCATCCACAGCCCACTCCTCGTTCACACTACACTTTTTCTCCTCGGCGTCTGCACTCGCTCCAGCGCCCTGACACCCTGAGCTCGTTAAAGCAGCTTTAATGTAACGGAGCCAGCGGGACGTAATGATGCTTCGGAGGCTTGTGAACTGACATTATCAACTCTGGATCACACGCTGTTTGTGAAAGTATGTGTGTGCTGCTCAAACTTTTCACAGTGTCAACAGATAATATGGGCTTTTTGTCCCATTTATTTGCTTGGCCCACAGTCATAGTTCAAGTCAAGTAATGAAAAATGAATATAAAAGTATTTAGTCTAGTATAGAGCAGGTCTAAATGGTTAAAATGTGTTTGACTATTTAGACTAAATTAGCATTTTGTCCAGTGTAAATGCTTATGCTACCAGTTACAGGTGTGCAATGTTTACACCCAGGCAGAAATGTTGCCTGCCCGGGTGTTTGATTTTTGTCTCATCATTTACAATCTTCAAAGTATTGTCAAAACAACGAAAGCTGAGGCTGGATGTGTTCACTTTCAAGCACAACTGTATATAATCTACTTTTGTTTTTATTTAGGTTTTAACTTTTTTGATAATTTTGCATTTAGTGAACCAGTGGCTGCATGACTTTCAGCATGGGGCCTGAACCTTCCATCAGGGTGGTCTGAAGGATACTAAAGGATCAAATGTTTGGAAGGTTTTCTCTGCTGTGGGACCCTCTCACCAGAAAACCTACAAAACAATGAATCCTGGAGCTCTGTAGACACAACCAAAAGCTTCGGCATAATGCTGACCACTGGTTCAAATTTGCAAAAATATCTACTCTTTTTCACATAAATGCATCATCTCGAAAACAAGTTGATGCATCAAGATACTTTATACAATAAGTTGCAACATGCACCTTTCAAAGCTCCTGGCTGATCTCATTTTTGATGCCCCAATAACTATGTAAAATACACTATAACATTTGAGAAAAGTGGCATTAAAAATTTGTATGTGTAATATTATTAATTATTAATTATTATTATATTATATTATATTACAGTATATTATAATAACTACCCAGCTGTGGTTGCCGTAGTACAGCGCCCGGGAACCCATCTCTAGATGTTGGTACTCTGGTCAGGACCGGAGCTGGAGGATTTTACCTATTATACATGTTTTTAGTGGTAGGAGAAACCTACGCAGACACGGGGAGAACAAAGTCCACTCACGCTAACCCAAACTAGCCATTAAGATTGTAAAAACAAGTTGACTGTGTCATCCAACCCCTTTTCTATCCCAGCCGTTAATTTTAATTGTATATGCTAATTAGTTTTTGACTTCCAAAATCTCATATATGACGCTAACGTAGCTGTGGTGTGATAGTATGCTAGTAAATGTATGTCAAATGTGAATCTATTTGGACTTATCATTCATCATTTTAAAGCTTAGAACAGCCTGCTCCAGTCAAAGCTTTTATCTGTGTTGTCGGCCCCTGGACAAGTCAGGTCAACTGCTGTGGCCCTATTACTAAAAGGTTTGGACACCCCTGATTTAAAGCACAAGGAAGGAGGAAATAATTTGGCTTTACAGTGTAACGCAGAACCATGTTCCCGAATGTCTTTGAACAAAATACTTGAGCGGAAGGTGTCATTCAAATAGGACCGTCTTCACTGATGACACACAAGAAACTAAGTGAAATCAAGTCCCTTTTTTGCTATTATCTGTGGGACATTTGGCCGTCATCATTGCGGCGGGGAGTAAACAAGTTCAGCTGAGCGGTGACTCACTCCGCTTCTATTTATAACTTCTGAATAATCTGTAAATAGTGACATTTTGTGCGGAGTTTGAGCGTGCGTGTCGTCAAATGCGTCACAGCAGAGAAGTCTTTGACAGTGAGCGCCGTCATTAGGAAACACCGATAATTAGAGCTGATTACTCCGATTAGACTTACATGAAGCGCAGCTCAGACTCCCGTCGCACCAGGACCTCCCTCAGGCGCTGGATACGAGCCATCTCCACTTCGATTTCTTCCGGAGACATTGTGCTCTCGGCCATCGACACATCGGAGTGGCCTGTGTGAGGAAAAGACACAAGCCATGCGTGATATGTGATGATGACCGCTGACGGAGGAAGGCTGCAGCATGGGTGTAAAAGTGTCTAATCTCTCCAGTCTCACTTGTTAGATTGTGTATTTCTATAGCAGCGGGAGGAAAAGTTGACGTTGATGTAGAGATTAAGAAGAATTGAGTGACACTGGCATTTCTACTGGGTTACAGCATTGTCAAAAAGTTAGATTTTGAGAGATTATCATGATGTCAAAAATGAAAATGGACAATTTATAAGCAGCCTTGACAAACTATATTGTCCACATAATTTATTGCACACTGGCAAACCTGGCACTGGTTAAAAGTCCATATGGAAACCTTCCAAATTAGGAGAGTTGAGTCAAGTTGAATAAGGTTGGGAGATCTTACTGTTACTATTTCATATTTACAGGTATTTTTATATGCAGGTAACTACATCTTTTTAAAGTTTGTCAAAGTGTAAATAAAGGTGTGATGAAATGAAAGCGTTGGATAGAAACACATCTCTCTCTGAGCCACAAAAACAGCAAAAAACAGCAACTGAAGTCATCTCATTTCTTTCAGATATCCCCAGTGGTGTATCCCCTCCAAGGACTTTACACAACCGTTGAATTCGCCAACACAGATCAGAGAGAATCAAACCGTTCAAACAATAAAGCAGAAAACACATGGTATTAGTCCATATGGGGCAGACGACCAATGTCCATAAGTGTCAATAAATGTCCATAAATGTTGTTGAATTGATGATAAACTAGTTCCACGCTCTCAACATCGGTTACTAGTCCTCACATGTGTGTATGTTTTGCCTCCATCACATCTTTAGATCACCTTTTCCGACAGAAAAGTGAAAAAGACGAGACCACCCTCGCTCAGCCGTCTGCCCAAAGCATCAAATAGTGACTCGCAAAGATTTCTAATAAGATGAAGACGGCATGACATTTGTGAAAGACTTTTATGAAAGAAAGAATGTGGGTACCCCAGTTTTAATGTGAAGTTGCAGCATACATGATGTCATATAATTATATTGTTGTTATTATGAACCATTTTGTTTGAACTCTTTTCCCCCAAAAAAGGATATTTATAAACAGCAATATACACAACATCTACAATAAGTGTCTTTTCCCTAAACTTTCACTCTCACTCCTGCAGTCAGCGTTACCTTAACCAAGCCACGTCTCATTTTTAGTAAATTAATGAATCCAAAACCTAATTGAATGATATTGAATACCACTAAGAGCCAGCCACTTCAAGTTATAAAACTCGTGAATAAAGAGAGCACTTCTGCCCAACGACAGCACCGGTACACCGAATCTTTAGCCCTGACAACCAATAATTTTCTGTTTTAAAAATAATCCAAATGCTGCGAAATGAAAAAATAAAAAGGAATGGGCAAAGTTGTGTTTTGAAGTTTTGAAGGCACAGCGTCTGGGCACGTGCTGTTGCCATGTGAGCGCTTCTCTCACTGATTTCAGACAGTCGCATTTATGAACCTATATATGTGATCATTTAACAAGAGGGAGTAATTCATTATACTGACAGTGTTACCATTGCTGCTGCAGGGAACGAAGGGAAACACTAATTGCTGTGGGCACAACCTCTGCAAATTCTCTGGGAAAGAAAAACAACACTCAAGAAGATCTATGCCTCTTAGGAAACCGTGGAAACAGTACAGTATATAATAAGCAAAATAGAGCAATAATATTTATGAGAAACTGAATCATTGGTTTACACAGTTGCATTAAATGGAAAAGCACTGTCTAGTTTTTCCTGATTGTCTTACAGTATTGCCCATCCCTAAACCTGATTGGATGCCAGATATGTTCTAGATTAGTCTTACAATATGTTACAAAGACTATCCATAAGTCTCTTTGGGAACATGCATTTTCACAGCATACATTTTTGCCATTTAGGTGTCAAATTTCTCATCCCTGACCCCAATCACTGACTTTTTTCTCCACTTTACGATATCAATTATTCATTATTTATCCACAGAAATGTTGCCATCAAGACACAATGGTAAACAAATGCAGATATCGCTATAATTCAATCTGCTTACACGGACGGGAGCATCATACTGCAGTCCCTCGCTGTCATGTTTATAGCATAAGTCTTCTCTGCAGTGTCCGGTAACATTAGAGGAGTATTGGTGGTTTTGCAGTCACTTCAGCTGCAGTGGACCTTTACATATGAGGACAGCTGACTCACCACAGCAGAGTAAAAACTGCGCAGGAGGGTGGGGGGGCAATTGTTTTGTGTGCATCCCATATTGTATCATCGTCCCAAAAAAGCTGGTGAGATAATTGTAAACAGTGGCAGAGGAATATATGCATAAGAGTGGCACTTTTTCCCCAGCTTCTCTTTTTCTCTCCCTTTTTTCTTTGAACTTGCTTCTCACTTTCTACCCCATCAATCAGGACAAGCTGCATTAATTCTCAACTGGCTGTTTAACATGGCACAGACCCAAAGCTCGGAAATGTCTGGACGGCTCTCTTATCTCCTGTGTCTAAAGTACAAGAGCAAATTGCTTAAAACACTTAAAGCTCAGCATCCACCTGGGAGTTGACACATCGGCCATTAAAAGAGATTTACATCATGAGTGTGATTCGGCTGTACAGGCTGCTAAAGTACTGATTGACAACTGGAGACATCAGCATGTATGAAAGTCCATTCAAATTGAGGGACATGCTGCAGGTACAGACAGTAAACATGGAAAAACCCCTCTCCGCACACCTCTCGGCAAAGGAAGGAAATTGCAAACACCGCTGGGGATATATGAAAGAAATGAGATGACTTCAGTTGCTTGTTTTTTTGTTTTGTCTGTTTTTGTGTTTTGTGGCTCAGAGAGAGACTTGTGTTTCTATTCATATCCAACGCTTTTATTTCTTCACACCTTTATTTACACTTTTACAAGCTTTCAAAAGATGCAGTTATTTTGATACCTCTGTGTGGCTATAACGTTACCTGTAAATATGTATGGAACAGTATTTAAAATCCAGTTAAAGCATTCACTTAAGTTTCATTTGTTTCAATAATTAGAAAATGTCATTAATATAATAAAAATAGGGAAACATGTCTCAGATAACTGCGGGTATATAAAGCTCTATATAAGCAGCATGTATTTCAAAATGCTTCATAATCTATTTCAGGGTGTAAAACAAACAAAAGGCTGCTCTCGTGTTACTGATGTTTGTTAAATGTGTGTATTATCATTCTGTGTCTGCTTCATTGGACAATCCCCTGCTTTAGGTTGAATGCAGATGTTGAGGATGGCTCAGGAGCAGCTCCACGTGAGAACATAATCCCAGCTGTGAGTCACCGCGGGCTGGACAGGACACTCACCTTTGTCAGTGGTCCACGCCGTTTCCGACACCGCTCCGTAGCTCCTCAGAGCGCGCTCCGTGTCTGAGATAGATTTCTTCAGTTCCATTCTGGTGTTTCTAGAGTGAATCCTGTCAGTATGAGTGTGATGTGCTGCTTCAGGAAAAGTCCGTCTCACGCGGTGACAAAGCTGCAGCGACCCGCGACGCTGCGCATCTTCATCGGAGCTTTGAAGTCTGTGGACGCGGTGGTGGAGGATGCTGTGCGCATGCGCCGTGAGAGCACAGATGTGAGGGGAGTCTCCCTCTGACATGAACATGACGTGAAGAGGACAGCAACAGTTCAGTTATTCCAGAAGAGAAACATGGAAGCAAATTTTAAGAAATTGCATAGCCTGCCACTGTTTTGGGCCTATAGAGAAGACACCAGTTTAAGTTCAAAACAATTGTTATGTCAAATAAAAAGATGACAAAAATGTCTTCGACAGAAAACACTTTGATGCTTTTTGGTCCCGCTCCTCATTGAATGGTTTCTGGTCAGAGATATTTTACTGGTATTAAGCTGTTAAACCCAAAGGACTTACTATCTTTGGGTACATTCAGTCACTATTCCTGCAAAATGCATCAACAAGAATCTAAATCTGCTTCTCCTGTCAAGGTGTGGATAAATGTCACACAGATGCATGGATCTACAGATAGGAGAACTCTTTTTGTTTTTTTGTCTTATGAAAACAAACAAACATGCATGGCACAGGCACAGTACACCTCCCACAGGGTTTTTGGTGTTGGAACTGTTTGATTCTCTGATCTGTTGCTGAGGAATTGACAGCTTTGTTAAGTCCTGCTGTTGTTATTTAGGGCTATACAAAAATCTAAAATGGAAATAAAATATTGAAAAAAAAAAAACATGGCCTTCACTACAGTACTTGTAAGTAGTAAATGCACTTCATACACACACAAACACACACACACACAAACTCACAGATAACATTTTATAATTTATATAATCAACACATATAAATTACCATTTCAAATATTTCACAAAAATGTGCAATCAGCCTTTGGGGTGCAATATATATATATATATTTTATATATATATATATATATATATATATATATATATATATACAGTCTAAAGGTGCAATCATATCAACCAAGCAGAACAGTGTTATTGCACAATACAATCTACAATCAAAAAACATTATTTACACTTTATATTATCAATTTGTAAAAGTCCATATCAACAGAAATAAAATAATTCACTGTTGAGAATCAGCAGCTGGTGTCATTACTGAGCAGCGCTAACCTTCACTGCGTTGAAAACAGAAAACCTATTATTATGACTATATCATTGTTATCATTATTAGCCCAAATGCTTTGTTGTCAGACTGAACAACCAAATGTGCATGTCTCCTCCAGAGTTCACTTTGTAACGCACCATTTTATTTGTGTTAGCTGCCATAGTTTGTCTTGTTATTTATTAACAGTTTATGTAACCACTTTTGAACAGTTACTACATAAGAGTATCCAACCACTGCACCTTCTCAGGACTCTGTAAGTAATTAGTAAGTAAGTATTTATTTATATACCGCCTTTTCACTGCAGATCTGAGTCTCAAGGCGGTTTACAATTGTCAATTTTGGGCATTTGTCTCTCACTCCACACAGAGATGGGAGCGGGGTCGCCAGTACAGGAAGCGCATGCCAGAACTATTGGACATATTTTTAGTGGTAGGGGAAACCGGAGTACCCGGAGGAAACCTACGCAGACACAGGGAGAACATGCAAACTCCACTCAGAAAGGCCCTGCAACTCTGTTGCACCTTTTCTCATTTCTGAATCTAATCCAGTCCTCAAAGGGCCGGTGTGGCTGCAGGAGTTCATTTGTGGGATTATATGTGTTGTATTGTTGTGCTTTCCTTCTTCTATGTGTCTGTAGAAATTAACTTCACTCTGGGGACAATAAAGGTCTATCTATCTATTTTGAATCAAGCAGGAGCACAGCAGACCCCACCCCTTTCATCAAGTGAGTCCAGTCTTAACCTGAAGACTAAGATTGATTGACAAAGGTATAAAAACAAAGAATATTTTGAATATGTCACCTACACCGTTAGTGGGATATGTTTCACCTATCAAAAGTTTATATTTCACATGGGGAAAGATATCTGTATGGGTTCAAGTAGAGGATGTGGACCTAGGAATAATCAGAATATGTTTCAGCTCCTGTTGCGTAGTTGGCTGTTCATTTGCCAGTGGCTTTGGCAGCTTCTTGTCCATCTTTGGATGCCATGTTTGTCTGGTCCTGGTTATCTCTGTTTGGGAACAGCCACGAAATAGCTGCAGCCGCTGTGCCGTCTCCATTTTGCCGCGAGAAACACAGAAACGTCGCCCAAACAAATGCACAGCAGCCGGTGAAGGGGGTCCGCATGTAGAGGGGCACCATGGCAAAGTTCAGGAACTGGAAACAAGGAAAAACTTGCAATTTGTTCAAGTCCATTTGATCTATTTTGCTTAAAACAGTTCATTTGAGTATGAAGTAAAACATGACATTACCTGCACAAAAGGCCAGTACATCAATCCAGTCTAAAAGATAAAGATTTATAGAATGATATCTTGAATGCACTTATTAACTTCCCACAGTGAAAGTCTCTTTACCTTGTATGTATTTAAGAACTTTTCTCTCCAGTCCTGTGTTATGTCTTCTTTTCCCTCTAGAAAACTCAAACCTGCAAAACATGAATAATTATTATTCAGACTTAAAAAGGGGCAAAAGGATGTCATCAATGAAATGTTGACCTTGATCACCGTATCTATGGCAAATCTGCTGTAAACGGTTTTGTGTGACCTAGTCTGTGAAAAGTTTGATTTTTAAATAACCAAGCCTTACTTAAAAAAAAGTTAAAACAACCACAAAATCAAAACACATTGGACCTCCTTTATCGTCACATGGTTGAACTTGTACATACTGCTGAATGACCTCTGACCCCTGACCCCTGAATATAGGACAGTGAATGACCTCTGACCCCATAGGACAGTGAATGAGCTCTGTGTTGAGACGATCAGGTCACAATAAGTTATTTATTAACTGTTAATAAACTCAGATGTTAATTTGAGCTCTATGTCTCCCACATACAGCTCAGAAAAAAACAACATTGTTCAAAAGTTTATTTTTCTGATAAGACACTCTCTCTCAGTCTCTCTCTGACCTGTGTAGAAGACTCTCTCTCTCTCTCTGACCTGTGTAGAAGACTCTCTCTCTCTCTCTGACCTGTGTAGAAGACTCTCTCTCTCTCTCTGACCTGTGTAGAGGACTCTCTCTCTCTCTCTCTGACCTGTGTAGAAGACTCTCTCTCTCTCTCTGACCTGTGTAGAGGACTCTCTCTCTCTCTCTGACCTGTGTAGAAGACTCTCTCTCTCTCTCTGACCTGTGTAGAGGACTCTCTCTCTCTCTCTCTCTCTGACCTGTGTAGAAGACTCTCTCTCTCTCTCTCTGACCTGTGTAGAGGACTCTCTCTCTCTCTCTCTGACCTGTGTAGAGGACTCTCTCTCTCTCTCTCTCTCTGACCTGTGTAGAGGACTCTCTCTCTCTCTCTCTCTGACCTGTGTAGAGGACTCTCTCTCTCTCTCTCTCTGACCTGTGTAGAGGACTCTCTCTCTCTCTCTCTGACCTGTGTAGAGGACTCTCTCTCTCTCTCTCTGACCTGTGTAGAGGACTCTCTCTCTCTCTCTCTGACCTGTGTAGAGGACTCTCTCTCTCTCTCTCTGACCTGTGTAGAGGACTCTCTCTCTCTCTCTGACCTGTGTAGAGGACTCTCTCTCTCTCTCTCTGACCTGTGTAGAGGACTCTCTCTCTCTCTCTGACCTGTGTAGAGGACTCTCTCTCTCTCTCTGACCTGTGTAGAGGACTCTCTCTCTCTCTCTCTGACCTGTGTAGAGGACTCTCTCTCTCTCTCTGACCTGTGTAGAGGACTCTCTCTCTCTCTCTGACCTGTGTAGAGGACTCTCTCTCTCTCTCTGACCTGTGTAGAGGACTCTCTCTCTCTCTCTCTGACCTGTGTAGAGGACTCTCTCTCTCTCTCTCTGACCTGTGTAGAGGACTCTCTCTCTCTCTCTCTGACCTGTGTAGAGGACTCTCTCTCTCTCTCTCTCTCTGACCTGTGTAGAGGACTCTCTCTCTCTCTCTCTCTGACCTGTGTAGAGGACTCTCTCTCTCTCTCTCTCTGACCTGTGTAGAGGACTCTCTCTCTCTCTCTCTGACCTGTGTAGAGGACTCTCTCTCTCTCTCTCTGACCTGTGTAGAGGACTCTCTCTCTCTCTCTCTGACCTGTGTAGAGGACTCTCTCTCTCTCTCTCTGACCTGTGTAGAGGACTCTCTCTCTCTCTCTCTGACCTGTGTAGAGGACTCTCTCTCTCTCTCTCTGACCTGTGTAGAGGACTCTCTCTCTCTCTCTCTGACCTGTGTAGAGGACTCTCTCTCTCTCTCTGACCTGTGTAGAGGACTCTCTCTCTCTCTCTCTGACCTGTGTAGAGGACTCTCTCTCTCTCTCTCTCTCTGACCTGTGTAGAGGACTCTCTCTCTCTCTCTCTGACCTGTGTAGAGGACTCTCTCTCTCTCTCTGACCTGTGTAGAGGACTCTCTCTCTCTCTCTGACTGTGTAGAGGACTCTCTCTCTCTCTCTCTGACCTGTGTAGAGGACTCTCTCTCTCTCTCTCCTGACCTGTGTAGAGGACTCTCTCTCTCTCTCTCTCTCTGACCTGTGTAGAGGACTCTCTCTCTCTCTCTCTCTGACCTGTGTAGACTCTCTCTCTCTCTCTCTGACCTGTGTAGAGGACTCTCTCTCTCTCTCTCTGACCTGTGTAGAGGACTCTCTCTCTCTCTCTCTGACCTGTGTAGAGGACTCTCTCTCTCTCTCTGACCTGTGTAGAGGACTCTCTCTCTCTCTCTCTGACTGTGTAGAGGACTCTCTCTCTCTCTCTGACCTGTGTAGAGGACTCTCTCTCTCTCTCTGACCTGTGTAGAGGACTCTCTCTCTCTCTCTGACCTGTGTAGAGGACTCTCTCTCTCTCTCTGACCTGTGTAGAGGACTCTCTCTCTCTCTCTCTGACCTGTGTAGAGGACTCTCTCTCTCTCTCTGACCTGTGTAGAGGACTCTCTCTCTCTCTCTGACCTGTGTAGAGGACTCTCTCTCTCTCTCTGACCTGTGTAGAGGACTCTCTCTCTCTCTCTGACCTGTGTAGAGGACTCTCTCTCTCTCTCTGACCTGTGTAGAGGACTCTCTCTCTCTCTCTCTGACCTGTGTAGAGGACTCTCTCTCTCTCTCTCTCTGACCTGTGTAGAGGACTCTCTCTCTCTCTCTCTCTGACCTGTGTAGAGGACTCTCTCTCTCTCTCTGACCTGTGTAGAGACTCTCTCTCTCTCTCTCTGACCTGTGTAGAGGACTCTCTCTCTCTCTCTGACCTGTGTAGAGGACTCTCTCTCTCTCTCTCTGACCTGTGTAGAGGACTCTCTCTCTCTCTCTGACCTGTGTAGAGGACTCTCTCTCTCTCTCTGACCTGTGTAGAGGACTCTCTCTCTCTCTGACCTGTGTAGAGGACTCTCTCTCTCTCTCTGACCTGTGTAGAGGACTCTCTCTCTCTCTCTCTGACCTGTGTAGAGGACTCTCTCTCTCTCTCTGACCTGTGTAGAGGACTCTCTCTCTCTCTCTGACCTGTGTAGAGGACCTCTCTCTCTCTCTCTGACCTGTGTAGAGGACTCTCTCTCTCTCTCTCTGACCTGTGTAGAGGACTCTCTCTCTCTCTCTGACCTGTGTAGAGGACTCTCTCTCTCTCTCTGACCTGTGTAGAGGACTCTCTCTCTCTCTCTCTCTGACCTGTGTAGAGGACTCTCTCTCTCTCTCTGACCTGTGTAGAGGACTCTCTCTCTCTCTCTGACCTGTGTAGAGGACTCTCTCTCTCTCTCTGACCTGTGTAGAGGACTCTCTCTCTCTCTCTGACCTGTGTAGAGGACTCTCTCTCTCTCTCTCTGACCTGTGTAGAGGACTCCTCTCTCTCTCTCTCTGACCTGTGTAGAGGACTCTCTCTCTCTCTGACCTGTGTAGAGGACTCTCTCTCTCTCTCTCTGACCTGTGTAGAGGACTCTCTCTCTCTCTCTCTGACCTGTGTAGAGGACTCTCTCTCTCTCTCTGACCTGTGTAGAGGACTCTCTCTCTCTCTCTGACCTGTGTAGAGGACTCTCTCTCTCTCTCTGACCTGTGTAGAGGACTCTCTCTCTCTCTCTGACCTGTGTAGAGGACTCTCTCTCTCTCTCTCTCTGACCTGTGTAGAGGACTCTCTCTCTCTCTCTCTCTCTGACCTGTGTAGAGGACTCTCTCTCTCTCTCTGACCTGTGTAGAGGACTCTCTCTCTCTCTGACCTGTGTAGAGGACCTCTCTCTCTCTCTCTCTCTGACCTGTGTAGAGGACTCTCTCTCTCTCTCTGACCTGTGTAGAGGACTCTCTCTCTCTCTCTGACTTGTGTAGAGGACTCTCTCTCTCTCTCTCTGACCTGTGTAGAGGACTCTCTCTCTCTCTCTCTGACCTGTGTAGAGGACTTCTCTCTCTCTCTCTCTGACCTGTGTAGAGGACTCTCTCTCTCTCTCTCTGACCTGTGTAGAGGACTCTCTCTCTCTCTCTCTCTCTCTGACCTGTGTAGAGGACTCTCTCTCTCTCTCTGACCTGTGTAGAGGACTCTCTCTCTCTCTCTGACCTGTGTAGAGGACTCTCTCTCTCTCTCTCTGACCTGTGTAGAGGACTCTCTCTCTCTCTGACCTGTGTAGAGGACTCTCTCTCTCTCTGACCTGTGTAGAGGACTCTCTCTCTCTCTCTGACCTGTGTAGAGGACTCTCTCTCTCTCTCTGACCTGTGTAGAGGACTCTCTCTCTCTCTGACCTGAGTAGAGGACTCTCTCTCTCTCTCTCTGACCTGTGTAGAGGACTCTCTCTCTCTCTCTCTGACTTGTGTAGAGGACTCTCTCTCTCTCTCTCTGACCTGTGTAGAGGACTCTCTCTCTCTCTCTCTCTCTGACTTGTGTAGAGGACTCTCTCTCTCTCTCTGACTTGTGTAGAGGACTCTCTCTCTCTCTCTGACCTGTGTAGAGGACTCTCTCTCTCTCTCTGACCTGTGTAGAGGACTCTCTCTCTCTCTCTGACCTGAGTAGAGGACTCTCTCTCTCTCTCTGACCTGTGTAGAGGACTCTCTCTCTCTCTCTCTGACTTGTGTAGAGGACTCTCTCTCTCTCTCTCTGACCTGTGTAGAGGACTCTCTCTCTCTCTCTGACCTGTGTAGAGGACTCTCTCTCTCTCTCTCTGACCTGTGTAGAGGACTCTCTCTCTCTCTGACTTGTGTAGAGAACTCTCTCTCTCTCTCTCTCTCTCTGACCTGTGTAGAGGACTCTCTCTCTCTCTGACCTGTGTAGAGGACTCTCTCTCTCTCTGACCTGTGTAGAGCACTCTCTCTCTCTCTCTCGCTGACCTGTGTAGAGGACTCTCTCTCTCTCTCTCTGACCTGTGTAGAGCACTCTCTCTCTCTCTCTCTGACCTGTGTAGAGCACTCTCTCTCTCTCTCTCTCTCTGACCTGTGTAGAGGACTCTCTCTCTCTCTGACCTGTGTAGAGGACTCTCTCTCTCTCTCTGACTTGTGTAGAGAACTCTCTCTCTCTCTCTCTCTGACCTGTGTAGAGCACTCTCTCTCTCTTTCTCTCTGACCTGTGTAGAGGACTCTCTCTCTCTCTGACCTGTGTAGAGGACTCTCTCTCTCTCTCTGACCTGTGTAGAGGACTCTCTCTCTCTCTGACCTGTGTAGAGGACTCTCTCTCTCTCTCTCTCTCTGACCTGTGTAGAGGACTCTCTCTCTCTCTCTCTCTCTCTGACCTGTGTAGAGGACTCTCTCTCTCTCTGACCTGTGTAGAGGACTCTCTCTCTCTCTGACCTGTGTAGAGGACTCTCTCTCTCTCTCTCTGACTTGTGTAGAGGACTCTCTCTCTCTCTCTGACCTGTGTAGAGGACTCTCTCTCTCTCTCTGACCTGTGTAGAGGACTCTCTCTCTCTCTCTGACCTGTGTAGAGGACTCTCTCTCTCTCTCTCTGACTTGTGTAGAGGACTCTCTCTCTCTCTCTGACCTGTGTAGAGGACTCTCTCTCTCTCTCTCTCTGACTTGTGTAGAGGACTCTCTCTCTCTCTCTGACTTGTGTAGAGGACTCTCTCTCTCTCTCTGACCTGTGTAGAGGACTCTCTCTCTCTCTCTGACCTGTGTAGAGGACTCTCTCTCTCTCTCTGACCTGTGTAGAGGACTCTCTCTCTCTCTGACCTGAGTAGAGGACTCTCTCTCTCTCTCTGACCTGTGTAGAGGACTCTCTCTCTCTCTCTCTCTGACTTGTGTAGAGGACTCTCTCTCTCTCTCTGACCTGTGTAGAGGACTCTCTCTTTCTCTCTGACCTGTGTAGAGGACTCTCTCTCTCTCTCTCTCTGACCTGTGTAGAGGACTCTCTCTCTCTCTCTCTGACTTGTGTAGAGAACTCTCTCTCTCTCTCTCTCTCTCTCTGACCTGTGTAGAGGACTCTCTCTCTCTCTGACCTGTGTAGAGGACTCTCTCTCTCTCTCTGACCTGTGTAGAGAACTCTCTCTCTCTCTCTCTGACCTGTGTAGAGCACTCTCTCTCTCTCTCTCTCTGACCTGTGTAGAGGACTCTCTCTCTCTCTGACCTGTGTAGAGGACTCTCTCTCTCTCTCTGACTTGTGTAGAGAACTCTCTCTCTCTCTCTCTCTCTGACCTGTGTAGAGCACTCTCTCTCTCTTTCTCTCTGACCTGTGTAGAGGACTCTCTCTCTCTCTGACCTGTGTAGAGGACTCTCTCTCTCTCTCTGACCTGTGTAGAGGACTCTCTCTCTCTCTGACCTGTGTAGAGGACTCTCTCTCTCTCTCTCTCTCTGACCTGTGTAGAGGACTCTCTCTCTCTCTCTCTCTCTGACCTGTGTAGAGGACTCTCTCTCTCTCTCTGACCTGTGTAGAGGACTCTCTCTCTCTCTGACCTGTGTAGAGGACTCTCTCTCTCTCTCTCTCTGACCTGTGTAGAGGACTCTCTCTCTCTCTCTCTCTCTGACCTGTGTAGAGGACTCTCTCTCTCTCTGACCTGTGTAGAGGACTCTCTCTCTCTCTGACCTGTGTAGAGGACTCTCTCTCTCTCTCTCTGACTTGTGTAGAGGACTCTCTCTCTCTCTCTGACCTGTGTAGAGGACTCTCTCTCTCTCTCTCTCTGACCTGTGTAGAGGACTCTCTCTCTCTCTCTCTCTCTGACCTGTGTAGAGGACTCTCTCTCTCTCTGACCTGTGTAGAGGACTCTCTCTCTCTCTGACCTGTGTAGAGGACTCTCTCTCTCTCTCTCTCTCTGACTTGTGTAGAGGACTCTCTCTCTCTCTCTGACCTGTGTAGAGGACTCTCTCTCTCTCTGACCTGAGTAGAGGACTCTCTCTCTCTCTCTGACCTGTGTAGAGGACTCTCTCTCTCTCTCTCTGACTTGTGTAGAGGACTCTCTCTCTCTCTCTGACCTGTGTAGAGGACTCTCTCTCTCTCTCTCTCTCTGACTTGTGTAGAGGACTCTCTCTCTCTCTCTGACTTGTGTAGAGGACTCTCTCTCTCTCTCTGACCTGTGTAGAGGACTCTCTCTCTCTCTCTGACCTGTGTAGAGGACTCTCTCTCTCTCTCTGACCTGTGTAGAGGACTCTCTCTCTCTCTGACCTGAGTAGAGGACTCTCTCTCTCTCTCTGACCTGTGTAGAGGACTCTCTCTCTCTCTCTCTCTGACTTGTGTAGAGGACTCTCTCTCTCTCTCTCTCTGACTTGTGTAGAGGACTCTCTCTCTCTCTCTGACCTGTGTAGAGGACTCTCTCTTTCTCTCTGACCTGTGTAGAGGACTCTCTCTCTCTCTCTCTGACCTGTGTAGAGGACTCTCTCTCTCTCTCTCTGACTTGTGTAGAGAACTCTCTCTCTCTCTCTCTCTCTCTCTGACCTGTGTAGAGGACTCTCTCTCTCTCTGACCTGTGTAGAGGACTCTCTCTCTCTCTGACCTGTGTAGAGAACTCTCTCTCTCTCTCTCTGACCTGTGTAGAGCACTCTCTCTCTCTCTCTCTCTCTGACCTGTGTAGAGGACTCTCTCTCTCTCTGACCTGTGTAGAGGACTCTCTCTCTCTCTCTGACCTGTGTAGAGGACTCTCTCTCTCTCTGACCTGTGTAGAGGACTCTCTCTCTCTCTCTGACCTGTGTAGAGGACTCTCTCTCTCTCTCTTACCTGTGTAGAGGACTCTCTCTCTCTGACCTGTGTAGAGGACTCTCTCTCTCTCTCTTACCTGTGTAGAGGACTCTCTCTCTCTCTGACCTGTGTAGAGGACTCGCTCTCTCTCTCTGACCTGTGTAGAGGACTCTCTCTCTCTGACCTGTGTAGAGGACTCTCTCTCTCTCTCTCTCTCTGACCTGTGTAGAGGACTCTCTCTCTCTCTCTGACCTGTGTAGAGGACTCTCTCTCTCTGACCTGTGTAGAGGACTCTCTCTCTCTCTCTCTCTCTGACCTGTGTAGAGGACTCTCTCTCTCTCTCTGACCTGTGTAGAGGACTCTCTCTCTCTCTCTGACCTGTGTAGAGGACTCTCTCTCTCTCTCTGACCTGTGTAGAGGACTCTCTCTCTCTGACCTGTGTAGAGGACTCTCTCTCTCTCTCTGACCTGTGTAGAGGACTCTCTCTCTCTCTCTGACCTGTGTAGAGGACTCTCTCTCTCTCTCTGACCTGTGTAGAGGACTCTCTCTCTCTGACCTGTGTAGAGGACTCTCTCTCTCTCTCTCTCTGACCTGTGTAGAGGACTCTCTCTCTCTCTCTGACCTGTGTAGAGGACTCTCTCTCTCTCTGACCTGTGTAGAGGACTCTCTCTCTCTCTCTGACCTGTGTAGAGGACACACTCTCTCTCTCTCTCTCTGACCTGTGTAGAGGACTCTCTCTCTCTGACCTGTGTAGAGGACTCTCTCTCTCTCTGACCTGTGTAGAGGACTCTCTCTCTCTCTGACCTGTGTAGAGAACTCTCTCTCTCTCTCTCTCTGACCTGTGTAGAGCACTCTCTCTCTCTCTCTCTCTGACCTGTGTAGAGGACTCTCTCTCTCTCTGACCTGTGTAGAGGACTCTCTCTCTCTCTCTGACCTGTGTAGAGGACTCTCTCTCTCTCTGACCTGTGTAGAGGACTCTCTCTCTCTCTCTGACCTGTGTAGAGGACTCTCTCTCTCTCTCTTACCTGTGTAGAGGACTCTCTCTCTCTGACCTGTGTAGAGGACTCTCTCTCTCTCTCTTACCTGTGTAGAGGACTCTCTCTCTCTGACCTGTGTAGAGGACTCGCTCTCTCTCTCTGACCTGTGTAGAGGACTCTCTCTCTCTGACCTGTGTAGAGGACTCTCTCTCTCTCTCTCTCTCTGACCTGTGTAGAGGACTCTCTCTCTCTCTCTGACCTGTGTAGAGGACTCTCTCTCTCTGACCTGTGTAGAGGACTCTCTCTCTCTCTCTCTCTGACCTGTGTAGAGGACTCTCTCTCTCTCTCTGACCTGTGTAGAGGACTCTCTCTCTCTCTCTGACCTGTGTAGAGGACTCTCTCTCTCTCTCTGACCTGTGTAGAGGACTCTCTCTCTCTGACCTGTGTAGAGGACTCTCTCTCTCTCTCTGACCTGTGTAGAGGACTCTCTCTCTCTCTCTGACCTGTGTAGAGGACTCTCTCTCTCTCTCTGACCTGTGTAGAGGACTCTCTCTCTCTGACCTGTGTAGAGGACTCTCTCTCTCTCTCTCTCTGACCTGTGTAGAGGACTCTCTCTCTCTCTCTGACCTGTGTAGAGGACTCTCTCTCTCTCTGACCTGTGTAGAGGACTCTCTCTCTCTCTGACCTGTGTAGAGGACACACTCTCTCTCTCTCTCTCTGACCTGTGTAGAGGACTCTCTCTCTCTGACCTGTGTAGAGGACTCTCTCTCTCTCTGACCTGTGTAGAAGACGCTGGTGGCCAGTGGCGCTGCTATGGTTTGGTCCAGGACGAGTTTACGCAGGACAATCCTGAAGGAGTTTCCGGGGAACGTACGCTCCAAAAACCGCATCCAGAAGAAGCTCAAGTTGCCATGGAAACTGAACGCTACGATTGCGACGTTCCGGGTCTGAGTCCAGTTGACTTGTTCTGAGCTCGAAAAGCACTGGTGCACCAGGTCTCCTCCCGCAAACAGGCACCCGTACAGGCCCACGTTAGTGACCCACGGGAAACGACGAATAGTCCGAAACATTATGACACCAGTGTATTGATAATGTGTGTATAAAGTCAAGTCGATCCGTTATTTTTATTCCCGATCATCGCGCACCAGTGTGACGTCCTTCTAAAGGTCCCACAGCCGCACTGTCAGTGGTGTCTGCGCCGTTCGCCTCCCGCTGATCACGTATGAAGACCATCCCGTGAAACATGGAGATAGAAGTCCGCGGAGAATATACAACAGGCCGGCATGTCCTGTGGTCCTGCTGTGGGCCTGCTGTAGCTGCTGTCCCGATGTTGATGGTGCTATGGCCCAGTGAAAGGCTGAGTGGGCGGGGCTTATCCTGGAGCTTTCACCTTTGAACGGACCAGCACAACGTGTAAGCTATTTGCAGCCCAAGCACGGGTCTATTATAGTAGCGAGCTCACGCTAAACGAAATAGCAGTTTTTAAATCTGTACTTAATAAAAAGACCAAATCGATTTATGTAAAACTTTATTTCTTATAAAGAATAAAATTGTCAGTTTTATTAAAATAACAGTGGATCACATCACTGAAATTAAATGTCAACTGAATATGACAATTTACTTTAAGTTCTCTCCCCTGACATTCGTCCATCCTTCGTTTTTCTTCCACTTCATCCGTTGCCGGATCGCAGGGGCAGCAATCTAAGCAGAGACGTCCAGACTTCCCTATTCACAAACCCTTGCTCCAGCTCATCCCAGGTAATCCTGAGGCATTCCCTCTTGAAATTTACCCACTGTGGGACGAATAAAGGAACTCTTATCTTATCAGGTCCAGGGTCATTGGAACCAACAGGATTACATTGTCTGCAAAGAGCAAAGATGAAATCCTGTGGTCCCCAAACTGAATCCCCTCCGGTACCCGGCTTTAAAAGTTCTGTTCATGAAGACAGTGAACAGAACCGGTGACACAGGGCAGCCTTGGCGGAGGCCAACATGCACTTGGAACAGTTCTGACTTACTGCTGGTGATGTGAACGCAGCTCTGAATTTCTGAATCCAGTCACACAAGGGACCGGACAGAGGACCCCGGACTTCCCTGACATGGCTTATCCAATTCAAACCACACAATCACACAGATATAATTGTGTATGTGAGCAGTTGTGCATAACAACGTTTAAGCATTTGCAAACATAACCAATATCCCACACATCATAGCACTGTCTCCCCTGGGCCAGCCAAGTAGAGAAGAAAAACATGAAATCCCTGTACTTGTTGCAGTGTAATAACAAGAAATATTTCTATTTGGGAGTACTGTGAGATTTCATAACACTTTGAAGCAACTTTTGTTAAAGTTAAACTCATCATTCTATCAATGTGCAGAAGCCTGTACTTTTCCACTTCATGTTTTGTCTATCTGAAGGCCAAGCTACATGGCACCGTGGAAGCTGCTGATTGGAGGTCTCCATGCCTCCGCTCTGTATAATACACTTGCATTCTGTTGTATCTGTGATCGTGTGCTTTGTTCGTGCTGTCTCTACCATCGACAATAAAACATGTCTTCTGTCTGAATTTAAGACGCGATCCGAGACTATGTCATCTTCTTCAGGTGGTGGAAGGATGCGGGCCTTGTCTGTAACATCTAGTGAACAGAAGACTACTTTTTTTTTTACACAAAAAGTGTTTTTTTTTTAAGCCAAAACTGAGAAACCTCAAGAGAATGCATCTGGACCAGCACACTTGGACAATCTGCACAGCCCCTGATTCCAGTCAGGCTGTGAGCTGCTGAGACATGGACAACACCATCGTCCTCTTTTGCATGGACATAATTTGGAACAATTGGATTTCTGAATTTGGACATAATTTGGACTGAATTGGATTTCTGAATCTGGACACTGAAGCTGAAACGTGTGATTGAAAGACACGTCACAGAAGAGTTCATGGCTCGACACAAATGCAGCCTGAAGAAACCAACACAGAGAAGTGGGAGAGACTGTTTTCAAAGCAATATCTGGAACCACCATCGACTGATGAAGTTTGGTATTTTACTGAAGATTGTTGACAAGTTTTATGAAAGATCTGAACATGTTTTATGAGTTTTTGAAGTATTCCGAGTTCTGAGTTTTTTGAAGTACCGAGTGAAGTACCGAGTTTATGAGTTTTTGAAGTATTGAGTTATGATGTTATGTTGCTGTTTATCGATCCTGATGGTCACACGTGAATGTATGACCAGAGGGGGGAATGTGAGATTTCATAACACTTTGAAGCAACTTTTGTTAAAGTTAAACTCATCATTCTATCAATGTGCAGAAGCCTGTACTTTTCCACTTCATGTTTTGTCTATCTGAAGGCCAAGCTACATGGCACCGTGGAAGCTGCTGATTGGAGGTCTCCATGCCTCCGCTCTGTATAATACACTTGCATTCTGTTGTATCTGTGATCGTGTGCTTTGTTCGTGCTGTCTCTACCATCGACAATAAAACATGTCTTCTGTCTGAATTTAAGACGCGATCCCAGACTATGTCATCTTCAGTACTTTAGTACAACTAGAATAAGACACAATGGAAACATAATAAAAAGAGCAGGCAATGAAGTACCCATGCACCAGGAGCTGAGAGGCAATATAGGCTCAATAAGGTTTGTGATGATACAGAAGGTTCCACTTCTATGACTGGACAGTCCTTTCCCAGTCTCCTTGTTCTGTTCTGTGGTAGAGCTGCGGCTGTCCTGATGGAAAGAGGCCATCTGCACTGGGATGCTCTAAAATAAATTGGATGGTAGACTTCATGTGCTGAACAAAGTGAGGTGGCTCAGCATTGGGAGAGGTTGACAAGTACTACATAAAAAATAAAATTCAATAAATATGTGCAATGATAATAATGATAATAATATCCAGAAAACCATTACCTTTAGAATTGTGGCATCACTTTGATCCAACCAGAAAGCAATTTCTGAATTTGGAGACCACTTGCAAGGGCCAATTTTGACCAACCCACGGACAGAATCATATATCTCTGCCATCTGAGAGATATTACACAAGTTTTAAATAAAAACATAATATATACCGGCTAGATGCTATGTTTCACTACCTCTCCTCCAGTGAAGGTTCGAGCTGAGCGCAGCTGTTCTGCCGGTCCTTTACAGGTGAACAAAGAGGGAAAAACTTCACCTGTTTTCACATTTACGCCTGTGAAAAATACATCAGAATCAGAATCATTTTTATTGCCATGTAAGTAACAGGAAGTCACAGACTTGGAAATTGCTTTGGCTCAGTGAAACAGTCAGAAAGAGAGGTAAGGGTAGAGAAGGCATAATGAAAAATAAGAATAAAAAGCACTTCTAAGGAATAAATTTAAAATGGAGTTAGAATTACTATATACAATATAGAAGTGCACATGGTGCACACAATGTAAGGTGACAGCAGTACAGTGAGGTAAAGTGACGTATGGTGGGCAGTAAAGTGACATTATAAAGGGCAGTAGGGGACTTCTAGAGGGCGGGGGAACAGGTTATGAAGTGTTCAAGAGTCCAACAGCAGAGGGGAAGAAACTGTTCTTGTGGCGGGAGGTTCTAGTCCTGACATACTGTATTTCATGTGTGATGAGCCCAGATGTTTTGTGCGCTCCTGTCTTACCTATTCCATACACTAGAGGTCTATGAGTCCCATTAACAACAGTGTCATTCATTTCTGCAAACAAATTCTTTGTCAGTTCTCCATCTTGGATCTTAGAAAATATATTTAAATTTTAAATTGTTACCTGTTATGCAACAAGTCTCAAGATGAACATGTTCTTTTTGTTTATGAAAGGCGGCTGTAAATGTAATGCAAGATAAAAAATAATGATAATTTGTAATTTATTAAGGCATTGTAACTTACCTAAAATGTTAAGGCTTAAATTATCAGATGTCTTGGAGTCGTCATTGAATCCCCCCACCAGATGAAGCTCCAGTCTACATGTGACACAAAAAAGGCCCTTCATTCACTGTTTTTCATGCCGTTTTCTTTTCATTTTCATCTTTTGTGCCTGTGAAGCACTTTGTGCAGCTGGTGTTGTTGTTAATGTGCTATACAAATAAAGCTGACATTGACAATGTAAATTTAAGCAAAAGACTGAAGATAGGAGTGTCATACCTGCCGTCTTTGCAGTGGTGACTGAGTGATAGTACAGATTTTATAATAAGCTGAACTTCTGACCAAGTACTGGAACCATCCAAATGACCAACACAAGCTGCTCCATTTCCTTATTTTCCAGATTGAAAATAAAGTTTTAAAGTAAATAATGCATACTGTAACTATGAGCAGAGGACGTTGAACATGTGCAGCTAATATTACCTGTGTGTCGGAGAACAACTAAATGGCAGGTGGTTGCATCATCTGACCCAATGATGGAGACACATTCTATGGGAGGAAAACAACAATATTTACATCATTTGAATCATAATCGTGATCTTCTTTGGAATCCTTGTTTTTGTTACTTACTGTCTGCTGGTGTTGTTGCAGCATATTCTCTTTGCTGAACATACAAAAAACGCTTTGGGTCCACTTCCACAAGTGGCCTAGAACGAAACTGTCTTGCATTGTCCTTTAAAATAAACGACACAGCAGTTCATAATTCTAAACAGACAGAATGTGAGCTTTTTATTTTTTATATCTAAACAAATCAATGAATCCACATGTGATTATGTTACTGATACAATAATCATAATACCAGAAAATCTCTTGAGAGTGAAACAATTACATTACTTTGGTTTGCATATCTGTGTCTAAAAAGCTGCAGGCAGAGAGGACGCCTGCCCCAGTATGAGGGTGTTTTCATACTGGGCCAATCTCAATGAGAGCGCATCACACACAGATCGAGAAGCAATGTCATGAAACTAACCTGTAAATGCGGGTATTTCTCAAACAGCTCCACTGTCGAGTTTATGCGGTTAAATCCTTCCTTCTGAATTAACAAAGGCATATCCTGATGGCTGCAACAGTGCGGTCTAAAAGGCGATATATATGGACCTAATAATTAAACAGGTAGTGCACAAATAATCACATTTCACACTATTCTAGAGCTTCCAGGAAATCTGACTTCTTTTCTTCCAATGAAAACACTTGTTTTTGTTACACCGCCCCAATGCGGCGAGGAAAGCGAGCGTTAAGGCTAGGGCTATTCACAGTTGTAGATAGTACATATTTGTGCGTAGTCGCCTTGTAGTGAATTGCGTTTACGTTACATTCAGATGACTGTACGTAGGAAAAAAGGGCAGACCTGTGAGACAACGCTCGCTGTTTTGCTGTGAGATACGGGCTCTATTTGTAAACAAGCAGTTCGTTGTTCGATACTTCACCTCATCCACTGCTAAGAAACCTATTTTTCGAAAGTGCATCTGTTGGTGAAAGCAGTCGTTACGTAAAGGCTTTGATAAAAAGATAAACGCGTTGAGGCCAAAGCTTCACTATGCGAGGTTCTTATGGAGACAGAGACAGGGACAGGGACCGTGGCCGAGACAGGTCAGTGTCTGCATGGTTTTGGATAATGTACATGATAATTGTTTTTCTATAAGCACGATATATATTCTTATAACTCGATTTTGTTGTCGATCTGCTGCTGTACCTTCATCCTGGGGTAACACTATGGCCCATGTATTATATTAATGTGAAGGCCTCGTCATTAGATATGGTCAACTTGCACATCATCATAGACTGTATCATCATGCAAATAGGGTGTTCATTTTATGTTTTTCTTCTTTTCATATCTCACATCAGTTATTAGTATCAGATGAGGGATTGTTTATAATTTTGCAAAGAATATAGCTAAACATTATCCAAAATTGTTTTTCTCCCTCAGACCCCGGTTTGGCCCTCCTGGTGGTCGGAGCAGTGGACCTCCACCCATGAAATTTGGGAATCCAGGGGAACGCCTTCGCAAAAAAAGATGGAATTTAGATGAACTACCGAAGTTTGAAAAAAACTTCTACACTGAACATCAAGAAGTACAACGAATGACTCAGGCATGTTTCCCCTGAATACTCACTTATAAAGTATTTTGTGTGTGATCTAAATATGTTCCTTTTTCCCTCGCACACAGTACGATGTGGATGAGTTTCGCCGAAAGAAGGAGATCACACTTCGAGGTTCTGGATGTCCACGGCCAGTCACATCTTTCAGCCATGCACAGTTTCCTCGTGAGTAATCCACACTTATCTGAAAAACATGTTAATCATACATGGAACAGAACATATGTGTTTCACTCTTTCTGTTTTTTATTTATTTATAGAGTATGTGATGGATACTTTGATGCAGCAGAACTTCAAAGAGCCTACAGCCATCCAGGCCCAGGGTTTTCCAGTTGCTTTGAGTGGCAAAGACATGGTGGGCATTGCTCAAACTGGTTCTGGAAAGACTCTTTCTGTAAGTAAGATGATTAAATATTGATTAGAAGTGTGTTCTATAATTTTACTTCTAATTTCTATTTTAAGTATCTTCTCCCTGCCATTGTGCACATCAATCACCAACCATATCTAGAGCGGGGCGATGGTCCGATTGTAAGTTCATATATAATATTCATATATATATATCTTTGGTTCCTTGAGAGGATTGACTTGAATATCCCATTCTTAGTGCTTGGTGCTTGCGCCCACCAGAGAGCTGGCCCAGCAAGTCCAACAGGTGGCATACGACTATGGAAAGGCATCACGGCTCAAAAGCACTTGTGTCTATGGCGGAGCACCCAAAGGACCTCAGATCAGAGATCTTGAGAGAGGTATGCGTGCACACTGACATGTCAAAACAAGTGGCCGGTTTACTATAATGTACTTCACAGTTTATACATTTCTTCTTTAGGTGTGGAGATTTGCATTGCCACACCTGGTCGTCTCATAGACTTTTTGGAGGCAGGAAAGACCAACTTAAGACGATGCACATACTTGGTGCTGGATGAGGCTGACCGTATGCTTGACATGGGCTTTGAGCCTCAAATTCGCAAAATATTGGAACAAATTAGGGTATATTATATTCAGTAACATGTGTAACACATCTTGATACTACTGTAGTAAGTGAGCATTGTGTTCCTCAGCCTGACAGACAGACCTTGATGTGGAGTGCGACCTGGCCAAAGGAAGTCCGACAGCTTGCAGAAGACTTCCTCAGAGACTATGTCCAGATCAACGTAGGTGCACTTGAGCTGAGTGCCAACCACAATATCCTGCAGATAGTGGATGTTTGTATGGAGAATGAAAAGGAAAACAAGTAAGAAGATGTCAGCTTTTTAACTCATGCTAAAGATAAAGTGTTCTATTTAAATGCTTTGCTGGATTTAAGACTAATTCAACTTATGGAGGAGATTATGGCTGAAAAGGAGAACAAAACAATCATCTTTGTTGAAACCAAGAAACGTTGTGATGATCTAACACGCAGGATGAGGAGAGACGGGTAAGGATCCTGCACTGTTGTGTTCAGCTACTTGGAAAAGTTTTTTGATTTACTTTTTTATTATAGTTGGCCTGCAATGTGTATCCATGGAGATAAGAGCCAACCAGAAAGAGACTGGGTTCTTGCAGGTACAAAAGGCAGCAAATATCATTCATGTTTTTTGTGAATGTGAATCATGAATAACATAATTTGTGATTCCACAGAATTTAGAAGTGGCAAAGCCCCAATTCTGATTGCTACAGATGTAGCTTCACGTGGTCTGGGTATGTCTTCATACATTTTCATAACATTTTAATCTGATACTTTGGCAATGATCAATGATACTATTTATGTACAAATACAAAATTCTTGCAAAATACATGACTCACAGTTGCTAATGTAAATACCAGTAATTACAAGTAATTTTCATCCTAACAATTTGTATTCCATTTTCAAGACTATCTTTTGGTAAGTATAAATGGGGAAAAACAAGAAGACGACTCAAAGAAGATCTTTACAATCCTGCCCAACGTCAAATACACAATTACATTGCGGGTGAAGGTTGTGACCATCTGCCATGAGAGTGCAGTGTTTGTGACAGTGCCAGGACCTTACGGTTGGCTGGTTTTCTAGTCTGTTTCTTGTTGCAGTTCAAACCTCCTTCACCTGGGGCTCTTTGGCACGCTGCCCAAAGGAGGGGTGTATGGGGCACAAGCTCCAGTGCACCTGCTCTTGTCTCCATTCTGTTGTAGATACAAACTCCAACAATATCTTAGCATATAGTTACATGTTTGCTTGAATAAAATGCCTTCCGTATTTGCAGTTATTGTTGCAAGTTATAGATCATTTGAGAAAGGGGGCAGGTAAACTGTTCATGGCTTGAGACAAAGAAGTTGACACATATTCTCTTTTCCCCTCTTCTCTCAGGGTTTGGCAGCTCACTGCAGCTGTAACTCTGAGCTTCTGTTTCTGCCCCCTCAGTCATGCTTAAGTAGGGGCATGGCTTGTTTTAGGGGAGGGTATAATGCCCCTCTTCTGTACTTCTTGGGTAACTGAGCCCCCCCACCCCCCACCCCCTTGCCCAGTTCCCTCAGTTTGTAAATTCAGCGAGCCTTCCTTGGGAGAAGCCTGAGGTTCCTGTGTGTCTGCCCACCGGCCCGTCCCAAAAGCAGACAGACAGTTATAGAGGGCTCGTCTGGATCCAGTCCTGGTCCAGGGTCTGAGGCGGATCCCGCAGTGCGACGAGAGGGCAACAGAACCAGCCTGTGTTCTGCTCCCGTCAGCCTCCTGCCGCCTCAGCCCCAGCTATCAACCAGGACTGATCAGGGGGGACTGGCTACCTATGTAAAAACATCACAAAGGGGGTAAGTACCACAACGCCCCTTTTCTATATCTCCTCTACAACCTCAGCGTACATGTAGCCCCTTCCATCACGGCTGTATACTACTAGTCCAATTTCATCACAGCACATTGTATTTAAGAAGATAGTGATGAAATGTAAAATTGTGGTGGAGACTTGAGGAGACTGGTTTACGCAGTGCTGTCAGAGCCCCACACCTCTGTAAGGAGAAACAGACTCTGGATTCACACTTTCTGATCAGCTGTCACATCTGCAAGTGAATCAGGCCAGCCGAAACAGACCATGTCCTTCTGTAATTTAATCAAGCTTTTAAAACATAGAATGTTTGAAATATTAATGTCGTCGTTGAGATGGTCTTCACAGGTAAGTTAGCTCAGAAGGATTAATTTTATTTAAAGCTATATTCCTCAACTGTCCTAACTGTCCTCAACTGGTGGTGGGTTTTTGTGAAGTGGTCTGAAAACTGCTTGAACGTTCTTCAATTATGAATACGTTTACAACAGATTTTGAAGACTTGCCTATCCAGATATAACTTGTAACTTAGCCTAGTCACGTGCTTGTTTTCAATATAAAATTAAAATGAACAAATGACAAAATGTATTTCAAAAACACATTTCGATGAACCTAAGCGAAAAGAGGGCCCTCCACCAGGACAGTTGAAGAGTGCACTTTCAAAAATGATTTTCCTAAAGTATTTCTCATATCATGCACATTTACCTGTGGTTTTAACATTTATTTTCCCTCCAAACTCCAAATATTTACATGTAACAGATGTGGAGGATGTCAAGTTCGTCATCAACTATGACTATCCCAGCTCCTCTGAAGACTACGTCCACCGTATTGGACGAACCGCCCGCAGCACCAACAAGGGCACCGCCTACACTTTTTTCACTCCAGGAAACCAGCGCCAGGCACGAGATCTGGTCCGAGTTCTGGAAGAGGCCCGACAGGCCATCAACCCCAAACTGCTGCAGCTCCTGGACTCAGGGCGTGGCGGAGGAGGTAAGATAATGTGTTCATACAGTTGTATGAACAATTTTTAAGATTTTCTTTTATAAATAATTGGTTGTGTGGATAAGAAATGTCAGTTAGATCATATAGGAGACAAACGCAGTGATATTTGATAAGTGAAATAAAGTTCGTGTCATTCACAGAATGTGTGCAAGAACTATTTAATTGAAATTGATGCCCAAACTTTTGCATACCACTGTATATGGAGTTATGTATGTTGAATACCCTTCCATCCATCCATCCATCCATTTTCTTCCGCTTTATCCGTTGCCGGGTCGCGGGGCAGCAGTCTAAGCAGAGACGCCCAGACTTCCCTATCCACACACACTTCCTCCAGCTCGTCCGGGGGGACCCCAAGGCGTTCCCAGGCCAGCTGAGAGACATAGTCCCTCCAGCGTGTCCTGGGTCTTCCGCGGGGCCTCCTCCCGGTGGGACGTGCCCGGAACACCTCCCCAGGGAGGCGTCCAGGAGGCATCCGGAACAGATGCCCGAGCCACCTCAACTGGTTCCTCTCGACGTGGAGAAGCAGCGGTTCTACTCCGAGCTCCTCCCGTGTGACTGAGCTCCTCACCCTATCTCTAAGGGAGCGCCCAGCCACTCTGCGGAGGAAGCTCATTTCGACCGCTTGTATCCGCGATCTCGTTCTTTCGGTCATTACCCAAAGCTCATGACCATAGGTGAGGGAGGGAACGAAGATTGACCGGTAAATCGAGAGCTTTGCCTTTCGGCTCAGCTCCCTCTTCACCACAACGGTCCGATACAGCGACCGCATAACTGCGCATGCTGCACCGATCCGCCTGTCAATCTCACGCTCCATTCTTCCCTCACTCGTGAACAAGACCCCGAGATACTTGAACTCCTCCACTTGAGGAAGGACCTCTCCACCCACCTGCAGAGGGCAAGGCACCTTTTTCCGGTCGAGCACCATGGCCTCGGATTTGGAGGTGCTGATTCTCATCCCAGCCGCTTCACACTCGGCTGCAAACCGTCCCAGTGCATGCTGCAGGTCCTGGTTCGTTGGAGCCAACAGGACAACATCGTCCGCAAACAGCAGAGATGAAATCCTGTGGTCTCCGAACCGGACCCCCTCCGACCCCTGGCTGCGCCTAGATATTCTGTCCATAAATACAGTGAACAGAACCGGTGACAAAGGGCAGCCCTGCCGGAGGCCAACATTCACCGGGAACAGGTCTGACTTACTGCCGGCAATGCGAACACAGCTCTGGCTCCGGTCATACAGGGATCGGATGGCCCTCAGCAGAGGACCTCCGACCCGGTACTCCCGGAGAACCCCCCAAAGGACACCCCGGGGAACACAGTCAAACGCCTTCTCCAAATCCACAAAGCACATGTGGACAGGTTGGGCGAACTCCCATGAACCCTCGAGTATCCGATGGAGAGTATAGAGCTGGTCCAGTGTTCCGCGACCGGGACGAAAACCACACTGCTCCTCCTGGATCCGAGATTCGACCATCGGCCGTAACCTCCTCTCCAGTACCTTGGAGTAGACCTTACCGGGGAGGCTGAGGAGTGTGATCCCACGATAATTGGAACACACCCTCCGGTCCCCCTTCTTGTAGAGAGGGATCACCACCCCGGTCTGCCACTCCATTGGCACTGCCCCCGATCGCCACGCGATGTTGCAGAGACGTGTCAGCCAAGACAGTCCTACAACATCCAGAGACTTTAGATAATCAGGGCGGATCTCATCCACACCCGGAGCCTTGCCACCATGGAGGCTACCAACCACCTTGGTGACCTCAGCCAGGGAGATGGATGTACCCGCCCCAACGTCCTCAGCCTCTGCCTCTGTAACAGAGGACGTGACGGGGGGATTGAGGAGAACCTCAAAGTATTCCTTCCACCGCCCGACAATATCCCCAGTCGAGGTCAGCAGCTCTCCACCCGCACCGTACATGGTGTTGGCAAAGAACTGCTTCCCCCTCCTGAGGCGCCGGATGGTTTGCCAGAATCTCTTCGAGGCCGACCGATAGTCATGCTCCATGGACTCTCCGAACTCCTCCCAGTCCCGGGTTTTTGCCTCTGCAACAGCCCGGGCCGCGGCACGCTTGGCCTGCCGGTACTGGACAGCTGCCTCAGGAGTCCCCCGAACCATCATGGCTCGATAGGACTCCTTCTTCAGCCTGACAGCATCCCTTACTGCCGGTGTCCACCACCGGGTTCGGGGGTTGCCGCCGGGACCAGCACCAGAGACCTTGCGACCACAGCTACGAGCCGCCGCATCGGCGATTGAGGCAGAGAACATGGTCCACTCGGACTCCATGTCCCCCTCCTCCGCCGGGACCTGGGAGAAACTCTCCCGGAGGTGTGAGTTGAAAGTCCGTCTGACAGGGGGCTCAGCGAGACGTTCCCAGCAGACCCTCACTATACGCTTGGGTCTGCCAGGTCTGACCGGCTTCTTCCCCTGCCAGCGGATCCAACTCACGACCAGGTGATGATCGGTTGACAGCTCCGCCCCTCTCTTTACCCGAGTGTCCGAGACACGCGGTCGAAGGTCAGATGATACGACAACAAAGTCGATCATCGACCTCCGGCCTAGGGTGTCCTGGTGCCACGTGCACTGGTGGACACCCTTGTGCTCGAACATGGTGTTCGTGATGGACAAACCGTGACTGGCACAGAAGTCCAACAACTGAGCACCGCTCGGGTTCAGATCAGGGGGGCCGTTCTTCCCGATCACCCCTCTCCAAGTGTCACTGGCGTTTCCCACATGGGCGTTGAAGTCCCCCAGGAGAATAACGGAGTCCCCGGGCGGTGCACCGTCCAGTACCCCTCCCAAGGACTCCAAGAAGGCCGGGTACTCTACACTGCTGTTAGGCCCGTAGGCCGTCACAACAATGAGAGACTTGTCCCCCACCCGGAGGCGGAGGGACGCGACCCTCTCATTCACCGGGGAGAACTCCAACACGTGGCGGCTGAGATGGGGGGCAATGAGAATGGCCACCCCAGCTCGCCGCCTCTCCCCGCGGGAAACTCCAGAAAAGTGGAGCGTCCAACCCCTCTCAAGGAGTTGGGTTCCAGAGCCCAAGCTGTGTGTGGAGGTGAGGCCGACTATCTCTAGTCGGTATCGCTCAACCTCCCCCACGAGCTCGGGCTCCTTCCCCCCCAGTGAGGTGACGTTCCACGTCCCAAGAGCCAGCTGTTGTGTGTGCGGACTGGGTCGCCGAGGTCTCCGCCTTCGACTCCTGCCCAGTCCTCTCTGCACCGCTTCACCACGGACCCCTCTGCAGGTGGTGGGCCCACAGGAGGGACTGCCCACGTCATCCCTTCGGGCTGAGCCCGGCCGGGCCCCGTGGGCTAAGGCCCGGCCACCAGGCGCTCGCATACGGGCCCCGACCCCAGGCCTGGCTCCAGGGTGGGGCCCCGGCTGCGCCATGCGGGCGACGTCACTGTTTTCGTGTTAGTGCTGTCCATGGTGTCTTCTGGACTGCTCTTTGTCTGACTCGTCACCTGAGACCTGTCTGCCATGGGAGGCCCTACCAGGGGCATGAAGCCCCAGACAGCATAGCTCCCAGGATCATCCGAGTACTCAAACTCCCCCACCACGTTAAGTTGGCAGTCCAGGGGGGAGTGAATACCCTTCATTTAGGATATTTTCTTAATTCTATATTTTCTTATTTAGATTTTCAAATTGTTTTTTAATGTTATGTTCCATCTTGTTAAGCTAAGTATATATATTTTATGAGAACATTTCATAGTTCAAATACTGAGAGCAGTAACGGATAGTCCTAAGATGGTCCTAAGATGGGACAGGGCTCAAAAACACAAACATGTGAAAACTAGTCCTAGAAACAGCTAGAACTAGTTAGATGGGTTTTACTACATTTTATATATTTTTCAGTGGTTTCAAAGTGAGGTACAAGCTTAGCTTCAGCAAAGTATTTCTTGTGGATTCCTAAAGTTACATCTGTCTTAGGTGGACGCATGCGCTTCCGTGGCAACAACTCCAACAACCCCAACCTCATGTATCAGGAGGAAACCGAGCGGCGCATGCGCACAGGCGGGGCAGGCAAAGACGGGCGCGGCAGCTTCAACCGCGACAGCCGCAGTAACCGCGACGGTGACCGTTCCAACAGCTCGTCTTCCTTCAGGGACCGCGACCGCCGGAACAGCAGTTCAGACCAGTACAACAGCAGCTACAACAGCGGTGGCTACAACTCCCGCAGCGGGCAGTCGGCGGACCAGCCCAATCCGCCCCAGAGTCAGTACAACCAGCCACTCCCTCCCCCCCCCGGAGCCCCCCAGCCTCTCATGGCTCAGCAGTTCCCCCCGCCGCAGCCTCCTCTGATGGGCTTCATGACCCAACCTCCGTACCCTTTCACTGCTCCGCCACCCCCGCCAGGACACCCACCTCCTCGAAAGTAAAGTTTTTGTTTTATATTGCACCTTTTCTGCCCTGTTATTTTGTATGATGTAGTAAGGGCATATATTTGTCTTTATGTACTGTGTCTGCACTGCCAAGCCGTGTTTAAGTGTTCTCCAAGGATAGGACAGGCTGTGGTGATGTCATGACAGAAAAATCAAAAGCTCTAAATAAGAGCAGGCACCTGTCAAATAATTGCTGTTGTTGTTGGTCACAATTGAAAAGAATTGTGAATCCTTGGCAGAAAGATTGATTTATATTTTTTAGCCAAAATGATTGTGATAGCAGTCCTATACTTATCAAAAGGACTGCAAACAGAAATGGCCTTTCACCACAATCTAAACTATCCATGGGGAATACATGTTCTGTGAAACGTTAACTTAAAGTAGTGGATCTAGAATGCAACAGTTCTTTCAAAAGGATATTCACATTCCAGTTGCTTGTCCCTTTTCAAAATCAGAAGAATACTTGATGTCAAAGATCGGGGTCAGTAACTTTTACAAATATAAAATTTGCTTGTAATAGTGTTTGGTTCTGCTTTAGTAAAATGATACTGCTTGTTACTCCTAATAGTGTCTTTGTTGGCAACAATCTTTCCCAATAAATTGTGTGAAATGGAACTATCTCGTCTTTCAAACAGAATTTGGTGTAGTTGCCCAAAAGCACTAGATTCTGAATTTTTAAACCATTGCATTAAAGTGCTTTTACGTTGCATAAAGAACAAGTCCAAGGTTTGTAGAGTGTGGGTCATATCTTTGATCTAACTTCCATATTTATTCATACAGGGTTTCAACAAAAAAGATTTCCCATTTGTTATATACTTTGCATGATTACAGTATGTACATTTCAGGCACACGTGGTAGAAATAAAATAAACTTTAAAATCTTTGGGTTAATGATAGGCAGCAAAGGAAAATGGGAAACAATTCATGCAAAAATGAAAAGACAATTATGAATCAATATCCTGAGCATAAATAAAAAATATTGAATACAAAACTTCAACCTTTTGACACAAATCCCCGCTGGAATAGAGTAACTCAAACCTAAAACCACATGGTAAACTATTTGATGCGTCGACAGTAAGACTGGTCATCCACATGCTGCAGTGTAACAGAATATTATTTATCAATTTCATGTGTGAAAATATAATTATTCTCACCAATTAAACATGGTTTCATTCTAATGCTATAATTTCCAGCGTCAGATTTGTTTCCATTTCCAGCATGGCTATTTTGATAGAGAAAACAAAGTAAAATGTGGGTTTAAAAAAAGACATTTGGGTAAATTCACATAAAATGAAAAAATTCTTCATCAACATAAAACAGATCATTGCACATGATTTACGTCTCTTTGATTCACATTTCTGTTTGTGGAGTCAATGGAAGAAGGCACAAAGTGCAAGACCTTCAGTAAATTGCACAAGTGTAATCTCGTCATACATTTCTTAATCTCAGAGGTTGCCCCAGGTGTTTGGAGGAGGAAACTGGTCCACGTCTCCGGATACATCATAAAAGTTGTCACTCAAGTTAAAAGTGAGTTTGTATCGTAGTCGTACCTTCTCCTGGAAAACAAATTCCCAAATCAAATTATAAAAGCAATCTTCAGAATATCCTTACATTGTGGCTGTTTTCCAATTGTTATGGCAATAAATTATGGATTTTCTATAATTTATTGGATTCCATTTCAAAGCGTACCTTCTGAGGATTTGACAACAGCAGAATCTGTGTAATGGCCGCTGGAGACAGAACGGGGTTGAAAGCTGGAAGTTCAGTTGCAGTGGGCGGCTGCAGCTTGACCTTCATGATCTGAATCACATTTGAACAGATTATAAAAAGCTGCTTCCAAATCACATTGAATACATGAAAGTTCTTTGTAAAGGTGTACATGTTGAGACATTTTGAGAGTTTTGACTATTGGCACAAACAAACTTGACTCAGAAATCCTGCTAAATAAAATGACTGCTAAATAATTGATGGAAATCAGACACTCCATGTTTCTCACCTTGGGTACAGCTGCCTGGAAGCGTATGTTTGTGATGGGAACAGGGGCTGACGACAGCATGGAGATGATTACAACCAGCACATCTGACCGAGAGGGCGGGCAGTCGCGGGCAAACGTAAATAAAACTCGAAGACTGTGCTTATCAATCACAGTCACTGGTAATAAGGGACCTAAAAACATGAACGTAATCCTTAAATCTAAAATAACATTGTAACATTTATCATGATAAGTTGAATTACTTGGCCTGATTGTTTCCAGAGGGACTGTGACCTCCGACAGGGAAGTGCTTTGATGCAGATCGATAGCTGGCTTGAACACAGGTGCTACAGTTGTGTTGGGCTGGTCTGAAAGTGCAGGTGTAGATGAAGTAGGACCAGTTGTGGAGTTGGCCTTACTCTGCAAGTCTCTTAATGAAACCTTACTGGGGGCTTCAAGTTTGTCCCTACATGACAGAAGAACATGGATCAATGCTCTCCAGCCTCCTCTGCATAATTACAATATATAATCATCAACTAATAATCTAAACCTGCCCATTAACGTAAGTTTAATTATTAACATTAGATGTTTTCACTACAATCAAGGCAGATTGTACCATTTAACCTGCTGACTTTCCGGTGGTAAGGACTGCTGCAACAGAGTCTTCCCCAGAATGTCCAAGTCATCCAGAGCTTTGATGGGTGCATTATCGCCCTCTATGGGTGAGGATTGTACTTTCTGGACAGCACATGGGAGCAGCACTGCAGCTGGGATAGGACTGGAGTTGTCTGCACTATTGAGAATCTATAAAACACACATTTGCACAAATTGGACTGACTTACAAAGTAGAGATGGTGCAGAACTATGATAAAGCCTACCTGAATAGTGTGGGAGGAGTTTGTCACATTCAGTCCTGAGAAAAACAATTTTTATTTATTTAGATAATACACATTACATACAAGTAGAAATTAAATCTAAAATGAGAGTGACATTGTTAAATATTTTAAAGAAAGGATGATGTTATTAAATAAATAGTAATGTAAGCAGGTATGGGGGAATGGGTTTGTACCGTGGCCAAGCCCATGAATGCTTGTTTCTTGTGGTCTACAAAAGGTGTGTGCGTTTGAAGTCTGAAGGCAACAGCAGGGGGGTAGACCCGAGACAGCCAGAACACTCTCTCATAGCTCAAACATGTGCTTACGCTGCTAACTAAACTTTAATGGCTTATAAAGCATTAGTTCAGTAATCCACACTGAGCTTTTACGAGTCAGATAATTTGCTGGGAATGAATTGTTCTTACCCAGTGACATGAGTTCATCGTCCAAAAGGCTGATGCCCATATTCTGGGTCTCGAGGCTGGAGGGCTCTGTGCTGGACGGTGAGGAGTCTGTCACAGGATTTATTCCTGCCAAGTCTAAAAGGGCTGAGATACCATTGCCTGAAACTGATAAACAGATGAAAGATTACAATGCTTAAAAATGTCCATTGTATCAGAATGTTTGGAATGCTATTTCAGTAGTGATTTTTGTTTTACCTTCTGGCGATTGTTTTATGTCATCTTTGTTGATCACTTCACCTTTTACCAGCTGCCTGTACTTGTTTATAGCTTGGGTCAACCGTTCATTGGCCTCCAAGATGTTGCCTAAATCAGGACAGGGAAAGGAACAATCACCATCAGTATGCCTTGCTTTTTGAAGGCTCAATAAAAGTCAAAAGCGTAATGTTATTGCAGTGAAGCATAAATGTTCCAATGTAAAGCTTTGTTCTAAAAATGTCACAACAAAACAATGTGTAATTTGGTGTGTCTCAAACAGGTTAAACAAGTCTGGTGAAGTGTAGCAACAGTGACACTGTGACAAACTGTTTTAAAGCCACATGCAAAGCAGGCAGAAAGACGTTCAATGTGCCAAAGATACCTAAAGCATCGTCATTATCTTCAGTGTCACTTGCTAACCGGAAAAGTGTTGGCCTCATTTTCTCACAGCGCTGGTAAAGATCCTGGAAAGAGAATCACATTGATAGTATGGTTTACTCGTTACAGCGTGTGTAAAGCATAGATGGGTGAAGCTGCTGAGTCGTGCAGACCTTAATGAGTTCCTGGTTGCTGTGAGAAGTGCTCTCTCTGCTGTAGCCCTCCAGCAGCTGGCTCAGCAGGCTCACACTCTCATTCACCTCCTGGATCGCATTCACTCGCTTTGATACCTTTTCCACTCGCTTCTGGTCCTGATATAACACAGGGAAGTGTCACATAGATGGACAGATACTTTATTTATCTGTAGGAGAAATTCAGGTGTCCAGAAGCAGCAGAAACATATCCATCCACACAAACAAAACAAATAAATAGATAATTCTAAAAGTAGCTAATAATAATAATAGTAGTAATAAAATGCAACATATTGCAACATGCAAAATTGTTGGTGAAACATAGAAGTATTTTTGTTTGTTTCTTTTTTTGACATTTATGAATACATTTAGTAGTAAACAACATTGTATATGAAACATTACATATATATGTATTATATACCTGCATAGTAAAAATAATATTGTCGCCAAAATACCCGATACTTGAATGATATTTTTGACAAAGCAAATTTTGGCAGCACAAATCCGCTTCAACATTTTGGATCACACCCACCTCTTGGACCATTTCCTTAATGAGCTTGTTTGCTGCTCTCAGATCATCAGGGTGTGTACTCTTCAATAAACGAGAAAGTTCCTACGAAAACAGGATAAGACGTGTGTACAACAGAGGAAGATGTTTTTATAAACTGTTTATTTAAAAGCATTTTCCCAAGAATATCTCTAATATATCTTCTAAACATTGCATTAAACTCTAAATGTTCTTTGGAGTTGTATAACAAGCGTATAAATGTCAGACAGTGTGTTGTCAGACACATTGATATAGAAATGCTTTGTTACATGGAAAGTCAAAGGCAAATCCACAATGAGTTAAACGGATGATCGTAGACTATCTGAATCATTGAGATTTGAACATACATCATTGTTCACAATTACTGAAATAGTTTATGCTCAAAATATTGATTCAATACAAAATAGAGCTCTCTGCACATGCACATGAGCACGCTTAGGAATCTTTACCTTAGACTTTTCTTCATCGTCAAATATGGCACTTTTGGCTCGAGGTGGTGGAGGAGGGAGGGGCTTGTCATCTGGGAGTACAGGATCCTGCTTGACAATACCTGGAAGAGAACAGGACCACATTCAACCTTAGCCTGAATATACAGCGCCAGGGGTACGTGTGTTTTGAACGGTTTTCAGTACAAATCAAGGGTACATGCATTCCAACTATAGAACATGGTTGATCATCAGACACGTCTTGCTCATCAATAAGTGTAATAAAAATTGTCAGTCAAAAAATTACATAAAAAATAGATGGACTGACCCTGCTTTTTCAGCATGTGATAGGCTTCCGACACTTTAGCCTCATGTGGAAGTGTTATTGTCCAGCAGTACATGATTTCTATGACTTTCTTCTTGACTGGTTCAGGTGCTCTGGAACCCAAATACTGCGGCACAAATACAGAAAATAAACTCACTCATGACATATACATTTTAAAGAGTCAATCAAGTTGTTTATTAATTGGTGAGTCATTTTTGTCAAATCAGTGCCAAATCTCATTCACCAAAATAGAAGTTGTAATTACCTTGGGTGATACAACTTTGATGAGTTCATTGAGGAATCTGAACTTGCCAACTTCAGTATGAAAATTCTTTCCACAGTTCTTCATGCAAGTCTCAAGAACCTGAAATGAAAGCAAAGTCTATTAACAGACGATAGATGCAGTGGTATTTAAACATGATCATATGTGAAGGCCATTACTGTAAGTGCTTGCAGAGCCTCCCATTCCTGGGGAGATTGGATTTTGTGGGCAAGGAGTCTTGTTGCGAGCTGGGGGCTGTTGCGAGATAAATTTGTATTTGTTTCATTATCAATAGTATTTCCACTGTTACAACACAGTGTATAATCCAACGACATAACCTACCCTTCAGGTTCATTGTTGAGCTGCTCACAAAACGCTTTGATACACTCCCAGTCTGTCTCTTTATTCTGAGGGCAGGTAGCAGTGTCTGTGTGAAATCAGATTAAACATTGCCCCTTCAAATAATAGTTGTGTTATCAGCTATGACAATTCTTTGTGAGCAATAAGCATTATAACATTCCTGAAAACATACAAATAAATAAACAGCCAAGTTTTCGGTGGCTGTATGTCTCCACCCAGAGTCAGGTGGTTTGTGCGCTTTTCCTGGTTGAGGAAAATACCTGAGAAGACCTAGATTTTATGATGGTAAAAGGCGATACTTGCGTTAACTCACGCTACGTGGGGCATAGACTGTATGCACGTCGGATACTATCCAATGAACAAAAAGAAAAAGCAGTGAGTTCTCGTTCAGACACTGTCACTTTTTGATGAATTTATCATTAGCTGCCTCGACATTATGCTTCAGCTATGAGCGCTAACAAAGTGTTATATTGCACACTTAGGCTTGTGACATATAACGAACCATTATCCATAAGGAAGGAGAGAGGGCAAGCACGATTTGCGACTCACGGCAACTTCCGGTGACTCGCGTGACTCAGGCGCTGTGAGCCGCGACTCAGCAGCCAGAAGTCGTGACTCACGGTTAAAAATAACACAATTCTTTGCTTCTCAGGGGTATCTGGGAATGATCAATGAGACAATATGGATCTGGAGGCATTGTTTACAAGTAATCAGTATGTTAGACACTCTACATCAGCTAGTATGTGTTTGTATAGCAGTCCATGTCCGTTAACCACTGACTCAGGCGCTGTGAGCCGCGACTCAGCAGCCAGAAGTCGTGGCTCACGGTTATCAATTTAACTTTTTAGGGGTATCTGTGGATTATCAATGACACATTGTGGATCTGGAGGCATATATTTACAAGTAACCAGTATGTTACACACTCTTCATCATCTGGTATGTGTTTATATAGCTCTCCATGTTCGTTAACCACTGACTCAGGAGCTGTGAGTCGCGGCTCAGGAGCTGTGAGTCGCGGCTCAGGAGCTGTGAGTCGCGGCTCAGGAGCTGTGAGTCGTGGCTCAGGAGCTGTGAGTCGCGGCTCAGGAGCTGTGAGTTGTGGCTCACAGTTAAAATACAGCATATTTTTGCTTTTTAGGGGTATCTGGGAATTTCTAATGAGACTATATGGACCTGGAGGCATAGTTTACACGCCTAGTTCACGACACGCCTCTGTCCTGCAGGCCGCAGAATGACTACTTCGAACCCGCAGCAACACCTTTTTGATTGACAGTGAACAGGTGTGGGCTTATTCTACACATTAGCACGTAGCTCAACATGTCCTTCCAGTGATGTGCGGCACCACTCTGCTGCTATTCATGACTGAGCTGTATATGTTCCTGTATTGGGAGACAAAGTAACAGCTCATGTGGTTGTGGGGAAACAAATGTTCATGTTATAGTGCAATGTGTGCAAATGTATTAGCTACAGCCAAGTGCAAAACTGAAATGTATCAAACCTAAACCAAATCTTTATTCTTTATAATTGGTCTATTAAAGTGAATTACGTTGTGCATTTTTTTATAAAGTTTGTTTTCCTTCTCTTCTGTGTGTGGCTCATCTTGATGTGTCGTCTCAGTAGTTCTGTAATTCAAGAATAACCGGTTAACTACACTTAATTTTTGCACAGAAAAGAAATGAGAGAAAAGAGGCATTAAGGAGAAAAACATGTCTTGATGGCTGCAGCATGACACCTGTATTTCCACTGCATTTGTATCCTGTATAATGCTCCAGGATCAGATGTTTAAAGGGTATAAGGGAGCTACACTTTTGGAAACCCTAAAACATTTGATTCAGGATGATCACGGAGGCAGTTATGAGGGAAAGTGCCGTGCAGCAGTCATACAGCCGCTGGGCCACCAAAGGCTCAAATAAGCATCTTCAAACATTTCACCACAACAGAAGTTACTTGAATTCTGTATTTTGAACATCTGGGTTCGGTAACATGATCATATAAAATTATGTCATTAGGGTCTTTCTCTTTAATTCTCTATTTACAATAGTAAGTCCACCTCAGCACACTATCCTCCAAAGTTAACAATAATCATTTTTTTTAGAATGAAAATGCCCTGAAATGAAATGCCCTGATGTTTGTGTTTGTTCAAAGACAAAGAAATCTCTACTCTGGGTTCTTGGCTCACTTTGTCATCCACATTATTTTACTATAAGGACAAATTGGTACAAGTGGCTTTTATAATTGTGTTTGTTTGTGTATTGTTTGTATTTTTTCAAATGCCTTTAGCATTATTAATAAATAACAAATAATAATGTCTCAGTGGTTTTTTAGTTATTTATTTCTTATGTGACCAAACCTGTGTTATACACCTTGCCTCATCTTTTGTCCTATGGAGTATACACTCTGCTCTGTATCTGCAAGTTTTGTGTATTCTTTGAAGCCACAGAATTACAACCAAGGAATTTTACACAAGTTTCATGCCCTTTAAAATGATTAAAAGACAGACTCCAAAAAACGAAACAAAATAACTTACCTCAATATTTTGGTGAAATTTAAATTGCAAGCGAGATGTCCAACGTCGTGCAGGATTCAACATGAGATTAGACAGCGCCCCCTGGTGTCAGCAGACGAGTCCTGACTTATGTCTCGTAGGTCACTTGTTAACAATAGAGTAATACAAACATATATCAGCTGGTAAAGTATGTATGAGGCACTGAGGACATGGAAAATGTTCATCCAGATACATTAATAATTCATAAATACTCCTAAAAAGTATTTTTCATTAGAATATGAAATAAGCCCTGCAAATACATGTAATAATCTGTATTTAGGCCTGTATCACTTAATCAACCACTTGCACTATGACTGTAAACCTGACATTTCTTTTATAGTCTGTTTATTTTACTAAGGATGCACCAATACCAATATTAGTATTGTGCCGTTATCACATACTTGTACTCATACTCATTCATGAGGTCCCATGACTGTATATAAGATACCACGATGGGGCGTCTTGCTTCAGTGGGAGCAGGTGGTTGTGGGGGCACGACCCCACGATCATTAGGTCCAAAGACCAAAGCTCTGCCAATTGAGTCACTGTTGCCCCTAATAATTCCCAGATACCCCTAAAAAGCACAGATTTGTGGTATTTTTAACCGTGAGCCATGACTTCTGACTGCTGAGCCGCGACTCACAGCTCCTGAGCCGCGACTCAGGAGCTGTGAGTCAGTGGTGAACAGTTCATAGAGATCTATACAAACAAATACCAGCTGATGAAGAGTGTGTAACATACTGATTTACATGTAAACTATGCCTCCAGATCCATATTGTCTCAATAGAAATTCCCAGAAACCCCTAAAAAGCAAAGATTTGTGGTATTTTTAACTGTGAGCCTCGACTTCTGACTGATGAGCCGCGACTCACAGCTCCTGAGTCAGTGGTTAACGAACATGGAGAGCTATATAAACACATACCAGATGATCAAGAGTGTGTAACATACTGGTTACTTGTAAATATATGCCTCCAGATCCACAATGTGTCATTGATAATCCACAGATACCCCTAAAAAGTTAAATTGATAACCGTGAGCCACAACTTCTGGCTGCTGAGTCGCGGCTCACAGCGCCTGAGTCAGTGGTTAACGGACATGGACTGCTATACAAACACATACTAGCTGATGTAGAGTGTCTAACATACTGATTACTTGTAAACAATGCCTCCAGATCCATATTGTCTCATTGATCATTCCCAGATACCCCTGAGAAGCAAAGAATTGTGTTATTTTTAACCGTGAGTCACGACTTCTGGCTGCTGAGTCGCGGCTCACAGCGCCTGAGTCACGCGAGTCACCGGAAGTTGCCGTGAGTCGCAAATCGTGCTTGCCCTTTCTGTAAGGAAGTGTGTTGCCTCAGGTAAATATTCATTGAAACATTTAAAGAGAGTGTGTGTGACTTACTGATGCGAGACTGCAAACACTGAGGCTCCTCTTGAGACGGCGCCGCCATCTTGGCCAAATACTAAACAAGCGTAAGAGCGCGAGATTTTCACTTTTGGTTGTGAGATTTCATACAAACATCATCATAATAAAAACATCTGCTTTTTAATGTGACACTATTTTACTGACCATTATTTTAGATATATATAGTTTAACAGACATTCCACACAAAACGTACATTTCCCAAAACATCCATGCTATTTACCAGGAGTGATAGTTCTCAATTTAGCGCCATCTTCCGTTCAATTACTGAACTGCAACGTGACTTTGAGGATAGGCAGCAGCAGGGCTGTGGTTCTTGAGGCTGTAGGGGTACAGCAAGGCGTGATGACCAGCAGAAGCTCAGACGCAGCGACATTAGCCTGTCATAGCACAGACATACGTTCGGGGCATAGTCAATCCCAAACTAACGCGTTTAAGTTTTGATAAGTGTTGGGACTGGAGTGCTTTCAGTGGCTGACAATCCTCTTGTTCTTTCTCTAAAGAAGGAGGTGGATGGAATCACCGTATCCATAATCTCCAGCAAAACTGGACCCAACGGGATTAAGCTCCGGTCGATGCTGAAGAAAGAGCTGCAAACTTCCCTGTGGTGAAAGGACGTGGTCAGAAGCTGCAGAGTTCCCTCCTGAAGTTTGTTCAGTCTCATTATCGTGAGCTCATATCGGCCATGTTAACCCTGTGTGAATGGACAAAGGTCTGTGCCGTTTACAGCGATAACAGCAGGTATAACTTCGTACAGTGATGTTTGAAGACGTGGCTAACAGCTAACATGCTAGTTTACACAAGCTAGTTGTACGTGACTCAGTCTATGTTAATGTATCTCAGCGGGTGTTGTCTGCGCCTGATCATAGACTGATGCTGAGGACTCGGGTTTGACTGGAGGAAAGCGGTTTTTTCCGTCTCACTGGGACTAAACCATTGGGACTACAGACTGAGACCTGGATACTATGGTTTTCTGATGAAAATGGGTTCTCTGAAAGCTCTCCAAGAGTGGTGTCGGATACAGTGTGAAGATTACCAAGATGTTGACATTAAGGACATGTCTTCGTCCTTTCGGGACGGCATGGCTTTCTGTGCCCTTATCCACAAATTCAGACCCGAACTGATGTAAGTAACTCTCTCTGACACAGCTCCTTGACACACAGACTGTCTGTTATCTGCATACTAACTTATTAGTTATTAACAAGATGACAAACACAGACACAGTGCTTCGTCTTGTTTTTGTGTGCACAGTGCACACCACAACAGTAGTTTTCTATTATATGTTTTAATTTCTGTTTAATATTGTTTAAAGTAAGAAATTAGGCATCATTGGCTGTATCAAAATAATGTCTTTCTGTAATCAGGCTATATAATGTTACAATTACACTGTTGAACATTTGTTCAAGTTAACTACGACTATGTAGTTGAAAGTCAAATGTGCTGTTACTAACTCAGACTGACATGTCATGCCCTGTCTATAACAACAACACACCCTCCACTGTAATCAGACAGTGACAACCACAACTACACAACCATACAACGACAACAGGAGTATAATCATGTATGATCAGGACACTTTAGCATTCTACAACATGTATGGACATTTTCTTCTGTGTGTGTTTTATACTGTATTCTTCATGTGTTTTAACTGTTGATTCTCTGACCTGTGTTGGTGATTTCAATGGTTTTGTTAAGTCCTCTGAGATGACTTCTGTTGTGACCTAGGGCTATACAAGAATAAATTGTATTGTATTGTATTGTATTGTATGGGGGAAGTCTACGTCTGCAGATTTTATGTAAATCAATCAATCAAATGTACATAGTTCAGGGTAACAAAATGAAACAGGATCCAACATCAATAAATACAGTTTGAAAACTGGAATAAAAAACTTCTGCAACTCAAAAATGATTGAAAGAACTGGAAGTAGCACCAGTGAAGTGTAAAGTTGTACAGAACAAGTTTGTGCCTAGCAAAAATCATGTTTTTCTCACATTAGACACGGGTGTCCCCAACGCTTCACCTCTGTCACAAGACCTCGTAATGAACAACAAGCAGCCTGATTAGTTCAATTTGTGTTTCATGTCTCTTTTGAAATCTTATGACAGTTCATGCTCAGTGAACATGCAACCAGCAATCGGACAAACTATGATGATCCAAGCCGACGGCGTGTCAATGTAATCTGTGTCTGGGACCTCGGCCTGTCAAATAGCTTTAGCTCTAATGCTTGTGTGAGGCCACTGACTGTACTTTAATAGCTCTCAAGCCAATGTATTTTCATCACAGTACATTAAGCCATTGATGTCTTTCTAAGCTGCTCTTTCTAGTGTTTTACAGTGGTTTAGTTATGTGGAGTACATAATACATTGCCAGGAATTTTAAACCAGAATTTATTTGAAATCTTGATAGTTTTGTAATAGATTATTATGATGTAATTCTTAACATGGCTGTCCAATTTAACAACGTAAGTTTATTTCTCCATTTCCTGCAAAATCTTTAAATCCTTATTCTACACAAGCACTTTTCCAGAGACCAGGGTGAGTTTGAATGTCACTGTAAGCTAATAAGACCAGAAAAGCTCCTTTGGTTTCTTGGGACAATAAATCTGTTAATATTATAGAAACCTTATCTATCTAACCTTTTATTTAGAGTTTAGTTTATTAAGGACAATGTGCATTTAAAAAATATGTCTGCATCAGATTTACCACTATGCTACTTTGCTACTTTCCATATTTTCAACATATCTGCATTAGGGCAATACAAATCTTGCACAATAACATGGAAAATTGTTTGTTTCAGCTCCTTGATCTGCGGTTCCTGTTTGGTTGTGATCATATGGATTAAAAATAGCCTTAGCTCATGTGCGTTCAGTTTTAGCTGTCCCCATTCCCAAAATAACTGCAGACCTCGACTTTCTTTCATATGTCAGGTAGAACAGGCTGTTCTACCTGATTTCACTTTGGGTCGTCAAAAGTTCAAATATTTTCATACAATTATCTTCGTTCAGAATCTAACACAGTGGAGCAGACTTTCTTTTGACATGGCCCTGATATCAAAGCTGCTGGTATGTGTGTTTGCGGAGCATGAGGACGGGATTAGAGAAACAGAGGCCACTTTGTGTTCTACAACACCGGACTCATTCAGTTGTTTTTTCCTCCTTGAGAGCTCCGCATGGTCGCCGCAGACTCCCACAGATGGGACGAGGCTGATTTGATTTCCCGTTGAAATGTGATAGAGCTGCACGATATAGTGAGAAAATATTGTTATCGCAAATAATCGATCATTGCACATCCTTGATCACGCAAGGATGTGCAATAATTTTATGTCTAAATTATGAGTTTTTAATTCATTTTATTTTTGTATAGCCTTTATTTACAACAGCAGTCATCTCGGAGGACTTTACAAAGTTGTCAATTTGTCAACTACAGATTAAAGAATCAAACAATCTGAACACAGGAAATGCAAAAATAACAAACAAAAGGAGCCATTGGTCAAGTTTTTAAACTTTGCCTTTTGCTACAGTGAGTTGAAAGGACAAGAGAAGACATGAGCAAACGCAGCAGTTGCTAAATTCCACTGAATCCTTTGGGGATGGAAAATATTGCTATACATTATGAGATTGCATAGATCACACGTTTTTGTTTTATCGTGCAGCCCTAGTGGATGACTTAACAACCTAACAAGAAGCATTGTGTGTGGGTACATGGTGATAGTGGACAGGTGCTCATTGGGAAGGGGCTTGATTTAGATAAAAAATAAATATAAATATGTGCTTGTCTAGGAAGTAAAAGTTGTGAACAGTCCAAAGTCAATTGAAAACATAGTGATGTGGTTTGGCCATTACTGTCTTAATCACTGCAGTTCCAATGTTAAAGGTAAATGAATCGACCAATTGACACCAGAAGATATACTACAGTAAAGTTCAATATTGGCAGAAATAACTAGTTTACATTTTGAATATGGCTACATTATTTTCTTGTGCTATTGTTCTTTGGCATGAAACCAAAATCTAGCTGGTGGGTCAGATATAACTTTCATAATTCCCTCTTTTTAGTCGACTAACCAGACATTTCTTTGGTCAACATCAACCCTGAGCTTCAGACGCACTCGGTGCCCTTTCTAAAACGGCTGATTTAACTTTGTCATAACAGTTTGACACTTCTGACAAAAAACTTCTGCACTCAGAGCTTCTGTGGTCCAAACACAGACTCCACACTTTTACAGCAGGATGTTTACTGCGGGAGCTAAAGCCAGGTTCCTCGCTGTGGGCCGTTCATCAGAGACTTGTAATTATGAGTCTATCACTACTATTTGCACCAGCAGCTTCTTTGTATTGTTCAGCCAGTATTTATGTGTGGCCTGTGATTACACACGTCACCCTCACCATTACGTTATCTGCTGTAACACCGAAAGGCCACGGGTGATGTGGATTTAGGTCAGACATTGGAAACAGCTGAGGTTGTTCTTAAAGTCTATTTTTGTTCTTTTACAGAGACTTTTCATCTTTATCCAAAGACAATGTCTACGAGAACAATCGACTGGTGAGTAGTCAACTATGATTTAGATCTTCATGAATGTGCTATTGCAGAACTCTGCAAAAATGCCATACAATTACAAGGATTCCTTGTGTGAGGCAGCTGAAAAATGGAAACATTGGGAGTGTCTCTTGTTTTAGCATGATCTAAGTTTATGACCAGTGACTTGGATCTGTGTAATAAAATGTATTCCAGCTGCCAGATCGAATACAAAAGTTCCACTTAATATTCATTTAAAAAACTATTTCATACTTAAACTTCTACTAGGTTAATTGTAATGGTTTCATGATTATACAAATATATGATATACAAAAGGTATACATAAGCTTAACATCTGAGGCAACTGTGACTAAGTAAATGTCAAAATTGTGGACACAGTGAAGTGCTTGTACATGGGAAATATTTAGTCTTTTCAGCATAACTGTGTGGAACTGAGTTGGTTTGCTTTTCTGCGCAGCACGTAGCTGTGAAATCAGTCTGTGTAATCACTTCAAACTGCAGCAGAGGAAACATTTACCTTCAAATCCTGCAGCACTTCTGTAAAATCATGATTTATGTGGGAAAGTGAACTGGTGAATTCCTCTTTGTACCCAGTGTTGTTATGTAACCTCAGGTGCTCCTGCATCGCTGGAATGTTACATTAGACTAATGACTCTTCAAGGACAAACTGTATTAAGGAAGGCCGTCCTTCAGGTTTTGAAAGCACTGCATTTTCTTTGTGCTTTTAAGTGAGAGGAAATTAATGGTTTTTTGGGATGATTCTTATTTTCTGTAGCCAAATATAAGTACTGTCATTTACTCATGTGATTACTTAAATAACCTGCCATTTGTGTTTACTTCAGGCCTTTGAAGTGGCAGAGACACAGTTGGGAATCCCAGCGCTGTTGGACCCAGAGGACATGGTGTCTATGAGGGTCCCGGACCGCCTCAGTGTCATCACCTATGTCTCTCAGTATTATAACTTCTTCAACAATAAATCCCAAGGTGCAAAAACGATTCAATCAATATGCAAAACATCTGATAGTTCTGCAAAGTAATTCAATTAAATTCACTATTGAAATTATTAAATATTTGAGTCCTGTGCAGAAGTCTCATATAAAACCACCTAATTGTCTAGTTTGGATCTGTCTAATTTTTTGTATTAGTTTAGCAGTTCTGGGTCTTTTCACTTAAGATAAACAAGAATTAAGTTAATGTAAATCTCCATTTGTCTTTACCTAATAGCAAACCCTCCCTGCATCAAGAGACCAAGCCCTATTGGTCCCATCGGTGAAGTTGCTCAGAAAAAACCTGCATTGCCTTTAGACGACAAAACGATTGAATCTGAGGTTAGTGCCTTCACGCATAACATGACATTACACTGTATATTTTCCTGCTTTCTTACTGGTGTAAAACTGACCTACTTTCACATTTGCACGATACTTTGTTGCAGCTGCATGTCCACAAGCTGCACATTCCCTAGAGAATCTATTGTAATCTTGTCTGGATTGAAGCATGTTTGTCAGGATAATCTATCCCGCTGCATGGGCTATTGTGGGGGTATTAAGTCACTAAGCACTGTACAATACAAATCATATCCTGTCATTTGGCTAAAACAATAACTGCACTTGTGGCTCCTAATGCCTACTTCCTTGTTTGGGCTTTGTGTTGCACAGTGGGGGGAGAGCAGAGCACTAGAGGTAGAGTCTATAAAGATAGCCTCTGTATCCTGTCTCTCTTCTCTATCCTCCATCGTCACCCATATTCGGGCTTGTCCCTTTCTTCCGGACTCTCCCATTTCTCTCAGATGGAAAACTGTCCCGCTCCATCCTCTCCCCTCTCTCATCTCACCCACCCACCTCTCTCTAGTCCTGGGCCTAGGCAGTAGGAGGGGGTGGGGTGTTGAGGACTTGAAGCCATTGAGTTAGTATTAGTAGTTTGGTAGAATAACTAACCTAACAAGATAACTTTTCTAATATTGCGTGACAAATTTTACCTATTGCTCCTTCTAACATTCTTTTTACAATTTAAAAATAACTCAACAATGTGTAACATAAATCGACCAGAATTGAACAATTTTACTTGAAAAAAGAAACATTTGCTGTGAAAAACTAATCATTCCTTTAAATCTGACTGGACTTGGTTAGCCGGAGAGTAGCTAGCTAACAGACTGATCCATATCCTCAAATCCTGACTCCATGTCTGATCTCCCCGTCCCACATTGCTTCCCATTTCCCCTCTTTCCTGTCGCCCCTCTTCCCCGGGACGTCCTGTGAGCAGACGGGAGCAGAGGCCAAAGGCAGAACCCTGAGTAGTACCTGCTCAGTCTGCCTCAAACATGTCCACCTGGTGCAGAGGTTCCTCGTGGACGGAAAGCTCTTCCACCGCAACTGTTTCAGGTGAGATGATGCTGCTACACTCTGCGCTACCAACTAACTTTTCTATTAAACAAAGAAACAACATGCAAGTGTATTTTAGTTTTAAATTGAGTCGTTTTTTACCTTCTTACCTTTTGTGAAGTTTAGTTTATTTAAAATTTTGACCTGACCTCACATGTGATGCACCTGTGCAATCATTTGAAATAAAGTTACAATAGATAGATAGATGCTTTATTGATCCCCGTAGGAGAAATTCAGGTGTTCAGTAGCAGCAAAAGTAGAAATTGATAATTCTAAAAAGTTAGTAATAATCAATAATAGTAATAATCAGCAACAGCCCTTCAGGTCACAGCAGCAGAGATGGTGTAGCCTCTGGGTGGAGCAGGACAGGTCAAAAGGTGGAGTAGCCGCTTGGTTCGGACCATTTTCTCTGCTCTAGTCCAAAGTAAAATGCTAAAAGCTTCATATGCATTTTTCAAAAAGTTTGCATTCCCCCAGTGGATTTTTGGCTGATCGGCTTGATTCGGACCATGAATCCTCTCTGCTCTAGTCTGGACCAGTGCAAAACTTTGCACACTGTACTGCAGCAACATCTCAGGTTGAAAAAAGCAAGAAAAATAAGAATTGTACAGCACAAAACAACAACTGTTTCAGATGTGCAATATGGGACCGTATGTATCCACTGTCCCTTTGTCATTCTTAGCTCCGAACCTCATGATGCTCACACGTACCGTAGTTTCATCACTGTGAACATTTGAACTCACAGCTAATGACTCACTTCCTCAATATTCTTGCACTATGTATTACAGACTTATCTACAGATGATACAATATAATATATATTTCTTGCACTAGAGTATACAATATTTTATACTTTGGGCCTTTTTTAAGATAACAATTTTAGTTTCTTTTTAAAGTATAGAGTTGTGTTATGCTTAATATTCACATATATTGTGTTGTGTGTGCCTCATTTTGTTCTGTAACTTGTGATGCAACACTGAAAATTGCCCCCCCCGTGGGACAAACTAAGAATATTAATTCTGTGCGACACGGGTGATAGTGTCCAAACATCTGGGCATTAAACTTGCTTGGACCCAGAGATTTTGCCAAGGTAATCTCCGGCCAAATATAGCAGTAATTTGGATTGCAATAAAATGGATCAGGAGGGTCAATCTTTTGCATAATGACGATGTAATTAGCTTTGTAACCAGAATGAAGCTCTTACCATCAAATGTTGAGCTTTTGCACATACTGCTCTTTCTTTTCTAAAGTTGTCCTTTTAACATATGTTTTGAAATCGTTTATGTTGCTCCATGTGGAAGATAATTCCATCGGGTCCTCTGTGTTCTGCAACTCCAGAATACTTTTTTTATTAGTTGTTTTGACATGTTTGTTATTTGACAAGTAGCTCCAAACAACACGCCAAGCTTTCCCACTGTTCTCCCGGATCAACGCTTGGCTGCAGTGGGGAAAAGCTTGTATATTTCCCAAGATGTTCTTAGAGTTAGAGAAGGCCATAACAATTGGTTTACAGTTGTCGATCAGAAAAAAAAAATAGAATAAAAAAATGTACTGGTATGTCAGTATTTATAAGTGATGCTTGTGGTGTGGGTGTTAAAATACTGTTGTTTTTTTTTACTTTAGTAACGATGAAACCCTAATGACAGTTGCATGTATATGTTGTTCTCTCAGGTGCACTGAATGCCACAGCACATTACTTCCTGGATCTTACAAACTCGTGAACAACTCTGGCTCCTTGGTCTGCTCTCATCACATTGCACGGCATGGTTTGGCCAATCAAAACGGACGACCAGATCTCAGCAAGAAACCGGAGCTGAGCAAAAAGCCTGTTATAGTGGAGTCTGCCAGGATCTGCCCCAGTCCTGTCTCTGACTCTTCATCACATAAAACAGAGGAGGACTTAAGCAACGATGAAAAGACGACCAATGACACTGCTATTATCACTCCAGTTTTAACGATTCAAGAAGACTCTGTAGAAGACGAACGTTTAAAAGACAATGAGGAAAACGCCCAAGCTTCCACTCCTCCGAATCCATTTGATGAGAGCGATGAAGAAGAAGAGGAGGAGGAGGGAAAAGAAGAGCAGAGTGAAGCCCCAACAGGAGTCTTGTTGAATGGAGACATGCCCTCTGCTCCCGTCAGTCAGTCAGAGTGTGTGAGCCGCCCTGTCCCCGCTCCCAGGAGGGTATCTGATGCCACTCCACCCCCACAACCTGCCCCCAGAGCCCGGGTTCCCCCAACGGCCAGTCCTGCAAATACCAGTATGTATATAATTACATTTGCTTTACCTTTGTGTGTGCGCTGATTGAAGGCTTTTCATCATATGTTAATTTATGGGCCAGAATTTTTTGTAAATGATAAGAGAAACCGTCAAAAGGTAGAGCCCTTAAACTTGATAAGAGATAGAGGCTTGCTACAATCAATAACGGAAATAAATAAAATAAACTTAAAGAAGAATATTAAGAGCAGGCCATTGCCGCTGTATAGCAACGCTGCTACTATCACTGAGCATTGTTCTTGTCATTATGTATTATTGATTTTGTGGAAACATGTCAATTCGGTTTCAATTCAATTTAATTTCACCAAGATATTATCATTGTTTATGTCCATCTCATATGTCTTTGTCAACTTTTAAAGTATGTATGATTATTTAAAACATTTTGCAGCAGTCCCAAGCATATTCCCGTCTTCTCACGTTTTCCATATGACTTATTTATTTAAATAACCGTACAAAAAACGTACAAAAGCGGGTGACTGTCCTAAAACATGATTTACCGTTGGAGCAAGAATCAGATATCTTGTTGGGACACTTTAATTGTGGTCAATCTAAGCTTGACTTGTTTTACAGATGTCTCTCAGAAGCCTCTTCTTCCACCAAAACCCAGAGAAAGATCACGGTCTCCTGGAAGGTAACAATTACGTTTTGTTTGTTTCTTTTAAGTCACTGTTTGTCATCTCACGCGTTTAAAATCGTGTCTGCATTGGCTCTGTATCGGTCGCCAGGTTTTTTTCTATTTGACTGTCATTTTTTCTTGACACACTGCTGCCGTTTGGTTCACAATGCCCAAACAGGCTGCGTGCCCAGACTAACTTCTGTCGACAGGGAGTATTCTGGCTTGTCAGGCTATTGCTCTAGTAGTAAAAAGGAATTTCTTCTCTGAGCCTTGCCCGCGGCTACTCCTCCACTTTCCCATTGCTGCGCCGTGTGAGTTAAAATCCAGATCCCCAACATGAATCATTGTCCTGCTCAGAGGTAGACACGACCTCTGCATGATGACAGAGCTCAGCAATGTGCCATCTGGCAGCACAGGTTTAGGTAGGACTCTTTGTGTGGCCCAGATACAGTACTGAAGCAGCTGCTAAAATCCCATGACACAGTTTAAATGAAAAACTTGAGTTGTGTCTGGTTTGTAGTGTAGTTGTAGAATAATGCTACAACTGCAGAGGATTTTGGTACCTTTAGTCTTTCCTGCACCACACTTTAACACTGAGCAGAGTTCTAGTTCTAATCTAATGTTGGTCTTGTGCTTTCTCTGGTAACATCTCACCTCAATTTTTCCCCATTGTTACTGTACAAGTCACATTCTAGTCTACTGAAAGTGCAGATTTTAACAAACAAGTAAAAACTATTGATCCACGCCATAAAGACTAAATTATAGCATCATCTAGTTAACTAGTATTGATTTAGTTACTTGGAAGATCTAAAAAACAAAAAATCATTATGAGCCACTTTACCTCACTATATAAAACTTAGGTCAAAAGTAAATTGCTGTCTTGCACTGTATTTGAACCTGTTCACCATTCCATGTGTATCTTCATGGTGCTGTCGTCCCGATCTGTGTCCGTGTGTCTGTAGTCTGTCTGGTGGTTCCCAAAAACCCAAAGACCCCCCCTGGCTTGCTCTGGTCCAATCACAAGAGTCCAAGAAGAAGAAAGCCCCTCCCCCTCCTGTCCCTGGACTGGCCACGCCTCCAACCTCGGCCTCTGTGTCTCTCAAAGGGGACGACTCCAGGAGCAGCACCCCGCCCGTCCCTGCCAACCCGTTTGACGATGACGACAATGAAGACGCGGAGAACGAGGAGGAGGCCGTCGAGGAGGAGGCCGTTGATGAAGAGGCGCCGTCCGCATTGCCAGCGTCTCACCCCTGGTACAGCATTAGAAAAGCAGCCGACTCGCCTGCTGCGGACCCCTCTCCCTCCAGAGAGCGGTCGCCTCGCTCCGAAAGCCCGGCCGCCGAAAAGAGCAAGAAACGACCCGCCCCCCGAGTTCCACCTCCACCCTCCGTCAGCCAAGGTTTGTTCTCAACTCGAGTCAATTAATATTTGTTTTATTTATTTAGAGATTTGATTCAAATCTCAAAATTAGATTTGAATCTCATTTTGAAAATGAGATTCAAATGTAATGAATACTCGAATATTATTATGACTGAAGAAAGGGGAAATTACGGTAGCTTGCTGTCAATGAGAAGTACACTGGAACGCTCTAGTTTTTATTATTTGAGTATTTTTATTGCCAGATCTAAAGGTGTGAGAGAAGGGGTCGACAATAATCTGCACCAATATTGGTGCCAGTATTTCTTAGTTTTTTTTGTCTCATCCAGCCTACTGGGTAAAACGACAATGATAGCTGATATTTACTCATGCTGTATGATTATTTGTGCATGCCCTTCTTTTCAGTTTTTGAAGAAAAAAAACCAAACAGAACCATGTATCATTTGGTTTTTACTTCACAGTCTATTACTTTTGTGTGAACTTTCTGTAAAAAAATCAAGTGATAATCTTTATTCATTGTTCTAAACATGACAAAATGTTCAAAAAGAGGCACTGTTTATCGGTTATCGGTCTTGTTTACTTCTTGCTGTCTGTATCAGGTTTGAAAAAAAACATATCAGGCCTCAACCTCTATTTCGAAATGTTGAAAAATGCTGCATTTTGTCGGATTAAGTGAAAGTAAATTTTATACCCATAAATGTCTAACTTTATTTTGAAACTTTATCATCACCCCAACCTTCTACAAAGTCAGACGTTTCTTAACCATTCTGAATTATAATCCTACCTGTGTGTTCTTGTATTTCCGCAGCGCTGTCTCCCTCGCAGCCCTCCTCCTGCTCCGCGTCTCCAGCCCTGAGCACCGAGAGCCTTTCCTCGGGGTCGGAGCAGCGGTCGGCCGGTGGTGCCAGCAGTGACCTCGAACACCCCATCACCAAAAGCACCTCGGAGCCTTCCATCGCATCTCCAGACGGCTCCTCGGTGGCCCCTTCCAACGACCTCCAGGCCCCGCTCAGCCCCAGTGCGCTCCATGTGCCTTCATACGCCAGTTCAGCACCAGCCACGCCGCAAACGAGCCGCAGTTCAAATGGCACCGCGGCTCCGAGTCCACTGGCCTCAAACAACAAGGTAAGTCGCCTTAATAAATATACTAACATTTCAATAAGGTGAGTTTAGAATGGGCTAGAAGCAGCACGTCTGTATGGTCAATAAATATTTAAGATTACGGTTGACAAAAAATGCTCTTATTCGTTTTTTCTATTATTTTGCTTTAAAGACTTTGTTATGATAATCCTCAATTGTGTGTCTCCACTAGTGCAGAACCTCTGTTCTTTACTTGTAGTACTTTTGTAAAAAAAAATAGATAAATAAAATAAAACTCTGATTTGACAGCATCAGGGCACTAATGATAAAGAGAATCACTGCTGTTGCTGGTGGTGTCAGTACAGTGATTTGAAAGGAAGTATTATTGTGCACAATAGTCCCTGGCTCTACCGCAATACACCTTTCGATTTTTTTGTGTATGATTTTGCATCCTTTTTCACAACGTACTTCTCATTCACCGCGTTTATACAACATTACAGACAACATCATATAACCGCTAGTACAAAATGGCAGTTACCTTTTATTTGTGGCTTCTTTGCGTATTTCACTCATTGCAGGTTATTTTTAACGTTACCCCCTCGATTAACAAGGGACCACTGTATATAAGAAGTCAAATGGGACAATGCATCTGCAGCCTGTCCATCCATGGGGTTAACCTCTCCGTTGTGGTTCTCTTGTCCCTAATATTTCACACAGAGACCCATGGATATAATGTCTGAATTCTGATTAATATATGTTATGCACAAGAAAACTCTAGGAGAAGGTTTGACTTTAAACATTTGCACAAACAACATTAAAACAAATGTGCTTATCTGTTAAAGGTGTAAAACTGTGGAATGCTCAGGAAAATGAATCAAAACGTTGTCAAAATATCTTTCAATTTAAAAAGTTGTATACTGCAAAAATTATTGAATCATATAAACTTCTTGAGTGATTGTATGTATTGTTGAAATGCAAACATTTGCAACAAAACATATGTAAAACATTTTTATTTTTATTATTATTATTATTATTATTTGTTGGTGAAACTGGTACCATGTGATAGGCCAGGGTAGATATGATTTTGAAAAGGGGCAGAAAAACATAAGAATTGTATTCTTCTTTTCTGTTCCTTTCCTTCATGTAAATGTTTAAAATATGTATGTAACTGTTATTATGTGAATTACGTGAACAAAGCATTTTCATGAAAGGAACAAATGAATAAATACAAAAATAGATATAGTTTTTAAATGGTTGATCCATTTTTAGCGGACCTGCAAAGAAAACCCTTTCAACAGAAAGGCATCTCCATCTGAAGCAAAATCCAAAGGGAAACCACCAAAAGGCCCTCGACCCGCCAGACCTCCAGCCCCCGGCCACGGCTTTCCTCTCATCAAGCGCAAAGTAAGACATCCCTTTATCCCCAGAATGACTCAAATCACATCAGTTTTTGTCAGATTTAAGAGCTTTTTGTCCAATCATAAACCCAGGTGCAGTCAGACCAGTACATCCCAGCAGAGGACATCTATGGAGAGATGAGTCGACTGGAAAAACAACTGGACGATCTGGAGCAGAGGGGCGTAGAGCTGGAGAAGAAGCTCCGGGACAACCCCAACGGTAAAGTCGTGTATTAGAGGAGGAACACGAATAATAATAATTTTAATCAACCAAAATAGATTCATGGTTTATATGCTACATTTATCTAATGCACAACATTTCATTCATATTATTTTGGTTAAGTTCAAACTTTGTCAGTAAGTTTACTACAGGGTTACTAAAAGATAAAGGCATTGGTCCTATAGACATGTGTCTATAGGAATATTGTTATTCATCTTATGACTTTCCCATCTTGTGATAAAGAAAGTGGAAGTGATCCCACACATTTTTGCTTTCACACACAAAAAGCTCTGGTCTGCTTGAGTGGGTTGTTTACAATGAGGCTCATTTTAAGTCACAAACCTCCATTGGGTTTTGACACAACGATTGCTAGCAGTTTTTTAACAGCTTTGACTAAAAGCTGACAGTGGGGTCATCCGCAACCTGCCCCAATGCAGAAAAGTCCCTTTAGTTGTGGTGTTGTTGTTGCTTGCCGTTCTGAAAAGCACCTGCAAACTACTAAACTATAATAAACATTATAAATATTGTCTTATTGTGGGAATTATTTATCACTCTACCAATCTTGTCTGTGACACTGTCTGTGAACCTGTGTGTATGCTATTTTTAACTATAACCATACCTATTTTCAATTTTCAAAATTAATTACTAACCAAAACATGAATCCTATTTTTTGTCACTTATTCAGACGAGGACGAGGAGCACTTGTTGATGGATTGGTTCACTCTGATCCACGATAAACACCTCTTAGTTCGTAGGGAAGCTGAACTCGTTTACACGTAAGCTCATCATCGCACTACCTTTTTTATAATTGTCTAATACAATACCAGTTTATCATTTTACAACATTGTGTGATTAAAGGGCCAAGCAGCAAAATCTAGAGGAGAGACAAGCTGATGTAGAGTATGAGCTGAGGTGTCTGCTCAATAAACCAGGTATGAATAACATTTTGTATACGTTTCCTTCATGTTTAGGATTTACTTTTTCTAATGGTCAGCTTCACGTGTCACTTCTTTGAACAGAAAAAGACTGGACGGAGGAGGACAAGAGCCGGGACCAGGAGCTCATGGCCGAGCTCGTCACCATCATCGAACAGCGAAACCAAATCGTGAACACTATGGATCAGGACCGACAGAGGTACTTTTCAGGAAACGTAAGCCCCGTTTCCACCAGCCCCACTCTAAATGTATTGATAACCATGGCTTTTTAGTAAAAAAGAACCTGGTGTCGGTTAAATAGAGTTGGTGGAAACAGTCTCAATTGGGGTACAGTAGAGTAGAGCCATGTAGGGCTGGTGTGAAAACTGGGCTATAAAATGCGTCTTTTGCAATATATATTTTGAAACTATAACTTATTTCAAAGGGAAATGTACTAAAGCGGGAAATGTTGAACCAAAAATAAGTATTAATTGAAATTGATAAATGGATTCACTATTCACCGCTGAAAAGACTGAAAAGTTTAAATGATTTCTCGTTACATTAAGAGCTATAGCTGTCTAAATGTTGTCAAACGTCTTCACAATATACTTTCTTGAGGGGAAAACCGAATTGGGCAATTGCTCAGAAAAAAACGGTGCCCCAGCTTTAAAGCTGCTTCAAAATATAAGCAATATTACTCAATCCTAAAATGTATGATAAGATCCTAAATCTTGACATCATTATTTGTCATAATCTAGTCTAAAAGTCTAAATAAATAAATGAACTATTTTGTTTTTATTGTTTTCATATGGTAAACTCATATCTGTTTCAGGGAAGAGGAGGAGGATAAAGTTATGGAAGCCATGTTGAAGAAAAAAGGTAAGAATTGTGTTATACTAATTAAAGTAAGTAATGGACTCAAATTTAGTCCTGTTCTTTTTGCTATTAGACTTTTCAAAGGAAGCAGACTGTGAGCAGCAGAAGAAAAAAGGTGCAAAGTTCAAGCCGTCTAAAGTTTTCAAAAGACTGAGCCACAAAGGAGAGCAAAGCAAGAGCCCGAGTCCACGAAAGGAGAAGAGCTGAAACAAGCAAAACAATCCTGTACGAACGAGGAACGACCTAACGATTACATCTTTGACTAATGTCCCTCAGTTTCAAATGACATAATTTTATGCAATGCTCCAAAAACATGTCCCGCCGGGTTTCTTTAAGTCCTAAAATCTTGTGTCTGGGTGTAACTTCTGAATAACTGACTACACACTTCAATCATTATGACCTAAAAACCATTTGGATTGTGAAGTAAGGTTTTATTATTTAAGGCAACTTTGACGGTTATGTTTGAAATATAGCTCTGGACCCAAAACTTGTTCTATAAGTGGTTATAAGTTGTGGTTGGTTTCCCTGTGGTACTTGTGTGAAGGCATTTTAAAACAGATTTCATGTAGAGACTCCTCAAGCTGCCATTATAGTCGCCATTCTTAGGCCTTATTTTAATATTTGCGGAATATCAAACAAACCGTATTTATTCATTCATCACAATATTAAACATATCTTAACATTTAATACTAAAGAGCAGATGTATATCGCAACAAAGATGCAATTGTTTATTTATATATTTGACTATGTTTTTCCATGTAATTCTGCCTTAAAAAAATCCAGACTTCAAAGTCAAATAAACTGCTTTCATGGATTTAGCATTTTTTTGTCCCTAAATGTGTATTCCCAAACTCGAGTCTCTTTCTTTGCCAGTGTCAAACAAATGGTAATAACGGATGTAATAAATTTGCAAAGCTTTGTTCCTATGTTTGTCTAATGATTATGTAGATTATGTTGATTTTTCATAAATGTGCACAGCAAAATGCGTTCAAAGGTTCAGAACCAATTATTGTACATTAATGCAAGATGGACCCAAGGCTCTGACTGGGTATAACATGTGTATAACAGGTGATCACCATTAAAACAACCAAATATAATCAACATTTGGACTTCACAAAAGGCAACAAGAAAATAAAAAATATTCAAAAGTTCATGATTTAACATCACATAAAAAGTACAAAGTGAAATGCATACCACTAAAGGCCTATTCTTTCTGTCCTTCACATTCCTCTGCAGCGTTCCTGGATGGGTCACTTCTGTCCAACAGCTTCAGTTCTCTGATTCTCTACAACAGCAAAAGCACATCACTAATGCTGAACACTGAGGGTGAACGGGATGCTGTGCTTTACCTGCGATATTTCAGTGTTGATAACGTTTACATAGTGCTTCTCTTGTCCCATTGACGCCATGTCCTCCAGAAACTGACGTCTTTCTTCAATCTCCTCCACAACTGTAAGAAAAACGTTAACTCAAGGCTACCGCTTTAAGAACTATAGTATTTTGGATTTAATTTCATCTTTTATACTGCACTTATGGATTTCATTTTACTGTTGAGATAGACATACAAATGCATTTTAGGGTTGTTGGTCTGATGGAATCAAACTCCCCTGCACTAGAACATATTTACTGGACACAACAAGAATTTTGCGAACATAGCATTCAAAGAAACAAAAAACATCTAAAATGGCTTATCTTGATTTTAGTGTAATTTGAGTGAATATTTGCCCCAAAAAAATCCTCAGTGGGAAATTGCTTCTCTTTGCTTGTTCCAAACTCTATTGTCCTACAGTATGTAATATTTTCTTGGTAAACTATTGTACAACCATATTTTGTCAAATGTTTTTTTTGTCTTTTTTTTAATGCAATGTGCTTTGTCAAGTTAACACTCACAAGTTGTTATGACTTTTGACACTCATAAAACATTGTAAATCGCAATCACATTGTTAGTCAGAATATTGCAATCATATAGTTTGGCGATATCCTGCAGCCCGAGGTAGAACTCTTGCACCTACGTTCATCAACGCGGTCCTTTTCCTCTGGGGCTTCTGAGTCTGGAGGACTTTCTTTTATTGTTGCACTTGGTTCATCTTTTCCCATCGCCAGGATCTTTTGGAGGTGGCGTTTTTCCTTCTCAAGATCTCCTAGAAAAATACAAGGTTTTAAACGCAAGTGTGTGCTTGTTACAACAAAAGTGTTATTTCTAAACTCACGAGTTGGACCGGGCTTAAACCGGTCCCTGACGTAGCTGCCACCTGCTTGGCACTGGTCAGCACTGCGTTTCTGTGGTTTGCCTTTAGGTCCGCGTGAAGTACAAGGCTTTGGTTTTGACTGAGGAGGAGGAGGAGGAGGTGGATTTCGGGCACAGACCAAATGTAAAGGTGTTCCATCTGTCAACATGAACAGAATTAGACTTTCCGACAACATTAGAAGAATATTAAACATAACCATAGACTAAAATTTACAGTCTAAAGTTATGTTTAATATTTAATATTATAACAAAGTTTATAGTGACTTTCTGGAGGTCCTTTCATTCAGTTATTTCCACATTTATCCAGTCAAAACAGTTCATACTCATTGGGACTGGACTTTCCACCTTATTTGCTTTAACTCTTAAATGTTTCAAAAGCCTGTGGGGATAATCTGAGCGACGTCTTTCGGCCATGCTCAAATGCTATTTTTTAATAAATAAACAAAAAACAAGCGTTCATTTTTTAATTTTTTTATGTGGCTTTTAAGGACTTTCCTATGAAAGAAAATTACTGCGACTCGTGCTTGACAGAGACATTTTGGAAATAAATGTGGGTCTTTAGTTTAAGTAAGTAAGTAAGTTTTATTTATATATCGCCTTTCACAGACAGAGTCACAAAGCGGTTTACAATTGTTATTTTTTGGGCATTTGTCGCCGAACAGGAGGCGCATGCCAGAACTATTGTACATATTTTTAGTGGTAGGGGAAACCAGAGTACCCGGAGGAAACCTACGCAGACACGGGGAGAACATGCAAACTCCACTCAGAAAGGCAGATGTCATTAGACAGAGTTCAATTTACAAGGAGAATACTGTAAACAATTATAATTATAATAATAATATATTTTATTTATTGCACCTTACATTTCCAGGAAACCTCAAAGTACTTTGTCAACCTTACCTATGTACTCTTAATATACTAAACTCATTAAGTACAAAAAAATTAAATTAAAAACCAATAAAAAGCTAACTATATTTAAAGAAATAAAACCAAGCTGTATGTTTAGCATAGACATGTGGTTATGATGGTGGCTACTCACTTATGAAGCAGTCTCGGAGCTGTCTTTTTTGAACATTGGTGAGACGGGTATCCAGCATTAATTCTGTAGAGGAAAAGATTGAAAACGAAGTGCATAACTTTCTCTATAACTCAACAGTATATGAACAGATCTCACGTTTGAGCAGCTGCTGCGTCTGCTGCGTGACGGGCCGCGCGCACTTCCACTGTCCTCCCGACGCTTTGTCCATCTGCAAAACGAACACCGACGTAAAAACACTTCACATCAAGTCAGTCACGTACAAAGACTCGCTGCTGTAATATTTGGATAATATTTGGAGTTTTGGATAATACCTTTAATACCTTTACACGAGAAAATTATACTGCTTCGTCTTTGGTGCGCTTCCTGTTGCGGTCACCATGACAACCGACCATCAACAAACTCTAGATGTCACAATAAAAATACATTTTGTTGCTTAAAAATATTGTTAAAGTGTTTAAAAGTCACAATCAAGTCAAATCTACCTCATTCTTTTTTATTTTTAATATTGTGTATGTCAGGGATGAAGCTGATTCCTATCATGTATGCATGATTTTTGCCTGAACCAAATCTTGTAAAGTAAACGGCGACAGTAGCTCAGTTGGTAGAGCATTGGCCTTAAGGCTAGAAGGTCGTGGGTTCAATTCCCACCTCTGCACCTTCTCCATCGACTCCCACTGATGACTGCTGTCGTTGTGTCCTTGGGCAAGACACTTAACCCCACTTTGCCCAAAGCCCCCACTGAAAGATCAAGGCTATGCTCACACTCAGAGAGCAGCAGTCCTCCTGTGGACTCACCACCTGCAGAGGGTCAGTGAGGGGCTGGTGCTATGAGACTTGGGTGGCATCTCTGACTGCCACCCCCCTGACCCAGAAATGGATTAAAGGGTAGAAAATGGATGGATGGAAATCTTGTAAAGTAAACGTATGAACAACCCAGACCTCAACATGCGGTCTCTATCATCTTTTACATACTTGTGATTGGCTAAAGGTCGCTGTCTGAAAAGTTTTATCTGAAGATGTGACCAATCTAGTGTAAAAAAGGAGCAGTCCAGACTTTAGTATAAGCACATTCTCTTAAAAACATTAAAAACAGACACAATTTGTTTCCTAATTCATCCATATTTCCTACATATTTAGTTTTTTATGATAAAGTTGGAGTACCTAACTTTCAAGATCACAATAAATCTTATTTTGTAATAAAATTAATTTAACTATAGTTAGTCGTTCTTAAAACAGTTTAGTCCTATAACTATAGTTTTTACATGCACGTAATTAGACCATAGTCATAGACTGAAAAGTGAAAATGAGGGACACATCCTCATTCAGCCAATTAGCTCTCAATCCAAAGAATGAAATACACAAGGCTCGTATACTTGTTGTTTCAGAATAAGATAAAGCTTATAAACGCCTATTGTGGTCTGATTTCTTTACAAGAAACTATTTCAACAGTCTATGATTCGAACTACCAAAATGTAGTTGTACCTAACAATAGTTAGGTACTCTTATCTTTAAGTGTTAGGTTTTTGTACCAATGGCTGCTAAATAGCAAAAAGTCTCTGTCTGCTCTCCTGACTACAAGAATATGTCAAAATCCAGTCAAAATAAGAGGAATTTCTAATGCGCATATTACAAATAGTCTGGCCTTTATTAAAATACAAACTTTCATCTCTGCCTAAAGACAATGCTATCTAACTAAAGATCTCCCAAATGTCGGCTCACGTTGGTGTCGTTTCTGTGAATTGCTGTCCTGTTGTTGTAGGGACTCTGGAGATGTCGTCACTCTGAGGTTTGACTGGTTATCAGCCGTGGGCACCTGACCAGAGCCAGCAGCGCTCTAAAGTTCATTATCACTGAAAAGACAGCAGCCCGACTCTGCCCCTGCATCCAGATAAACAAATATCACTGAATAACAGGGGCTTTCTGAGAAGTCAAAACCACACGTTCCAACAAAGAAGACAGAGCATTCAAAATGGACAGTGAGGGAAATGTTAAGTAAAAAGTTGATTCAATTTATATACATCGGTTTCAAGAGGATAAAACATGTTGCCAAAGTGCTTATCAATACGAAAGACCTTCATACATTCAATTCAAAACACTTTATCTATCTCCGAGTGGGAAAATGTACACACAGCAGTATAAATTAAGACACCGCCATAGAAGCTGCAAAAATGTTAAAAACGACAACTTTATTTTATTGTAATTCGATTTCATCATACTGGATTTTTGTTGTACTTTGGACAGGTGGTAATTTCATAAAATTATGATATTTATCTTATTTTATTTAGAATCTGCACTCCCTTAGTAAAACAAAGAGTTGTCATTACATTTGAAGACACAGTTCGTCTGTCCACCAGAAAGCAGGATGTTTATGAGTTTAATCATTGGAATAAGTGCATCGAAGGACGTATAGAGAACGCTCCACCTCCTAACGGTCGACCCCTACGTGAAAAGTGAGATTTGGGGTTGAAGCTGCAGCTGACAGAGATAGACAAGACAGAGGTGAGATACCAGTGGAGCTATGGGGCTTTAGGGAGCTGTGTGCAGCCTCTGAACAGCACTGTAACTGGGGAGAGGGATTTGTGACGAGTTTTTATTTAATTTTAGAGCATATTCTAACAATTTCTAGATTTCAGAAAGTTTTCTTTTTTAGTCTGTAACTTTTGAGGTGCTTGATGGCTGTTACACAGGCTGCACTCCCCTCCTTCAGCTCCTTCAGCTCCTTCAGCTCCTTCACCAACTTCACCCCCTCCACTGACGATATGAAGGTAAGAAACATGTTTGTGTAGTACACAGAGCAATAGGACAATATATTTCAATTCTATATATTTGTTTTTTGCTATGAATATCTTCTTTTGGTGGTTTTTAATTTCTATTTTTGGGCTAAGATTTTATTGATCACAGTGTTTTTATAAATATTGATTACAGTGTACAGTATAAACAAAATACGCATCACTTTAAATGTCCTCCAGGTTTGGGATTCAGAGGTCAGCTCTCTCTCTTTGGACCCTCTCAGCAGCAGGACGTTTCCCCCAGACCCCGAGCAGCTTCAGGTCCAACACCTGACCCCGGAGGAGCTGGACAACAGCAGCCAGGCATCCTGGGACATCGACCTCTTACTGTCAGACTGGGCCTTGAGCCCTTCTCCTGAGGCCTGTGTGAGCACACAACCTGAGCTCCCAGAGATCGGCCTCAAGACCCTCTCTGAAACATGTTCCTTTAAAGACCAGCAGGGCGGCAGACATGTGGCTGAGCTGCTCTCCACAGTGGAGGTCTCTTCTGCTCAGTCGGTGTTGTACCCTGGGTATTCTGAACCTCAACCCACACAGACACTCCTAGCCCCAAATGTGGATCACTTTGGCTTTCTACAGGCATGCAGCATAGACCGACACGGAGGAGGTCCTGTCAGGATGCCGCCCTGGGAGTTCAGTCCCTACTACGCCCCTCAGCAGCCCTCTCCACTGCCCTACACTGACCACAGGTTCCTCTCTGCTCAAACTGTGCACCCTGACCCAAGACACTACAGCTATGTTCCTCACTTCAGTCCCAGCAGCAGTGTCTACTGTGACTACAGTCCGACTGCAGTCCCTCTGAACCAGCCCGGGCTCATGGCCTCCCCTCTCCCCCCGGGGGCACTTGAGGGCAAACGTGGACGTCGAACCCTGGGCAAGAAGAGACCTGCCATCCACAGCTGCGAGTATCCAGGCTGCTCCAAGACCTACACCAAGAGCTCGCACCTGAAGGCCCACCTCCGCACCCACACAGGTAGTGAAGCAGGAAACATGTTTACATGATATGAACTATGATGTGCTTAATGAGAGTTTGTCTGATCAGGTGAAAAGCCGTACCATTGCTCTTGGGAAGGCTGCAGCTGGAAGTTTGCACGTTCAGATGAACTGACGCGTCACTATCGGAAACACACAGGTCAAAAGCCCTACGAGTGCCTGCTGTGTCAGAGGGCCTTCTCCCGCTCGGACCACCTGGCTCTGCACATGAAAAGACATGCGTGAGGAACAGTTAACCACAATGTACTAATGTTTGGAGAGAAATATTCACCAACACAATATGAAGCAGATTAGGCAGAATTTATGTCACATTCAGTGACTCCACGTGTCGCTTCACACTGGGACCAAACATAGACACTGTAGATCGTGGGCATTGAAACACTAAGAACAACTCAAATCTGCAAACTTACTTTTACCAATAGATCACTGTGTGGTAGGTTGTATTATAAAGTGCCCTATGTTGTCTTTGTACTTTACTTTCTCAGGTTTTAAAAGGTAGCATATTTATTTAAATATGTTTAATATTTAGATTATATTATAATGTAGAGGATTTTATATTCTAAGAGTGTGTTTTTTATGTTATTTTAAATAAAATAAAATATAGGAGCTGTAAATTAATTTCCATTTGTATGTTGTTTCACTTCATACTGGGTCTTTTTAAGTCATGATAGAAAGGGTTTTCACAGTCTTTATTTTTCCGTTCCTTCATTTTCATTGTCTTTTTGATCGACAGAGGACAATCTCAAAGACAATTTGAAATGCATCAAGTTCACTATTATTATTATTATTATTATTATTATTATTATTATTATTATTATTATTATTATTATTATTATTATTATTATTATTATTATTATCATTATCATTATTATTATATAAGTGTGGGAAAGCCTCGTCTCTGATCTTTCCGTGTGGTGGCCAGCAGAGGGCAGTTGATCCTTACTTCAGACCAGTAAATAGACTGCAATAGCCAGAAAGGGAAGGTGATCTGCTTATGTAACTCTGATTCAGCCTGAGTATGACACACACTGTCAACATGTTACAGAGCAGCCTACAGCCCTCACAGTTATAACTCTAATCAGATAATAATTATTACAATTATTACAAGACACAATAGTGCATTCAGAAGTATTCCATTCAGTATTATTATACACAATGGGGAGGTGACACAGACTACAGTTATATTGTAACACATTTAATAGTAATATCCAGTAGATTAAACAATTCTAAAGAATTAAAATGTTACATAAATCACTGTATAATTGGTACTGAGTCGAGGATAGTTTCAGGTCTTTCAGGTTTTCGGATTACTCTTGTCAAAAATATGTGGCAATAAGTACAGGTAATTACTTTTTGGCACACATTTTAGGCTATTAACTGTGGTTACACATCTGCATGTTAAAGTCTGATCCTGTCAGACCTCAGAGGCCAAGCAGAACAGGACCTGGTTAGTACTGAGATGGGAGACCTCAGGGGTCACCAGGTGCCACAGCAACTGCAGCTGTAAAGTGCCAAACTGTCATTGTGTCCTTCATTGCCAAGTATGAGTCTAGTGTGTAAGTCATTGATTAGTGACGATTGTCGACGCCAGTAACACAGATTGGCAGGCTAGTTATTGTCAATATGCCCCAGGGCAGCTGTGGCCATGACATTTGTTTAATGTGTAGGGAGTGAATGAAGAAGGCCATTTGAAGCGTCTTTGAATGTCTAAAAAGTGCTATATAAATATTATTCATTATTATTCAATGTATTCTTATAAAGAATGAATAATCACAACACAAACGTTGAATTCACCAACACAGATAAGAGTCAACAGTTTATCACAAGAAACACATAGAGCCATTGGTCCATAAGGGGAAGATTACCAATGTCCATAAATGTTTATGATTCCTCAGTATATGTATAAATATCATGACAGATTGACTGAACTGCAGACACAAGCACAGAAAACAGAAGAAGATAAAAAGTCTGTTATGTCCACATTGTTTCTGCATTTCATGACTGCAAACGAAATGTTACCATCCATTAACATTTCTTCACATCCTTAAGCTCATGCAATTTCTGATCCGGCAAGACATGAAAACAACCGGTTTTATACAGAAAAGCAATGTTTTGTTGATATATGTTACTTAAACACATACATCATCACACATTTGCAGACCGAATGTTCTTTGACCTAAAGTGACAAAGCCAAACAGTGACTGTGAATCATATTGTACAGTTTCATATTTGAACTCTCCTTCGCTGTGAGCTTTCATCTATAAATGGATTCCTGCTGCATTATTAAACCGTGTTACCTAAGGACAACAGATTCTATCCTGTTTCATCTCTCAAGGGCACAACTTTTTTTTTATAAAAGCAATGTGCAGCGGGTAGAAGATTGATCCATTAGAAATATTAGCAATCTCTCAAAAGATATTACACAGAGGTAGGGGGAACTGGACACCATGTGATTATAGATGACACCAACTTCTTACAGAGAACAAAAACATGATATATTACACATTTATACCTATTGCGTTGAAAATACATGTTGTAAGCCTTTTGTTACTTTTATGCCGTTTGTAGGCCTAATTTTTGCCAGTATAAAACACACATTTAACTTGGGCTGAGACAAGTTAATCTATAAATCGTAACTAATATAATATGGAAAAAGTTATCAACTCATTTATTCATCGACTAATAGTTTTTTAACCTTACACAGACGCTGAGAAGAAGTTTTATGACCACATTCTAGAACTGAAGAAGGAAATGAATGAATGGAACAGCCCAAAGTGTAAGAAGATGTTCTCCAGTCCTGCCTGGAGCTTTTTTTTGACGAAATGCCTAAAAATCCCATATTCACTGACCTCACTATATGCATCAAAACAACTAGTACATTAAACTGACAACTAATCAATTGTCAAAGTCACTGTTGATTGTAACTGCCCTACATTTCCCAAGTTTAAACATAAGATTAAACATGAGCAGTTCTGTGAGTACAGGGCTTGTTCACAGGGAAGACGGCCGTTACACGTACGCGGCAGTTATGTAATCTGCCCAGGGCATGTGAGGACGGAGAGGAGCTGGACCAGTTCAGTCGGGGTGAGCTCAAAATAAAAGAGGACATTGTTTTCTTTGAGCGATCGGCAGAAAACAACACTTCCTCCTCTGCAGTGCAGCTGGGGGAGCGTTTATCTGTGGGGGGTTTTCTCAGTGCACAGACCACGGCTGTTGGCTGATATTACGACATGTGCGACTACAGCAATAACAGCGACGGTTGTGGAAGTTGTGATGCAACAGAATGAAACCAGAGAAAAAAATAACGGCTTTAAGGTCATCGGAGTGTTTCCCCCAATAGCTCACACTGTCAGGCCACACTGCAAAATTTATAAGGCCGTTATCAAGCTGTATTTAAGACATTCTTGCTTGTCGCATTGGCAGATATTAACTGCTCTGAAAACATCGCTGAAGTTTAAATTTAAAAAAGTTAATTGTGTCTTCTTATGGCTTATAATGTTTTCTTGATAAGACAAAAAATTTAAAGAAGCTAGTACTGTTTATTTCCTGACAGGTTTGAATACTTCCACCTTCATCAGAGGTGAGGGATGGATCTCTGAAGTCTGTCTTTTTATAATACTGGGAAAAAAAGGATTTAAACGGCTGACAGATTTGATGCTTTTTAGTTGAGTAAAATCAATCATTCTATTTAATAAAAAATAAAAATAAATGTATTTAAAGAATGGCTGAACTCTTTGAGAGACTGAGGCTCCATTGTTTTAGTTTATTGTACGTGGGAAAAATACCTGCACAGAGGAAGATCGACTTTGGTGGTTATACTTGATCAATTGGCTTAAAAAAGTTTTGAACTTGGAAAATAACAGAAAAAAGTAGGTCATCAGACTGGTTTTTAAGAGCTTGTAAACTGTTAATTAGTGTCAAGTGTCATCAAGTGTCATTAAAGTGTCATTAAATTACAGCTGAAATACTTGATTTGCAAACAGTGAGAAGAGGAAGTTCATAATGAAATGCACCTAATTTTGACACATCAATGTTTGGCCACAAGACTCGTTTTGTCTCAAAGGTCTGATAATACAAGCGTTTCATACAAAGAATATATATACCATAAAGCTAATACAATAAACTGTCATTTTTAACATACAATAACATAAAAACACGACTTGTTTGGCTCATTTCCTGTTTCTGTGTTAATGTCCATGTCTCTGTGTTTATCCCCGGTTCCCGATTTTTTTAGTTTGATTATCACCTTGGACTTTAATTGTTTAGTTTTTGTTTAGTTTTCACCTTGTGACACTTATTTTACCTTTCTGGGTGGGAAGTTGCACATGATTGGGTCCCTCAATTTGTATTTTCTACTGGAGAACTGAAAGATCATTTTGCGTTGCCTTGATAAAATAACTTTTGACCTTCAAAATGGTGGACTGTGGAGTTTTGTTGTAAAAAACACACTTTTAGCCAACAGTGAGCATGATCACTCATATCTGTGCTTTACACATAATAATGAGTATGAGTGTAATCACTATTTTTGCTTTTTGGCCATTTAAGCAAGTGCAGTGCAGTAAGCAATTTTGTTAACTTAGCCGTCGCACCAACTCAAAACCCTCCCCTCGCCTCTCCACCAAACCAAACATCCAGCCTTTTCTTTTCTTTGTCACAACAGGGAGAGTGGGTGGTAAACGTGAAATTGGCATTTTCTGTTGAGTTAGAAAATTCGATAACTCAAGTGCGCGCACTCGCGAGAAACAGGAAGAGGGTGAAGGAGGGTAAACGCATCCCATTGGTTCGTTGGGGATGAACGAATCCCATTGGTTTATTTTCAATTCCATTACTATTTGAAAACACATGATAACTTGACTACTTTTAGAGTTTAAAGAAGTTTTCCCACAATATTTGAAAAAAAAAGCGTCTGGAAAAAAATCACTGACTGCATCTTTAAGTAATGAATGGCAATAATGGCAATAATAATGGCAGAACACTCACTAGATTAAATTAAGGTTTCTGACACCAGAAAAGCTGTTTCCTATTTTGTCTGATATTTCCTAAACAGTGAGTTCATCACTTTTTTGGTGGACTTCTGCCTCAAACTCAATTATCTGAAAAATTTAACTAACGGCATGATGTTTACGATAAGTTAAGACGAATAAACAGTCCTTTATTTGTCCCTCGCTGGGGAAATATCAATGTCATCGATGCACACATTACAGCAGAATAAAAGGAGGAAATAAGAGCACTCAGAACACATCGAACAAGATCTAAGTCAAGATAATAGACAATAACATTTCGGGACTGGTTTATACATAATACAGAGCACAAGAGATATAGCTGCTGCTGCTGTGTTGAGTTTTACTTACGACAACAAAAGCAAAAGGAACAGAACACACTTGATTACCAGTACCACAAGTAGAACTCTTCACCAGAGAACAAGAAGCATTTGTTATCTTGTTTAAACCTGTAACAGTTTATTTGCTCGGGTGTCTCAAAATCGTCACATAGTTAAATAAAAAAATAATACTGCTTTTTAATTATTCCCGAAATCTACTGAAAATAACCATTTGTCTTCTGTTTATTAATTTGTTTTCGTATCATTTCAGCAACCTACGCGTTTTAGTATTTACTAATAAATATTGTCTGGTTTGCGATACCGAATTGTAGAGTTTATACCTATCTTTAATAGTTTATTGCTTTCCTCTATCTTTAAACTGGTTCTGTCTTGTATAATCTAATCATGTTAATGCTTGTGCAACAGGGTGGGCTTTCAATGCTTCATATGAAGACAATTATCACTTTTCAACATCAAAGGGTGGATCAAGCTCAAAATAGACTTGTTTTTCAGTCCATTCATAGATTAAAAAAGCTTTTAGGCATAACTAAAGAAAAAGCCCTTCATATGGGAATTGGATATTATGATTCACGTTTGAAAAGTCATGGTTTGTTTATGTAGGGAAAATATATGTTTCCATCTGAAATAGGCACAAATAAAGACCACAAACCACTTCTGACTGCAAGCATCAAATCATCTCTTCCTTCTCCGTCCTATAGTGTATAAGAGCGGATTCATCCAACACGATTCCCATTATGTGAAACAACAAAGTCATTCAACCCTGAGATTAATTACAATCAAGAGTAGATACATCAAATTCATGAATACAATGCAGACAGTTCTCTTCACAGGCTCCAACTTTGTGTTAAAAGCTGTATTTTGAGGACTCTTCTGTTATGATATAGACTTTGTTTTAGATTGTTAAATGCTCAGGCAAGAATGATCTTTTCTCATTTTGAAATACAGGGGTATAATATGTAACACATTATTCATCTCTCTATTGACTTATAAACAAGCACCAGAAGTAGCAGTAGCAGAAGCAGTGGCAGTACAAGTAGTGGCAGTGGCAATAGTAGAAGTAGTAGGTAGCAGTAGCAGTGGTCAAAGTAGCAGCAGCAGCAGCCCAGCAGTAGTACAAGTAGTAGTAGCAGCAGTAGCAGTAGTAGTTGCACCAGCAGTTGTAGTAGTAGAAGCAGTAGCAACAGCAGCAGCAGCAGTGGTAGAAGTAGCAGCAGCAGTAGCAGTAGTTCAAGTAGTAGTAGTAGCAGCAGTAGTAGTAGAAGCAGTAGCAGCAGTAGCAGCAGTAGTAGCAGCGGTAGAAGTAGCAGCAGTATAGCAGTAGTACAAGTAGTACAAGAAGCAGTAGCTGTAATAGAAGCATCAGTAGAAGCAGCAGCAGTAGCAGTGGGAGAAGTACTAGTAGTAGAAGTAGTAGAAGTAGTAGGTAGTAGTTTAGATAGATCTGCATGGTCAAAGTATAGGGATATATGTGTGGTTTACTTCCTCATATGTTTTTTTCACTCTCTCGTAAAGTCTGTACTCATCAAGTGATAGACTGTCAACAGGCACATACCATAACACACCCAGCGCCTATAGCCACACAGCCTCCCTCCTCTTCCGTCTGTCAAAGGGGAGGAGGGAGAGGAGGGAGAGGAGGGAGAGGAGGAGGTCAGGCTGGGTGAGAATCCAACCTGAGCTAAACCTCCGGGCGGGGAGCAGCGCAGCAGGAGGCACGGCTCAAACCTCCACAGGACAACCACACGAGTGAGACGAGATATTACTGCTCTGCCACTGTCGAAGTTCAGACAACACTTCTGAGCAAGTGAGTGCAAGTCTCTGTCATAACTCATGTGTAAAGTTTGGGTCTGTAAACATACTGTATATTCTCTTTGTTTGAAAGAATGGCTGTCTGTGTGTAACAACAGCATGCATTGTGTACTGCTGTACTTAAGTGACTTCTTGTTGCAATATTGTCCCATGGATTTACCAGGAATGTACAGTATGGACTTATATGTGCAAATAATATTTATATAGCTATTGTTATGGGCCACATGTAACTCGAAATGTTTTACAATTATGGCAATGTTGTTGTTAAAGCTGGAGTATGTAACATTGAAACCACAAACAAATCCATATATCCCAGCTCTCAGTTTGGTTCTATACATAGTTTTCACATGCATGCATTTTTTTCACATGTTTAGAGCACTTTTTTCAATGAAAGGAATTGTACCAGCCCTCACTCAGCCGATCAGCTCTGAATATGTAGAAGATACAGGAAGCATGAGGTTTGATTTGTTCAAAGACTCTTTCTCTTAGGATAAACAAAACAAAGTTACTCCGGTTTAATGCTGATTCTATGTAACTTTCAATGAATGTAGTGAGCCTCTTTGCCCAGAGTAAAGCTTGACTGGATGTTAGGTTAATCCTATTAGTCGGTGTGTGTGTTATGTATGTGTGTGTGTGTTATTTTAGATCTAGCTGCCTAATAGGATGCAATGAGAAGATTACTGATTGTTTGATTTACAATGATTGTGTTTTTCTCCTTCCTCTCTTATGTGGCCATGCTTATTTCAGTGTGTGTCTTTCCTCAACAGGTGACGCTATTTCTCCACTCTTTATAAGAGTCTGTTGGCCATGACTGAGGGCTGCTTGCTGAACGTGGCAGGACAGGAACACACAGGCCTGGGCGAGCAGTCTATGGGGGTCCTTCGCTCCTCCAGTAACTTGGGCCAAACTCTGCGGGGTCGTTCTGCTGCCCAGGCTGAGATAGAGGCAAGCAGCTGTGACGAGGACGGGACAAACCCCAACTGCTCGAGGAGGAAGAGAGAGTTTATCCCAGATGAGAAGAAAGATGTTGGCTACTGGGACAAGCGCAAGAAGAACAACGAAGCCGCTAAAAGGTCGAGAGAGAAGCGCAGAGCGAATGACATGGTGTTGGAGAGGCGTGTTCTGGGTCTGCTGGAGGAGAATGCAGGCCTCAGAGCAGAGCTGATGGCTTTAAAGTTTCGCTTCGGACTTGTGAAAGACCCCTCTGAGCTGAGCATCTTGCCTCTGTCTATGGCACAAACCAAAAACCAGTGCGTAACACAGAGCGCCCAATCCAACCAGGGTCCCACGACTACACTCCTACATCAAGGGCCCACAAACAGGACATTGGAACAGTCCCAGGTTGAGAAGAAAGGTTTACCAGCAAACGAAATGACTCCTAGCTTCAATGTGTGCTATAATGAGCACACCAAAGAGAGGAGTAGAGTCTGGGGGAAGGTGGATGTGTGTTCATTGGGAGCATCTCAGGCCAAGTATCCAAACCGACTGGAATCACCCGACTGCCTGAAAAGCCTGCCGCACAAGCTCAGGTTTAAATGTCCCGTCGGCGAAGGAGTGGAGCTGTCCCAGTCCAGTGACAGCAAACCCAAAGCCCCTCCGGTTGCCACAGTGGGTCCCAGCATCCACGCCCTTTCACCACAGACCCTGGAGGGTGTGTGGGGTGGTCCAGAGGTAAGTTGTCAGTACTATGCCTCACAGTGGGACGTGACAGAAGGAAATGGTACAGAGGAAAGGGTTCTCAGGTCTCAAGTCAGCTGTTTGTCCGAGGAAGTGGCCCAGCTCAAAAGGCTCTTCTCCCAACAGCTGCTCACAAAGATTGCCTAAAAACATAAGAGACTGAGCCGAAAGACAGCACAATGTCAAACAATGTGATAATGTTAAAGACAGTGGCTGTAAATGGACATTATAGATATCAACTCAATTTTATATGAAAAGATGCCAACAAAACTAACGCTTTTTTTCCCCTAAGAATACTTGTTCAGATTAATATTGATATTTTGAATTGGATGCATTATTTTTTTTTTCATTTAGTAATATGAATATCTTTCCATAAAAAAATTGTTTATATTCAGATTTTGGGTTGTTTGGATATACTGTAGCAATCAATCTTCAACTAATAAAATATGAAAGCACCATTATTGTTGCATTATTGTAAAAATTGGGCAGAACATCAGATGAGGGACCAAAAGCCTGGACGCATTGTATCGCATTGGCAGGCTCTGAAACATACCCAGCCATATAAAGAACATGCACATACTGTAACTTGTTTGTGCCAAGCTTACTAAAGTAAAGGAGATTTTTATTAAAGTGAAACAGTACCACAAAATGTGACGTTGTATCTCTTATATATATTTGTAATTTACTTTTTTTTTAATTGTGGACCACTTTGGGAACTATTTATGAAATAAAGTGGATTTGAATGGAGTTTTGAAGTGGTATTTTTGTCAACTTCACAAGTTTGTGTTAACCCCTCATATGTTTTCTTATTGCAGATCTGATCATGTAACCATCAGAATAACCCTGACTGGAAATTAAAATAACTTTCATAGAACTTCAGTTAATGTCAAGGTGTAGTTAGTGTCTTTACAATAAGAAAAATAGTTGTGGTGCCACCTGCCTGTGAAAGCCAGATCCTGTCAGACCTCTGAAACCTCTGCATCTGTCTTTTTATGTTGAAGGCTTAGAAGGTTATTTTAATAAGACAACAAATTTAAAGAAGTTAGTACGGCTTAATTTTCTGAATAAGGCGGTAGTTTCGGAAGCATACTTCTGCCTTAGTCAGAGGTGACATGTGATGGTGTGACATGTCTCTTAGCCGCTGTTGTTATGCAGTTAGTCTGACAGATCTCACAGATCCGTCTGACTGACCGAGCCCACGCCACGTTGTGGTCTCTGTAGAAGTGAATCTCAAGTGTTAGCCAAAGTGAACGCCCCCTCGTCTCTGTTGATGGTCCGGGTGCCCCACTACCTGATTTCAATTGCCTCTCGAGGGCTGTGATGGGAGACCTCTGGGAACACCAGGTGCCACAGTGGCTGGCTGCGGCCGTAAAAGGCCAAACTGTTGATGCGTCCTTTTAGGCGAGACACTACACCCACATTGCCTAGTATGAAATCAAATAAAAAGAGGCGATGGAAGAACATATTATGTTACAAATATTCCTTGGGTATTGATTTACATTTATTTAAATAGGCAAACAGACAACAGACATAAGTGAACAGTATGAGGTTGGGAAAGGTCTTGGGACCACATACAATAGTGAATTGGGCCGTATGTGGCTCCCAGATCAGGTGTTAGACTGTCCTCAGGCGGCTTCAAACCCTGATCAAATTTACGCAAAATACAGGCATTCTAAATCACTAATCAATGAATCAGAAGAAAAATCTACAGATAAATTGATTATAAAAATAACCGTTAGTTGTCCTATTAATACACTAAACATTTTTATGGAAATCATAAAACAACATTTCCCCGCTGTGGGACAAATAAAAGATCTCTTAATCTTAATCTTAACAATATAATGCATGGAACCACAATGGTACTAGCTCAGAAGTAGATCCCAAACATTAAAAAACTGGAGAAAGAATCTCACATTATGTCTTGTTTTTTCCCCAGATTGATACTTTCTCAAATTTGTATCTAGGTTTGATACCAGTTTTAGAAATTGTTTGAATAATATCTGATTTTCAATACATTTGACTATACCACAGAATTTGTTAAATATTGGAGTATCAGTATGACAACATGTTCCCATTCATAAACTCATGTTAAAATGCTGTGAAAGGTGAGCCCTGGTTGAATGAGTGAATAATGGCGATGGGACATAGACTGGATATGGATAGGACAAGGTCGGTATGAGTCATCGGTCACGTCAGCAAAGACAAGGCTATTTTTAGGCCCATTGCAGCTGCCTCTAAGACCAACAGAGGAAACAGCCACAGAATTCATACATACTTGAGAAATGTTATGTGACAAAAAGTGAGGTGAAAGCAGTATATATTCAATAACACTAAAGTATATAGGGATTGACCCTCAATTATTAGCTTTATTTGGACATACTTTTTAACATAATAAAAATTTAAAGGAGTGAAAGTCTATGGAATATTCTTTGTTAATCACCAGGGATAAGTCACCAAAGGGGCTATAAATCCTGTGCATTTTGCCTTTTAAAAAATTTGAAAACATAACACCAGTTTAGATTCAATATTGCAAGAATATAGCGTCTATTGTTATATTGGGATATTGTTGTGGTCGCTTTTAGGACAAAAAATATAGTTTTGAGTTAACTTAAGAGGAAAACATACAATCATCTTTTCAAGGCTTTTTGCTCACCCTTGTATACTGCACAGCTCTGGTGTAGATATAAGAAAAAGAGTATGCGGAGTCTAAATGTGGCTCACAATGACTCTCTGAGGATTCTGTTGAAAGTGCCCAGGTTTTGTAGCGCCAGTGAAATGTTTGTAAATTGTGGTGCGAGGTCATGTGTTGTCTCCATCAGATATTGTATTTACTCTTTTATGTGCAGAGCCGTGAATCTGTCAAACCAGATCATCCAAGCTCTGGTCTGTCCAAAGAGGAGCTCTGTAAGGTTTTCCTCTGACCTATGGAGGCATTGGAGGTCCTGTCTGTACACCTGTTTATAATTTTACTGTATACATATGTTTTTTGTCTCTTTATTATTATTATTATTATTATTTTTTGTTTTTGTTTTTTTAATCTATGAACCAGTTCTATCTGTGTTCTTAATAAAGAATGAATTAATTAAACAATACACCATACTACCCATTATTCTGTTTGTCCGTCCAGAAAAGTCCACAACTTGAATATTGCTTTGTTTAGAAACAGAATCTCTGAAATATGTATATCAATTGAAAAGTATACATAGTATAGTCCGCAAAAATATTAATAATAGAATATTGTTAACATTTTATTTAGAATTCCCTCAATATTATAATAAATATTGAACTGTGAGAATCATTTCCATAATAATGTATTGTGGAATGTGGATTTTATTACCTTCTTATTGAATTACATTCTTATAATCATTATTTTTTATAAAATCTTGAAGGGGTATCAACGCCCAGTAAATCAAAGGATAAACGTGACCTTGGACAAGTTTGTGTGAGCAAACAATTTCTTCAAAAAAAGAATGTTGGTCAATTCGATGTTGATAATGTATTATTCTCACAGTTGGTCGCTAGGTGGCGCCAAACATTGTGTCTGTACATACAGTCTATGGTCTGCACCACTACGTCTCATTCATTGATCCAACTGTTACTACAGAGGTTCCATTTTCCATTGTGCTTTCTCTGGAGGCATATGCTGTTCGCAGTGAGCAGCGCCATCATTTCACACTCCCACTGAATGAAATATTGTGCTGGCCAAGTCCAACAGACACAAAGAGGCTGGTGGAACAAGAAATTAAAACAAATTCATATTTCCAAATGGAAGCTCAGAAATGTTGCAATGAAAAGGCAGGTGTCTTGGAAAACCTAAAAGCTCTGATACAACAGGAAATTTCTGCTTTTTTCAGGTAGATTTCAAAGTCTGAACCTTCTTGTTTTGTGCAATACTTCAATACAATACACATTTGCACATTTTACAATTCTGAAACTAGGGCAGGGCTGCGACGATTAGTCCACTAATCATTAGGCTACTATCAAAATTATTACACTTTCATAAATTAAGGTCACTGTAATCTTTAACAAAAACAAACAACAGGCTGTTTAGAACAATGGGTGCAGCTTTATAGTATACATTTGTCAATAATCAAAGTATTTTCAATATTTATGTTTCCATTAATAAAAAAATATACATTACCTCAAACAAGGAGCCTTCATCACCTTATTTTAACCTTTATATATTTTTTGTGTTTCAATTTAAAAACAATTATGATTCTTTAACTAAGACAAAACAATCACATAGTCATTATTTCTGCATGCTCTACCAAAACAACAATGGTCTGTCTCAGTGATTGTGGCAGACAGACACAATACAATCTGTTCAATGTGCAAAAAACATATTTCCAGATTATATTGAAAGAATTTTGAAGTTTCATTATGTTTCTGGCCATTTTAAATCGTCTTATACTCAACGTAATACATGTCTGTGGTAAATAGCAATGGGACCAAAATTATTTTTTTTTTCCATATTTACAATTCCATTTTAATACATACTGAATCTGCAAACTTGTGCTTAGTAGTTAATGAGCAAATCACAGGGAAAGGCAAGAGTGACACATGAGTGAGTAGATTTAAAAACAAATGCCTGTCTCCCTTGTACCATATACCACATCCTTTGTGTCCATTTTAATGCATGTGTCCATAATCACAATATAAGGTTGAGATTGCTTTATCTATTTAATGATCTCTAGATTTTGAGCACAGCCTAGGTAGTAAACACCGTTATTGAATTATGAATTCAAGGTTAAACTAGTCAAATTCTTCCAACCTGGAACTACTCTAGCTCACATAAACAAAGCCATAAAAAAACTTGTATTAATCTATTATAAGCTTGAAATGAAAACTGTGCTGCAGCCATTTATATAGGAAGACCTGGTATTAAGCTGTACTGTAAAAAATGCTGCATTTTTCATGATTTTCATGCGAACAGCCATATTACAATATTGAATAGATTGTAATTATACCTTGCAGCTATACCAGACAGTCATTACTATTCCTATCCATATACAGGAATAGGAAACAGTCATTCAAACTATCTCTCTGTCCCAATGGAAGAGGTTATTGTCAGTGATCAATGCAGACAACCATAATAACACTACCCCCCCATGAGGAAGCTACGAGTTGCTAGGCAGGCACCGCCGCCACACCACACAGTTGCCAAGGGAATTTTTGCATGCAAAGGCAGCTGGGAGGATCAATGTTGGGGGTTGGTGCGAAACTACAAGGGAGCAGTATATATTGGTTAAAAGAAAATGGGGGGAGGAGTGGTACAAGTTCAAGGTCTATGCTGCTGGTTGTGGTGGCGGCTCACATGTGGCTGGGCAGACAAAGCCGGGGGAGGGGCGGGTGTGGAGTGGGGGCTGGTGGAAGGTGCAATAGATACAAAACAGAGAGATGACGTAACTCGCGTAAAATACGGTGGTGATGAGGACAACAGGCTTTGGGTAATGGAAAAAAAGCAGCTACTACAAGATGGAGAATGGAGATACAGGCTTCCATTTCCCCTCGTAAAAAAATACGGGGAGCTGAAACAAGTAGTATTTCAATTTTGTCAATGAAATACATGACAATACATCATGAATGCAGGCTGTTTTTGGATTTCAAAACTGACATAGTGTGGTCTGCAAACAAAATGCAACACATCAAAATATATCAGTAATTTCCTCTATAACTAACAGAAAGATTTATAAATGTGATTATGTTTTCCATATGTGTCGGATAGTGAGGTCTGCTGGAGTTAGGATTTGAATGATTACTGATTAACTAAATATATAAACAGCCAGGGCAGTAACTAAAGATTAGTTTTGTAGTGGCGATGATTATATAGTTTATTCAGGTTTTTAGACACATTTTCTTTAAAACAAATAGTTAAATAAGATTACTAAAGCTTTCTATACACATAAAACGTATAAATAAAGTGTTCTTTTTGTATTTATATTTTTTTAAACTGCTGTCTCTCTTATTAAAGATAAAGGTAAAGGTGCACTTTATTGATCCCCGTAGGGCAATTCATTCTCTGCATTTGACACATCCTGATGCCTCTAAGGCTTACGTCAGGAGCAGTGGTCGCCGTGGTAACAGCGCCCGGGAACCCATCTCCAGATGTTGATGCTCGGCTTGGTTACCAGAGCTGGAGGATTTTACCTAGTGAGCATGTTTTTAGTGGTAGGGAAAACCGGAGCAACCGGAGGAAACCTACGCAGGCACGGAGAGAACATGCAAACTCCAATCAGAAAGACCCTGTTCCGACCGGGATTCAAACCCAGGACCTTCTTGCTGAGAAGCGAGAGTGGGATCCTCTTAGCCAAAAAGTGTGTTAGCATGCTTTTTAGGATTCGGTTGATTAACAAACATTAATTAAGATATTTGTATTGTCAACTACTCACGGTTTCTCAAGAAACAGTTAAATATCAACTGCGGTCTCATTGTAAAGGAACAGTTTTAGAGCGGGGCATGAAACAAAGGAAGTAATGATTCACTTCCCTCTTTGTATCGAGGCTAATATATACTGTATGCATGGCTACAAACTATGATTATTGGGAATTTTTAACTATTGTATATTAAAATATAGAAATGAATAACTCCATACAATGAATTATTTGTACTGCTGCATAAAAATGTGGCGTGTGGAGCGGCAGACAAAGGGTTAAACTGATTTGAAAACAAACTGTGCCTGTATATGTAAAAGTGCTGGTCAGGAGCCAACGGTCGATCACAGGCAGAAAATGTTCTATAATGGTTTTTGGTGATTACTCTAAGGAAGAGGAAGCTTTAATTTGATCAAACAAAAGAGACTAAAGAAGTATTTCAATTATGTTAGCGCAATATATTGTAAGCAGAGTAAATGGCAGCCGCTACGATGCATGTCACTGAGGATAGACTGGCTTCATATTAATGTTTTCAACAGAATCACAGAGGGATTATAATCATATGTCATGTTGTCAAGAGTACAAACATATTTATATTTACCAATGTGCTATACAAAAATAAAGCACAGATGAAGCAGAACAATAGAAATAAAACTGTCCAGATGAAATCCATTGAAAAGTGATGAATGCTCATTATGTTAGTTTTAGAGTTTGTCTATTCATTTGCAGCTTTAAAAGACTTAGGGCTTTATGTAATAAAAATCAACATAGTAAATTGTTTGTGCATATTTAATTTACATGAAGAACAGAAAGGTGTGCCAAAAATCATGGGCCATAGGTAAAATACTCCATTTCTGGGTAGTCCTGATCCAGCTGAGATTCAATAACTGGAGATGGGCCCCAGGGCGCTACACGGTCATGACCACTGCTCCTCTCAGTTATGACCTAGTGTCATTGAAGGATGGGTTAATGCAGGGGGCTAATTACACTTTGGTGTTAACTGCAATATGCTAAATAAACAAACTAACATGTAAAGTTTTTCTTTTATAATATTACAAGCCAGGTATGTCCTCTGTTTGGCCTTTGTGAGGATAAAGCAAATCAAGTGAATATCAAGACCAAACTTATCACTTTACTTTGTGGCAAGTCAGGCTTAAGAAATGTGAACACAGAATTGAAGAAAACAACGTATTAGGACATAATTCTTAACAGCCTGTTATACACTCCATTAAACAGTCATTCATAACTAGTATAACATGCAACACTATGTAACACACTTTAAACTGCCTTTTGAGTGCCCCTCCTGTGATTGTTTATGATTTTAATGCCTTGTATGATTGCTTTGTGTATGAACTGTACTATACAAATAAACGTCTATAGATGGTTGTTTTATATGCAGATAAAATGAACTTTTCGCACAAGAAGTCTAAGCAAGTAGGTTGTTGACATAATAACCATAATGGTGAGAGCTAAGATGAAAACAACACGAGTCCCTTGCATGGGACATGTTTGCACTGCTCACAGCCCATAGAGAGGGCAGGCGTGGAGCGTGCGTAAACTCACTCATAATGGTTATAAACTTCTCCAGTGCCGTGAAACTGCAGAGTTAGAGGGTAGGGGCTATAACATGTTACAGAGCCACACACCCAGCAGCAGTGTGCAGAGAGATAGAGGACAAAAACGTGACTAGGCAGCCTAAGAGCTGTTATGCAACCGCTGACCTACTAACACATATTTCTCGAAAGGGAGCTGTAGAAACTGGAGCAAAGTGTCCGGTGGCGTACACAACACGCTGAGCCTGAACCAGCATCCTGCTCATCACTGCCTCTGCCACAGCTCGCTCGAAAACACCGACTCGCAGCGGACAAGACAACTTTTTGGACACGCTTTTTGAGGAGAAGTTTTCCCCCCTTTGCTCTGAGCGCACACACGAACGAGGAAACGCGCTGAGCCAGACTGCTTTTGTGTCGTGGTGCAAGCGTGCGGATGTTCCTCCTCCTCTCGCACATGGAAAGGTATGTTTGGGCTGAAAATGTGATTTCTTTTGTCTGTTATTCGCAGGGAGATGTTAGTTTATATCATTTGGATGTGGATGTGAGCTCGTGGAGTCCGTAAAAGCGTGCGCATCGTGGTTTGGACGTGATGCTCAGGCTGGGTATTGTTCACATGGCGGCTGCCGGTAGACGCTGCGCATTCGCGATTTTGGAGACGCACAGTGCTATTTTGGGTGCCACTTTGTCCCAACCAGGGTGTATCTTTATCACAGCGTATGGGGGCGCACTGTGCTGATTATTAAACGTGAATAGAGCCGATATAAACGTGATAATAAAGCGTAACCCACATTTCACTCAATGTCAAGGCGAGGTAATTTCCCTCATGGTAGTGTTTTCCAGGGAATGGGGGCAGCTGCTGTCTGGCTCTATTGCAGTGTATTGTACAGACACAACACGTGGCTTTGTACCATTTGTACCATATGTTATTTTAGTAACTGCAATTTTAAATTATATTTCCATATTGAGCCTCTTGGGGACCAAAATGAGAAAATAACGCGATACTATTTTCAGAATATTATAGACATTATTACATCTTACAGTCTTTATAGTCCCATAGGGTTTTAATATTTTGTTCGTATTCTGTTCATTTTACTGGCTCTACCTTACCACAATCTTATGCCAAACTGAAAAAAAAATAATCTGGGTCTTTTTGATAAAATTGTGATATTCATTATACGTTTACATACAGATATATGTTTTAGAAACGTGTATGTATAAATTGTATCTTTTTACGTGCATAAGCCAAGAATAAGTCACTAAATGTCTAGTTTCCATGCAGAGTGACTCACTGGATGAGTCTGTGGTGCGGTGCGTTAACCAAAGAGCCCTGTGTGTGTGTCTGAGGCTATGACATAACCCGCGCGCAGCAGGGAGCCGCCATAAACAGCAGCCTCTCCCGGGACACTTTGTAATTGATTCCCGTTCACACCATCCTCCAATTGTCTACCCAGAATTGTGTTGTCTGAAGCAATTAATATTTCACCCTACTTGCCCCTATCCAATTTGAGCTGTTTTTGACTTGCTCCAAAAAAACCTTTGAAGTCATAAAAGCATAGGCTAATCATTTTCATTATCAAACATCCTTGTGCAATGTTTGCTCATTGAGTAATCACATACCGGCCTGATGCAATTTCCCTGGTAACCTAGGCTTACTAAGGTTTTGGGGAAAAAAAAAAAAACTCCCAAGTCCAACTCCACGTAACATGGTCCCATTTTGAGGTCTGTCTTGTGCTCCGTCCCAGCCATTTCTCAAATATAGGTCAAACAGTATGTGGGTGAGATCATGTGAGGAATAAAGGCCATTACATTTCATACAAATTGCCCAAGAAACATCAAGTCACATATTTAGACTGAGACTGGAATATGTTACTTTTCAACTTCTGCCACGGATAAAGTCATGTATTTCTTTTTCTTCATCTTTTGTATGTAGTCTGGCTTGTGCCTTTTATACGGGAATCTAAATCTTGGCCAAAATCAATACAATGCTGCATATATTTTTATAGAGGAAGTAAATATAGGTGCAGACTGAGGAGACACCATATCCTCTAAAACACATTTAAAAGCATGGGACGCTTTGGGACTGACCTGGTATGTCTGGATTCCTATTTGTGTTATGACATTAAGCCGTGGGGGAAAATGGAGTCTTCGAACCAACTGGGGGCCCCTCCACGTGTGTGGTGTTGAATCACTTAGAAAAAGATGGAGGAGGGGAGGAAGAAGGATGCCATGCGTTAACTCACACTGACTGAGCAGGGAGCAAAGGGCAAACATTCCTCCCCAAACATTGGCGGCAAGTGTTTGGGAACTGCCATTACAGCTCAACTTAAGTCTGAAGGAGCCCGCCCTGAGTCTAGCTCCAGGCATAATGCTAGAGGTTGTTGGACTGTGGCTAGACAAAAACATGACGTTTTGACTGTATGAACGAATATGAACTGTCAAAACAAGCTGCTTAAGTGAGAGAGAAAAAAAACATGTACACAATTATAATATTTTAGGTGGTGTTTCACCAAGACCAATTCTGATTCACTTAGGATAAAAAAATGCTTTGTGTGTGGATGTAAAACCACCAAAATCCAAAAATTTGGAAAAAGATTGTGAAGCATGGCCTTTTTCCCTATGTGAACCAAACTTGGTCCAGATGAATTGAACAGTGCTAATATGAGACCTTCATCCTTTTCATAATTGCAGAATTATACTGCACAAAAATCAATTTTAGCCACTATCTTTGATTCAAAACTCAGTGATATGCATCTGCCCTTAACCTGTAGCTTGTGCTGCTATGTAATACGCATCTGTTACACAAGGGTGAGGTACAAGGGATTCAGAGCACGTACGTTACGAGCGGCAGCCCCTCCCCATGCAGTCCACAGAGACCACGGCTCTTATGTGGAGTTTGGCCGCAGATATGGGTGTGTGCTCTGACGTCAATGCGTTCAGTCGCCCCATCTCTCTCCCGTCTCTTCGTTTCAGGCACATTGTTATGCACTGGGGTTTTGATGCACAGAAATTATTGTTAAATACACCAATCTATACAGCTGGTGTGTTAGTTTTGCCTATGTCGACTATAACATTCCTCTCCTTGTCCCTAAAACAAATTCCTGCTGTCACTGGTCTGCTCCGCTTCCCCTTGCTTCAACCTCATTCTCTCGCTCTATTTTTAGAGTGCACTCCGGTGCTCTCTCTCCCTCAATGGGCCCTCCCTCCCTTGCAGTCCCACTGACCTATTTTATGGAGCTCCGTCAAAGGCAGAGGGAGTGTTTACGGCTGAGCGTCGTTTCTAGGTCAGTGGGACAGTGCAGACGTGTGCGCCCTTTTATTCCACACCGCTTTTTTTGGGGTGGGGGGCATGTAGTGGAATGTTTTAGTACTATTCTATTAGGGCTTAAACATTAAACAGGTAGCAACAACTGTTGATCAACTTTTTTTGTATTCATGTTTTGTTCAAAAGTTTGTTCTTCTTTGGAGTCAAAACTGACATTATTAATACTACATAGCAAAGATAAATTTATGAGCTTATATAATATGATAATGTAGTGATAAAAGTCAATAGAATATGCACATTCACTGTCCCACTAACCTTTTTCTCTATTTTCGCACAGAAAGCGAAGCTAATTCATACAGTTTTTCTCTTACAAATACATGCATTAGTTGATTCTTCTGATTTGCATGTCAAAAAACCTAACCAGGAAGCAAATAAATGTGTCATGTCAATATTGTAAAGCAAATCAGACACTAAACTGGTTGGCGCCTGATGACCTAGATCCAACCTCTGACGTACGTGCAGTAAAAGAGATGTTTTTTGGGACTTTAGGGCTTTTGCAGCCAATGATGTGTGAAAAATGAAGGCATATCAACCATGAAGCTGTGAGGGGAAATAACCTGATTTATGGCTGAAACAAAAGAATGGTCGGAGCCATTACATAAGGCTGGCGTTAACATCCAACTCTCACTTCAGTATTGTTTGGAAGGCAAGTTGAGCGCAAACTGTTATGCTGTAATGTTTCAGCAGCTAAACTCAGACGTCCTAATTCTTCCACAGACAGACTGACATAATAAATCCACCAAGGCAGTAACAGTGGGACTAAGCGATGGATTATTCTTCCCCATTGACCTACAATGTGATAAAATTGATAAAATCACTTTTGCCATTTTTAACTCCGTAATTCAAAATGAATGTATTTATAAGCAAATCACAGATGGTACAAATGTTTATAAGATATCTAAACACCCGTACATCAATAATAGCGTGTCAGTAAAATATGAACAAATGCAACAATGGACTGCAGTTGTTTTGTTCATGAAATCTAACAGCATGTTTCTCTCTCTCTCCCTTCCCTCTTTGTCTCCGTAACACAGTTAGTGGACAGCACAGCAGCAGAAGTCCTCTGAGAGCTCTGGAGAAGACAGACTGACCTACATCCTTTGTGCAGAGCCAGCGCCTGCTGAAGTTTGGGAGACGAGTTGATAAACCTGAACACCTTTACACACCTTCTCTGAAGCACTGGCCTCAAATAGACTTGGACACTTTCCAAAAATAGCACAATTGCTCCTTTTTCATTGAGTTCAGCCCAAAACTTCTTCAATGTACAAGGTCATACTGGAGTTCCACCTCTTTTTAATCTTCTTGGCGAATTTGGACACTTGAGTGTAAGAAACTTATAAACAGAAATCAATGAGGCTCTCCTTCCGTGGAGCACAAATACCTCATCAAGAAGTTTTTGCTGATCCTGCGACATAGGTTAAACCCAAAAGTCAAACAAGCAGTCAGCACATATCGTTTTTCGTCTACCCCTCCCCCTTTGCCCCCCAGCGATCATGGAGAGTCTAAGTCTTCACCTCTCTGCCACCAGCAACAAGAACACCATGGAAGTTGACTCATATTCCTACAGTGACAATATGCGCTCCCCAAGCCCAGACTCTTCTGGACGACGCCCGTCTAAAGGTTCCAACAAAGCCAGCAGCATGACGTCACGCCGCAAACGGGAGTTCATCTCAGATGAAAAGAAAGATGCTTCGTATTGGGAAAAGAGGAGGAAGAACAATGAGGCAGCCAAGCGTTCAAGGGAGAAGCGCAGAATGAACGACATGGTACTGGAGAACAGAGTGATGGCTCTGAACGAGGAGAACGTGCGGCTGAAGACAGAGCTGCTGCAGCTCAAACTGCGCTTCGGCCTCATCAGTGCTGCGTCGTACATGGAGAAGAGCCAGCAGATCTCCAGTGCAGCGGCTATGGCCAACAGTAGCAATGGGAATACCTCTTCTGGGACCCCCAACAGCAACGCCTACCTCTCCAGTAGCGGATACTCCAGCGCCTCCCAGGTCATGATGAACTCAGACTCCTCAGAAACAGAGCAGTCCATCCGTGGAGACTGTCACAGTTCCTTTCAAAAATACTCTCCTCGAGGCTCTGTATCCGACATGTCTGACGGATCATCCAGGGATAGCCCAGAGCCCATGGGCTACAACATCAAGAAGGAGCCCTCCATGGACCTGGCTCGTCTGGAGAACATCCCAAATGGGATCTCCAATGGAAACTACAATACCGCTGTCCCCTCTCACCAGAGTGCTGCCCCGACTGAAGGCTCTGTAGAGTACCAACAGTGCCACAGCCCTGCTCCCCCTATGCCCCCAACCCAGAGGAGTGTGATCTTGTACCGCTCCAGCAGTGGCTGCTACCCCCTGGAGCGGCAAGAGGAGCAGAGCATACAGTCTCATGGCTCCAAGTACAGCGACTGCTCTGAGACCATTACAGAAGTGGCAGAGAAACTGGAGAGAACCAAAACCATGGACTCCCCTCAGTACGAGTTCAGCAATGCAGAGCCAGAAGAGCTTCAGCGTTACAGTCAACAGCAGCGCGAAAAGCACCACTACAGTTACCAGGCCCCAGAAAACACTCATCAAACAAACCCCTTTGCCCCTAACCTCATCCATAACACTGCAGAGGGACAGTCGTCCTACACACAGCACAACGCCTACCTCACTTCCCTAGACGAAGAGCCTCCAGTGCTCACGTACGAGGGTGGCCCCAGGACGAACGGGTTCTTCCAAGAGAACTCCTCGGGAAAAGACACATCCTCTAGTGATGGCGATCCACGTAGCTCTGATAAAGAGGGATCCACAGATGATGAGTCCCCTTCCTCTTCCTCCTCAGACATAAGTAACTACCATCAGAATTCCACAGTCATCAGCACACACGCAGAGAGTCCGGCAGAGGTCAAAGGCACTGCGCTGCCTCACAAACTACGCCTTAAATACAGAGCTCTGTCTAATGGAGGAGCACAGGAACCCACACCTGTGTCTATGTCCCCCTCACCCACTCTCCCCCAGCACCCGTACCTGGCGCTGCCAGGGAACCCTCCAAGCCACACACTGGGCAACAGCAGAGATGAGAACCTGACTGAGCTGCTCGAAGAGGTCACACCTCCAGGGAACGAGAGTCGAGAGGCAAAGACAGAGGAAGGGAAAAAAGGCTTGAGCGGAGGCCGACGCAGCAAGAAGAGAGACTGAGGACAATTGAGAGACAATTTTGAATAACGGACAATTCCAACATGGAGGAGGAGACAGTGTTCTGTGGTGTACGCAATGTGATAAAGTCATATTTTGTAGAAGGGTTGAATGAGGCACTACAGCACTGACACAGATACAGGTCCCTCATACAACCCTTTCACAAAACACTTAAACCTGGGATTTAACCTTCAGTCTTCACTGTCACTTCTTTCCTGTCTTTCCTACCTCCCAAAACCAAGATCACATAAAGAGAAAATCTTCTCTTAAGTCAGACATGTACAGATTTTTCACTATTTACTGCCTTTGAGGCTCCAGCCAGCACTTACACATCGACTGTGGCATTATAGAAACATTCCTTCAACCAAAGAAATACATCCATAACAGACTTTTGACGTTACATTGATCGCTCTCTTTCATCTGCTCACAAGTCCCTTCACTTCTGAAGCACTTAGATTGTATAATACTGTGACATATGAATTTGCATATGAGTATATATTTTAAGAATAAAAATGTCAAAAAAACAACAAAAATAAAATTGTGTAATGCAGTTGTAGACTTAAAGTGATTAGCTTGTTCTTAGTGATACACCGTGTACAGAGTCCAGTTCTTTTTCCAAAATGCCTCAAATATTTTCTTTTTACTAAAACTGAAAGAAGAGCCACAACTTCAAAAAACAGTGTCTAAGTTATTTTTTCAACTGTTTGAGTTGAGGATCTGAGCTGAAGAAGTCAAGGCCAGTTTTTCATATCAGTCAAGGCTATGCAGATGACAGATGTTGGCTAGACCTGACAAGCACAAGGTAAGCCTTGTTTAGCTTCACCAATCAGACACCGGTTGTCTGTCTAATAAATAAAATGCTCCTTAGTCACTACCAGCAAAGCTGCTCTCCATGCGGTGCCTGTTATTGTTTGTCCTTTGTCCCACATTGATCTCAAATGCCCCTCATGCACTGAGTCAAGCTCCTGTAGCTGCAGTATCAGTCTGTACACTTCCTGGTGCCTGCCTCTGGCCACATGTATAAATGTAAAGTTGTCTATCTCTTGTATACTACTGTCATTATTTTAATATTATTTTATTAATATTGTTATTTTCTATTATAAGTGATTATTTTGGTTATTACTGTGTGTTTGTCATCATCATGTGTCATGTTGATCGACGCTCTTCCTTGTGCCGTGTATTTACCCTTTACCCCAATTACCATTTGTACTGAGTTACTGTATAACCTACCTACGCTGTTTGACAAAAGACAAAACAAAAATGGAGAAAAAAAAGAGAATAAGTAAGCCTTGTCCAGAAGTGGTTATGTAATGCGATACTTCACATGGATATGCAAATGGTTACAAAAAAACTCATTTTGTTTTGTGAACAACTCAAAATGGGAAAAATAAAAAAAGATGTTGAATTTGAATTGTGTCTTTTATGTTACCTTCATCATCATTTATAATAGAGGTAGAATATAACTTCATTAGAGCATTAAAAACATGTCACACTGATAAACTACAGTAGCGCTGTAGTTGGATATTAAGACATCACGCAGTTGATTCACAGGAAGTAAGACTGTTGCAACACGTGACTGCACCCTTATTTATTCAATATTGCAATATAGCGTATGATTCAGTAACAATCAACATATCTGTATTCTATATTGAGGGCTTTTAGCTCTTAGTATTGAGGTCTGTTGCAAAAGGCTTCAGGTATTGGCTATTAATAAATTCATGAAATTAATTGGCACATGAACTATAGCCTAGAGCTGTATGTGATAACAAAATTAAATAAGAGCAAACCTCAACTGTTTAACATTAATTGGAGTTTCCTACACATCATAGGCCCACTGACATTGGAACTAACCCAAGGACACTAAAAGAATGTATTCACCATGCACATTACCTAAAAGCCAAATTTACACTCACTTCTCCCTAGGCCTGAAACAAGTTAATTCATTAATTACAACTTATCGATTATCAAGATAGTTGCCATCTAATTTAGTGATTGATTAATCATTTTTGGAACTTTACAAAGCCTTAAACATACTGAGATGAGGTTTTATGACTCAGATAATACTATAATGAGTGCAGAAATATAATGCACAATATGGTTGACCTTTATTAGATCTAGACAACTGATCAAAAGAATAATCAGCCAACTAATAAATTATCCAAATAATAGTTAATTGCAGCCCAACTTCAAGTAAAAATATTATATGATTTGAATAGTGAGATTACCAATCACTCAATAAAACAATATCTATTTGTTATTTCAAAAGAAACTATCCAGAAAAGCTTTGATGAATGAATGAATATATAACGCATGAAACCTATGGCATAACCGGTTACACAACAGTCTGTGAGAGAGGCCTTAATGGAGCAATGGCTGATGGGAAAAACACGTTTGATTAAGCAGAGCTTGTGCCAGTGCCGAGCCTTACATAAGAGTGACGGGAGGGCAGTGGACTATCATGTGTCGCAATTTCAGACCAACACCCACATTTTGAAACAAGACACAGTTGTGCGCAGTTAAAAAAACTGTTCATAATATTTCAGAGTTGTAAGCGAATGTGAATGTCTATATATCCACAAAAGGAGAAAGGTTCAATGTTTTTGTTACACATGAGGCTCACATTGTAATCACAAGATTTATTTCAAGAGTTAATTTGCAAAAAACAGAAATCTCTGTTTTTATAATATAAGATACAATAAAACTTTATAATAAAATGCCAAAAAGTTGTTTTCCTCTAGCTACAATCTTCAAAATGTTTTGTTATTGGCCGTAAATGTGAAAGGCTTTGCTTAAGAAGAGTAAGACTTTATTTGTATGGCACTAAAAGCCTCAGCCTTTCTAAAAACAACTTGGTAAACCACCTTTTAAATATTCTTATAATGGCGCTTATCTATTTTTGCAAATAAGATGAGATAAGATAAACGTTATTGATGTCACAATGGAGATATTAACATTTGGCATAGATAGAATCTCTCAGGTTGTGCTAGAGACAGGAATAGTGCAAACATGTTAACAGGTCAGAATATAATCTCTTTTGTGCAAGATATATCATGTACAACATTAAAAGTGACTATAGCAGTGCCAGTTTTTCAGTCCGAGTGCAGGTCATTAAAGTCATTCATTATACATAAAGTTTAGAGAAAGTATAGACACAATAGTAGTACTGGATCGTATTGGAAAAGTGTGTAAAAGTTTAACACAGGCATGCTGTAGTGTTCTTTTATGGCCATTGTAAGAAACAATAAGTCGCAAACTATTGGTGTATGGTGCCCACAAGTACTACAATAGTCAAAAACAGATATAAAGATAGATATATTGGGCTTTTTTGGGGCTTAGTTAGCTCCTGATGTGTGTGCGGACTGCCCTTCAAGCACAGTGGCTGTAACAAGGTGACATTCTTGTGAAAACCGCATTGCATTTCATTGCGCATTCCCCCCTCTCTATACATTTCTTGTTCAGCACTCTATTGCCCCCTCCGCAGCCCCCCCACAACCCAGCCCATCTTTTTGAGTAGTAAAAGCTGCTTTGTATTTTGCGGGGGCTTGTGAAAACAGGACAGGAGAGTAAAAAGTAGGTCACAGAGGAGAGATGGAGAGAAAGAGGGTTGTTTTTGAGTGAGCGGAGCGGCTTACATCACATGCCTTTACTGCAAGAAGAAAAAAAGAAAAGAGACTAATTTTATGCGCCTGAGGGACTGGGTTAGTAGTGCAAGCAGACAAGGTTGGACTGGTTTTACATGTATTAAAGAATTTGGGAAGGACTACAGACAAACGCTGCATTATCCTAGTATAGAAAAGTAAGCCAAATGGTTTTACAGATGTGCTTATAACATGTGGTCATACATCAAATGTAATGCCCTAGTTACTTTAGAATCCATGTAGTGACACAGCTTACACCAAAATGTATGTTTCTTTGTACCTATAATGCAAGGAAAGTTATTTTGTATAGCACAGTTCATACAGTACACAAGGCAACTCAAAGTCCTTAGAAAAACTAAAACATATAAAAAATCCTTCTAAAATAATAAATAGAGAGTACATTCATACAACTGAAATATACATCCTCCAGTTGTATGCACAGCTTAACAAAACTGTTTTAACCTGGTTTTGAACATTGACAGAGAAGAAGCTTGTCCCAAAATTTCAGGAAGATTGCTCCAGATTTTACCTATTTTACCTACCTATAATGGCGTTATCCACCGTTTAAGCCTTATATCTGAGACAAGTTACTGCTTTTTACGGTGGTAATATGAATCAACTAAAGTTATTTGGGATTTTTGCAAGTGTGGATACTGAAAAAGCATATATTTTAAACATTAGAATAAAACATGTATATTTAAAAAAGTATATGAAATACATTACCCACACTTACAGTACAGTATTCAACAATTATTGTCTATTGTTAAATAATCACTTTCAAAACTCACTCAAGTCTGAAGTAAATGTTGTACTCTGGTAATAATGAGTTTGTTTATCACAACAGACTGCATATAATAAATAATAATCATAAAAACATGTATTTGTTTGTATTTAGATTAGGCCTTTTGCAAACACAAATATCAGATCTACATTTTCAGTCCATTTCAAAACTAGGTCAAATTTACCTCATAACTGCACATGTTCACAGGCCATTTGTCCAAAGAATAAATTACTTCATGTGTCCAAGTCATTTCCTGCATCAGTAACAAGGGAAAAAATAATTGAATAACTTACAGAGTGACTTATTGATGTCATGGGTGCATTCAAGAGAAGATAGTAGATGACCTCCTTTTCACCTGTTCCTGAATGACTATAGGTCAATTTCAAAATGTCAATATACATGCTAACATTTAGTTCTAATGTTATTAGATTATTGATTGACTGCGGAACCTTCCGCAGTCAACCATTGGTTTTGTATTTCTTTATTCCGTCATTTTTTTTGACACGTTTCACAGCTTTCACATTTTCAACAATTTCCACAAGTTATACATCAAAACGTTCCACATGTTTGGGAGATTATTGCTA